CCACCCAATCAGTTCATACCCCCACTGGCAGTTAAAAGGAAGAAACAGCTAAGACCACACATTGCTCCTCGAAGCACGAAGCTGAAAACACCAGCCTGAAGATGACGAATGGGACTTCGTCAAAACGTCGCCAAGACACTTCCAATTTTATGTGGGAGAAAACCTGAACAACCAGACCTACATACAAACACCCGCGAAAACCTCAGAACACACACACACACACACACATATATATGTGTGTGTGTGTGTGTGTGTATGCACATGTACACAAATATACATACATCACACACATGTACATACACACACACATACACACACATGTATGTATGCATGTATTTTCTTTTCTGTGTCCAGCTGGGGTGGATTCTATATGTTCAATGTTAAATTTATTGGGTATTTGGATCACCTTTTTCTCTTTTTTTGTATGCCATTTTTTCTTTTTTGTTGCTGTTAGTGCTGAAAATATGCTTTTGTTTTGTTTCATTTTGTTTGCTTGTTTTTCTGTTTTGTGTTTTACCTTTTATAATAAAACCATAAATAAAAAAATAAAAAATAGAATTTATAAATACAATTAAAGTATGTTTCTTGCATCAGAATTGTTCTACTCATATGCAAATATAATTGTTAAACACATTATTTTTAAGCACACATGTTCTTTGTATAATACTCATATTTTTTTAATTTATACTTCCTGGCAGAATACAAAGGTATTACTTAGGTGTTTAGCTAAGAAAAATATGATAATGATCCACCATTCTGGATATCAAATTGAAGGGAATTCAGTTCAAGGATGTTAGTGACTATAATTAAACAAGCAAAGTCAAAGAATGTCACAGCATACCTTTGTTATTTTGTCTTCATAGTAGTTAATGAAATCCTATGATTCCAGGCACTTTAGTTTAGAAACTATGATTCTGGCCCACTATGTTGTAAATGAAAACAGTCATGATTTATTCAATTATAGCTAAGCAATTCATGATATAGCTTAATGAACAGTGTCTCTATAATACTACTATTTTCTAGAATTTCTCTTTAGCTTTACTATATTTTGTTACATATTCCCTAGTTTTATTATTGCTTGAGAAAAAAATGGTTTTGCACAAGTTATACTTGTATAATCAAGCTGTTGGGTTGCTTGTTTTACTGCTGCTTTTCCTATACTAGGGAAGTGGGAAAATAAGTTTTCCCCTTTGTACATATTTATTTTCTTTCAAGCCAGGCTGGTGATCAAGCAATCCAGCTGAAGAATCCTTATGGCATTTTCTTGTTTGTCTTTTGTCTGGTGGTTAATTTAGAAAAGTTAAAAAAAGTTAAAATTCTTCAACAAACTTTGGAATTGCTTCCATGTGTTTAATGAAAATGTCTCCCTTATTTCCACTGTCCCATCTTGTTCTGGGACTTGAGCCGAGGATGCCCATATTCTCTAGGGCCCCACAAATTAACTTTTGCTAGCACGATCAAGATCAAGGCTGATGGAATTTGAAGCAACGTCTCATGTGCCATGTTTTCTTCTCTGCTATTTTATTAGCACTCAAGCATATACTAGCCCAGGCAGGCATTTGAGATACAAAAATTAAGTACAGAATAAAAGTAGTATAATAAAATAACCCAAGCTTAGCAGTTGTAGTAGGATACGTAGGAAATGGAGAGGGACACTGGATGTCTGCAGTAACAAATGACAACACATGTGTCATGAGTTTCATCAGGCATCATGCCACATTTAAATCTGCGAATTGTGTGATGATATCATGATATCACATGTCAAGATCTGAACATCATTGTGGCCTGTTACAGATGCCACTAAGATGCCATTCTTGTTGTTTATTGTACATATAATAACCACTTACTTCATAATAATTCACCAGGAACGCTTACTGTGGGACTAAAAGATGAACTGAAAATATTACCTGCTGAAATAAGATCATTTTCATCATTACAATAGATTTTTCCAAACAATAACACAAACAATGTACAATTCATACAACTGGAGGTGAAATAGCTGGCAGTATATGGTTGTATATGAGTTACAATTGTGTAACAACAACAATAATAAAATACTGTAAAAGCAATGCTTCGATGGAAATAGAGACCTCTCTTGAAAAGTAACAATATTAAGATTCTCTTAGAAAATAGGTAAATGATAAGTAATATGAAGAAGAATAATGTTTTGGCTACAGGTAACAGACCCTTACACCCTCTATTGGTTGCAGAAGGTCAGGCTTCCTTACGTAGGCCCGGAATCAGTAGGTATTCATATCTTTCACCAGTTAAAATGCTCCCTCCGTTTTCTGGATGAATGTTTGTCATTTGGTAGCTACAATTTGACACTATGACCAACTGTGCTGAACAAAAGTCCATGACAGCTGATCAGATCTGGAATGTTGTTGCATTTGGATCACAAGCAATAGTTTGCTGGGTTCCAAGGCAACCAGGTTTGCCATAAAATTGCATGACTAAATTTACATGACTTATTTTTGAATAATGCAACTAAAATGTACTTGATTAGCAAGCACCGACTCTAAAACAATTTTAACAGGTAGTTTTGTTTGTTAGCTGTGGCCGTAAAAGCAATGTACCATTACAAGAGAATATTTGTAGCTCAGGGTCCTTTGGATGCTTGGAGATGTTTTAGTACCAACTAGTGCACTGATGATATTACCTATTTTGGAATGAAACATCTGCAAGAGAATCACCAAGCTCAGAGAACACCAAGGATCCCACAAAAGAGATGATCAGAGCTGTACTGCAATATCTAGATGACCACTAGAGGCAGTAAAAAGTTGTACATAATTCTGCTGCCATCTAGTGCTTTGTTAACCCTGGCACCTTAAAGACAATCTCCATATCTACACCAATAGCACCATCACAGGCTCTAACAAGTATACTGTAGCAGGGCCACACAAGGGGATTGCAACCAGGCAGCAAAAACAGCTGGTGATCAAACTTTTTAATCAGTTCTGGAGATCTACACAAAAGCAGCTGAAAAGGTGGGAAATTGATTAGGAATTGGTTAAAGTTACTTTAGTTTATAAAGTTTGTCAATAAGACTTCCCCTTATTTTTATGTAAATGATTAAAACAAGCCATGCCTTTAGCATGATATAAAAATACTACATGTACATGTATGGCCACCAGTCACACAGAGGTGTGTGTATGTGCATGCACACATGTAGGAAGCAAGCTGTTCAGAGTTCTCTCTTCAACCACTGCATCTGGAATTCATGCATGGAAAGAAAGACTTAACATTTTTTGTATATCTTTGTTTCAATCTAGCTCTTAGTGGATATGATTGATGATTATGTATCAAATTGGTGTTGACTCTTAGGAGCCACATCCAGAGATTTTCTCCACGAATATCTGTCCCCAAACTGATCCTTCAAGTCTTTTTAATAGATACAGTAGCTCTATTTTCTGCCAATGTCAAAACAGGCTTTAATGGTCTTTACCATGAAGTCCTTACCAATCTTCAACTGGAAAACTCCCACTGATCTGGTGAGAGTCTCACCAAGATGAATCTCTATGCTTATTTTATAGAAATTGATCACTGAAATGATAGAAAAGTTAAACTTAACACCAAAAAGGTCTCTTGTCCATAAAATCCCCCTATATCAGGGGTATCAAACTGCCAGCCCACGGGCCGGATGCATCATAGTGAAACCGTGCCCATCCCATTGCTTGCAATGGCAAAAAAGTTGCGATATGTAATGACACGTGACATGATGTTGCGAGTTTGACACCCCTGCCCTATATCTATCTATATGCTATCAATTATCAGCACAGAACAATGAGAACAGCAAGTATAATCTATTTCTGTCAAAAAGGAATAACATAGAGATTTATTTTTAGATAAATCAAAAAGAACCTAGCACCAAAGCTTATTTTCTGAAATGTAAGCAGATTTATCCCTTAAGTTCTATTATATTTGCAAAGTCTGTCCAATCTAAAAAAATAATCAAGTTATAGCTGTGTTATAGTTTTCCTATGATGCAATGGGAGATATGAAACTTCAGACTGATGAATTTCACCTTGGCTAATGGCTATGTCCCCAGATTGAATTGGGTGGCCTCTGATTTAAACTAGGCTGTCTTCTGAATTCAAGGTAATTTTTGCACACATCTTTAATTGGCCATGATTATAAGTAAAGGTGATATTTTTCCCATAGCACAATAGTGATTATGTACATTGAACAAAGAGACAGTAATTATTTCAGATGATGTAGTGTAAACTTTAATGATATTTCTTATCTAAACATTTTTTCTACTTAACGCATATTTCCAGGAAATCTGGAACCAGTTTTTAGGTGTTCAGATGAATTCCAGCAGAATTGAAGTTCGTAAATAGGATAAATAGGAGAATGTGTATTATTTTTTTAGGAAAAAATCAATTCCTTTAAAACAGGTGTTTCCAACCCATGGGGCGTGGGCTGCACATGGTCCTGGACAGTTAGTAATGTGGCCCCATAAGATTATAATTTGTTCAGTGAGTTTTGCTCCGTTTTACGATGCTTCTTGCCACGTTTGTTAAGTGAATCACTACATTTGTTAAGTGAATCTTAAGAAGATCGCAAAAGGTTTGTCAGGTAGCCCTGGACCCCTGTAACTGTTATGAACCACGGATCAAGCATCCGAATGTAAATCATGTGATGCTGCAACGGTCATAAGTGTGAGAAATGGTCATAAGTCACTTTTGTCAGTGCAGTTGTAATTTCCAACGGTCACTAAACGAACTGTTGTTAAGTCGAGGACTATCCGTACCTCGCAGAACTAGGCAAGAGCTCCTCAGCGCTATTCCCATCCCTTCAGGCAAGAGAGGAAAGTACCTGATAAGGCCATCGCCCGCTGCTGGGGCTGGGCTGGAGGGGCAGCCCACCGACACTCCCTCCCCGCCTCCCATTTTCTGCAAAGAAGCGAGGCGCGCTTGGACTCGGTGGGGGGAGAGGGGGGGAAGAGGGGGGGACGGCTGGGCAGAGCCGGAACGGCAGCAGGGCGCAGCCACGGAGGAGGGGCGAACCGCGTCCACAGACAACGCCCCCTCCCCTCTTCTCATCCTTTGGCAACGGCGTCGCGGGACCTTCTCGGTGGGTTTTTTTTTTTCCTCCCCTCTGCTGCTTTTCGGAAGGCAACCGGCTGTTTCTCGCTTCTTTTCCCCCGATGAGCAGTGCGGGAGACGCTCAGGGGGGCTCCGGCTGAGGGGAAGAGAGGCAGGCGGAGAGTCCCGAGGTCTTCGGCAGGGTATGCGCGCGGGCAGCGGCAGCAGCAGGTAAACTCCCCTCCTTCCGAGGAGCAGGCAGGTCTCCGCCAGCGGCGAAAGAAGGGCGCTCCCGGCGGGGTAGGCAGCGCCGCCGCCCGCCTCCTTCGGCTTCGAGAGATGCGGTGCGGTGCCCGGGGGGGGGGTCAGGTCTGCGCGCGCGCGCGCACACACACACACACACACACACACACACACACACACACACACACACACACGGACATCCGAAGGAAGGCGCGCGAGGGGAGGGGAGCCACGCTGCAGCTGACCCCCCCTCCCTTTCCCTCCACTTCGTTACTCGAAAGTCAGGAGCGCGGAATTCGCTAGGATTGTAGCCCAAACGCCTTGGCTAGCTATAGAGGGCGTCTCGGCCAGTAAACCTCGACGGAACTGACTTCTGAGTAACACCTGCGCCATGGCTTTAAAACCCTGTACTGTACGTGTGGAGTTATGTTCAGTGGAGAAGCCTTACTTTGCACATGCTCAGAGATACCTCAGGTTTTGCTCCCTGGCGCTAAAAGGAAAACCAGGTGCTGCCTTGACAAGTTCTAACTAAGTCATACAGTATATTTCTTCTTCTTCTGCCCTGCGCTGCTTCTAATTCTAGTTTCCACTTGTTAATCATTCAGAAATCAGCTTTCCTTTCTATGCATCTTGTCATCTGGCAGCCTTCTCCAGGAAGGTTGTCCTGTTTCTGGAACTTGGACAGCAGCCACTGACACATTGTTGGCCATGCTCAGTAGCTTTCCATGAACAGGGTGACTGTTCTCTTCCTCCAGTTCTTTGATGGCTCACTTCTTTAAATCAGCTCTTTGACAGTTCAAAGAAACTTAATCATAGAACCTTGATTTGCCCCTCTCCCAATTGTTGGACTTTAATTCCCATCACCCTAAACAGCAGGTTGACTGTTGGGACCTGTAGTGCAAAAACATCAGCCAACTCTAGATTTAGTACCATTGCCACAGAATGCTCAACTAGGGGAGAAGCATTCATTGAAAAAGATTACTAGCCCAGAATCATATTTTTATTCTTAAAGGAACAAACCGAGGATAGCAGAAAACTTTACAACAGTCTTGTATGATAGATTGGACTGAGATGAAGACCTGGTCAGATTACCTAGTGAGGGTTATAACTGGTTATAGATTCAAATGCTGGCTTCCCTGATCCATAAATAGATAATCCATAAATAAATAATTTTTAAAAATGATGCTACAGTTTTGTTTTTGCAGGCTGATTTTGCTAGTAACGCTTTAAAAGGCAATCAAGTAATAGGTGGTCCCATCATAATTGAGGAAGACCTTTGGACTTTTGAAAGACAGGCTGGATATTTAAAGATTAGGGCATATAAAGCCTCATGCAACAGAGATACCTTGGGGGTCCTCCCTCCATTTTATAAATATTTCTGGAGTACCTGCATATGCTGAACCAATGAACTATCTCCTTCCTCATAGCTGCTGGGCAGGGAGGTAATAGCTTGGCTGGGGTTCACCAGGATAGAAACTGTTTTTAGTAACTTGGGGGCAAGAAGAAATTACACTTTCCTTGGGACCAAAAAGAGCCCAGAAATAACTAATCTTGAGGAAAGCTCTGTACACAAGAACAGTGAATTCAAACTTGATTTTCAGTCTAGAACATTTATGACTGATAGGTGGTGCATGAACACAGGCAATTTTGGTTTGTTCAGCAAGCTATGATTAGTTATCCCAGGGCTTAGCATATTGTGTGAATTTATCCTTAGCATCATAGACCATGTTGTTTTACATTGCTTTGAGCTACACTTCAGCAAGGTCTCAATTTTTCCACCTCATTCTAATTATGCTACTTGTAAGACATGCTTGGTTTGTACTTTGCATCAAAGTGTAATACGGTTTCCTTGTTTTGATTTTATTATGAAGTGTGAACAAATAGGAGATAAATGTAGGAGAGAGAGAGTCATTTTCCTCCAATGGCTGCATTTGCTCTTTGGGCTCTATACAATTTATGAACTCATATTTTTTCTATGTGCATGTGGGAACTTGCATAATTCATTTCTAGTGAATTCCCCAATTCAACTACAAGAGACTTGAAGGGAATTCAACATAAAGTTTATATTGAATATCTATTTATCTGACAAAGTATTGCATGCATGCCCATAATATTGCATTTATAATCTGTTTCAGTAAGCACTGTGGCTACAAATTCAAGTTTGAGGGATGAGTGGGTGAAATTAAAGAGGTTTCCACCTCTCTTTTTAAAGGGGTAAAAGACATCCTGCTACATTTCAGTGGCATAATCTAGGAAAACGGAGGGAACACCCGCAGGCTGCAGACTGTTTATCATTTGCTGTTTTATCAATTACTGTACTCAATAGAGATTCCTCTGTTTCCCTGAAGCTGCTAGGGGAAAATATGAGAAAATGTACATATACATTTAATTACCTGATTCACAGATTGTGCTACCTAATTCTGCCACTCCTATTAAAACCCTGATTTTGTTCTAGAATAGTAAGAAAGGGAGGATGCTCATGACACGATCCAAAATGCCTTTCCTGTGAATTCCCTGATTTAACCCAAGGATGTGTGTGCTATAAAAAGATAGGAGAAACTCCAGAAGGCAAATGATGCAAAGATCTAAGTGGCTAGGAAGTTTTCATTATGAAAGTCACCGTGTATTACCCCTGCACTCTAAATTAGCCATTGCATTGGTGGCCTTTTAATTTCTTCCTAACTATTTCATCCTTAGTTATAATCATCATTCCCTTCTTTCACATTTCAGCTATGTTTTCCTAAGGGTAGAGTGGTTACAGACATAATGCAGCTCTTTTTAAAGTTGTTTCTGTTTTCCCATCTGAAACAGAGGAGATCCAGCTACTCAGTGCAACCTGTATAAAAGTTGTTTGCATAGCCAAGGAAGCTACATGGAAATCTGGTGTACCAAAGCAATACCGCCACTATTACTTATTAGAAGTATAAAAATGGTTATCTTACTACAAGCTATACCTGACTTGCATTTCTGGTTTCTGTGAGATGAAGTGGTTACTGTTAAATGAACTAGTTTAGGATCTATAAAATAAATTAAAGATGATCAATGCTTTCATTGCTGTTTGGCCCAATCCATTGGCCAGAAGATTATCTGAACTACTTGCTTTATAATATTATCATGCAAAGTGGACTGCTGCATAGAGGAACTGAAAGGGAAAACATAACAATAGGATGGAGGCATTGTCTATTAGTACAACAGAGATGTTTCTGAGATTCTCCTCTTTCCACCTAACATCCCTCTGTGCTGCAATCATTTTGCAGAGCCGGCCTGTGATTTCTCAGCATTTGGGAGAGCTAGTTAGAAAAGGAGAGGCAGAAAAGAAAGTTTTTGTCTGATCCTTCCAGGTTTTATATAATCTATTTTTCTTTAGTCTTTATTTAGTTTGATAAAAAATAAAACAAGGTTGATTGGATCAGACTTTTAAAAATTGTCACCAGCAAATAACTGCCATTACTATTATTATCTTAGAATAGTAAGTAAAAATGATCTTGTTTGCAGTTGTTGATGATCTCTAGCCAGAGCGGGATGGAGATAGTGCAACCATCCTTGCTCTCCATGATCTCTCAGCGGCCTCCAATACCATCAACCAGGTTATCTGGTATCCTTTTGGGCTGGTAGCATAGTTTTGTGCTGGTTTAGCTCTTTTCTCCAAGGCCTGTCCCAATCAGTGGTGATGGGGAGTGAGAAGTCTAGCCCACAACCATTCCTCCGTGGGGTATCACAGGGCTCAGTACTCTCTTGACCCCTTTTTCATATCTATATGAAGCCACTGGGTGAGACAACTCACCACCAGTGACTGAGGTATCGTTAGTAAGCTGATGATATTCAACTTTTTATCTCTACTCTGGAGATCCAAGTGATGTTATCGTTGGCCTCTCATGGTGCCTGGAGACTTGGGGCCTGGATGGGGGGACAACAGATTTCAGCTGAACCTTGGCAAGGCTGAATGGCTTTGGGTGCCATTCAAGATTCAGGACTAACTTAGTTCTGGATGGGGTGGCACTGTCCCAGGCAGACCTGGTTTGTAACTTGGAGGTCCTGCTGGACTCATGACTCCTGCTCAAAGAGCGGGTGGCAGTCATAGCTAGGAGAGCCTTTGCGCAACTTTGTGTTGTGCACCAGTTGTGGCCTTTCCTGGATTGGAAGTCCCTATGCTCAGTCATTCAAGCCCTGGTCATCTTACATCTGGACTACTGCAATGGGCTCTAGATGGAACTGCCCTTGAAGAGCATTTGGAAGCCTCAAATGGCACACAGTATGGTGGCACAGGCAGTACTTGAGGCCTCCAAGGTGACCGTGAGCTGCACTGGGTGGCAGTTTGCCTCCAGCTGCAATTCAAGGTGTTGGTTATTACCTTTACCCTACATAGCATGGGTCCAGATTACCTGAGGAACCATCCCATCCAACTCGGACTGGCCCACCCCAACCATGCCGTCAGAGGAGGCATGTTGCAGGTCCCATTGGTCAAGGATTTATGGCTGGCGGGGTCCAGGAAAATGGCCTTCTCTGCATGACTTCTGTCCTTTGGAACATTTTACCCCTGAGGTGAGATTGGCTCCCACCCTTCTGATCTGCCCCAAGGGCCTGAATGTCTGGATATGACAGATAGATGGGGCTCCAGTGTGGGAGCATGGCCCTGGAGGCGGTTGATGAAATAAGAAGCAATCCTTCCTGCCCCCCCCCCCAATGCATCCTGCTTCCTCCCTCCCCATCTCTTAACTATAGTTCTATTTTGACTGTAATTTATATTTTCACTGTTTCAGAAATATTTATCTTTTATGATTACAGGTAGTCCTTGACTTATGACCATGATTGAGCCCAAAATTTATGTTGCTAAGTGAGATATTTGTTAAGTGAGTTTTGCTGCATTTTACGACTTTTCTTGCCACACTTGTTAAGTGAATCACTGCAGGGGTTAAGTCAATAACACCATTGTTAAGTGCATCTGCCTTCCCCATTGACTTTGCTTGTCAAATGGTTACAAAAAGGGATTACGTGAGCCCAGGGACATTACAACAGTCATAAATATGAGTCAGCCAAGTGTCTGAATTTTGATCACGTGACCATGGGGCTGTTGCGATGGACATAAGCGTGAAAAATGGTCATAAGTCACTTTTTTCAGTGCTGTTGTAATTTTGAACGGTCACTAAACAAACTGTTGTAAGTCGAGGACTACCTGTATAATACTTTTAACACTGCCAGCTGCCCAGAGTTGTTTTGAAATGAGATGGGTGGCAAATACATTTATATTCTGAATTATTTGTCTAGCAGAATGAACCCAGTAAGATAGTTCATTATTATTTCCATTACTTCAGGTTGAGAGACAATGCCACATGAAAAATCCAGCTAGAGTCTGGACTTAAATTATAAGAACGATGAATACTTGTGTCCTATATATAGTATATATTTAAATAATCTGTGCTATTTAATTTTAGAAGTTTCAAAAGTTTCCATTTCAGTGGAATTGATGAAACTAAGCCAATAGTTTTGCATAATTTCTTTTTTTTTTTAAAAAAAAGGAAAAATTCCTGTTTTGTTGTTTTTTTAAGAAAGGAGATCATTACAAAGAGAAAATATGTACACACTATGATCTAACTAACCACTAAGTATCTAGATGATTAAGGTGAAGGTTTGTTTCCACTAGAATGGAGTTCTTCCTTTTTCACTTAATCATCTGGTTTGGCCCATAATAAAGGCTTATATAAGTGATGGTTGTGGGTTCACCCATTATGCTAAACAATGATTTGTTTAAGCATGGGTATTCTGTTTTGTCAGCTAAGACTTTCCTCTTGTAGAACACAAACTGAGAGTTTAACCTCCTGTTCTCTTCCTTATTCTCTCTGAGGAAAGATGTCAGTAAGTTAAGGATAATTTGTTCAATAAGCTATGGCAGTGATGGCAAATCTCTTAGAGACCGAGTGCCCAAACTGCAACTCAAAACCCACTTATGTATCATCGGGTGCCAGGTGGGCGTGACCCATTGGATGGGCGTGGCCCATTGGATGGTCATAGCTGTGGTGGGAACAGCAGACTGGGTGGGACTAAAAATTCCATCAATCAATTCCAACTTTGCGAGATCTTTTTTTTTCCCGCAAGAAGTTGAAATTGATTGATTGGTTGAACTTTTTTTTTTTTGCATACAGTGGTGGAGGCCTAAAGCAAAAAGGTTTTATAAAACCCAGCTAAAGGCCTAGGACTGGGGGCGATGGCGCGCGTGCCCACAGAGAGGGCTCTGAGTGCCGCCTCTGGCACGCGTGCCATAGGTTCGCCAACACGGAGCTATGGTATGCAAACTGGAATGGCAGTGTGTATGAAATAGATTATAGTGACCTGATTTACATATTGTGCTGAGTCATAAGCCATGGTTTATAAACCACAATGGCCAGGTATACATATGTGTTAAGCCTAGTCCAAAAAAAATCACATGATTTATTGCTGCATGTAAAGCCAATCACTTATATCTGGAGCTTCCAAATTAATCCATCTATTATATCTGGAGCTTCCAATTTAATTGATCCAAAAGGATCAAGTATCATTTATTATGTGAATGTGTGGATATGTGCTTCTATGAATAATAAATGAAGATGTCTAAATGCTTTAAGAATTCAAACATTAAAAATTCCACAATGAAGTGATCCGATAAAGGAACATTAATGCATTGAAGGGAAGATACATCTATCATTCTTTGGATTTCGGCCTCGCCTGGATTTTGCAATTCATTTCTCAGTTAACTACCCATTTAAAAGGATAGATTTTGAATGAAATATATTTAGACCTGTATAGTTCTAATAAAATACACTTATTTAAATATCAATATTTGTGTGGCTTAAATATTTTTTAGTGTGAAAAAGAGATGGAATGTACCAATGTACAGTATATTAGTGGACTAATAACAGCTTAACTATTCTTTCCCAAAATGCAGGTGGAAACCAAATTCTCATGCTGAGAATTTCCCAGGAAAAAGTAGGCATTTTAACTAAGGGACTAGGTTTCATAAGCATATGTCTTCATCCTCCCTTCCTAGTTTTGGTCTTGTAGCCATCTGCCTTCTTCCATCAGTAAGTTACTAAAGAGCAGTTCTCAACTTCATGTCTCTCAGAAATTTTGCATTATAATATCTATTGTTCCTGAAAATTTGGGGGCATACTGGCTAGAGCTGATGGAGACGGCAGTCCTGAATTTCTGAAGGCTACTGATTTGGAGAAGTATATAGAGGTATATAGAAGCTGGTATATAGCTGAGAGTAGTATATGATTCTTAAATATTCTATTCTGTACTGCCCAATTTTTCCTGTTATTAAATGCACTGCACTTGGGTCTTTGCAGTTATCTTCATCTCTCTAGCCATGGATAAGCAAACAACATAAAATTATAGGAAGCCTATTTGAGTTTCCAGAGAAGCAATGAGATATAAAAGTAGTATATAAATAAGCAAGGACTCTGAAGATCCTTTTTGCCCCTAATCTGTGTTCCTGGGTTGGAGACTAAGGTAATACTTCAGTATTGTCTGAAAAACTGAGCATGCTTCCATCTCTTATTCTTTATTTCAGACTCCCACAATGAGAAGGGAAATGCTGTTCCTCGCAGCACTCCATGCTGCTGTACTCTTTGCTTCCATTCAAGTCATGGCTCAAAAAAGGGAGAGAGGTGAGTCACGGTTAATTTAACCCTGCATGGAAGCCCAATAGATTAGAACGCCAACTTTTGTCTTTTTGCATTGGCGAGAGGAGTTATGGCAGGAAGCTCATGGAAAGCTAAGAGGTAAAGCTGTTCGTCTGTTAGAGAAGGCCCCTGGAGAGAAGGGTTTGTCAAAACACCACTTGAAATCTTGGAGAGCTGCACAAAGCACCATATGTTACGATTTCACTTCTAGCACACCTGGTGTAATAGGAGAGCAAAGATTAGATACTGGAGTTCATTTAGAAGTCCCCAGAAACTACAGTGGGATGAGAGTTCCTGTGTGGAGTTGAACATGGCCAGGTTTATTTTTCATAACTTTGTGTATTTGAAAGCATTTTTATAGAGTGTAATTAAAAAAAAAACAGTTACAGAATATACCCGGTTAATTTCATAACAGCTATGCAATGGGAGGAAAGGAACACTGCTATTTTTTTCCTCCTCAATGTTTCTAGCCATTTAATACTAATAATTGCTTTGACTGAGCGGGGTTGATGGTGGGTAATTTAGGGATAGAAAACCTCTGATCCTGAACCTAATTTCAGAAGCCTTGATAAACGTTTTCCTCCCTTCCTTGCAACCTGCTGCTTGGAAGAGAGAACAGAGGGTGTATAAGAAAGAGTGTAGCTGTTCCCATTCACACCTAGCTTTAACTGTGCCATACATGTGGTCTTCCGAAGAGATCTCATCTGAAGAAATGCAGCTCACAACAGAACAAAGTTATGCATTTCTGCAGTAGGGGCATTGAATTGATGACTCTAATGATTTTATTTGCCAAGGCTTAGTCATGACTCACTACTTCCAAAGTGAATCATGATGTTGTGATTGTAAATCAAAGACTACCTGTAGTCTTCTCACACTAGTTATTAAGCCAAGGCTTTTTCTATTGTGTAATGACTTCTATGATCAAATCAGTTATGGGCTCAATGTATGAAGTGTGCAAAAGCTGTAGACCTTTTTGAATAGGAACGTTTCAGTCTGGCTCTGTGGGATTAAAGGTTCAAGTAGTATATAACTGTGTGTAGACCAAGCCCTGCTTGTGCTCTTCTTTTGCCTTGTAATATAAATGGATGGAGGGGATCCACTGATGAAGATAAGCTTTCTGATCAGTTGATATTGCCTTGCAGTGATCTGCACCAATGTGTACCTGGCTGACATTGTATTCCTGGTAGATGGATCCTCTAGCATCGGCAGGGGAAATTTCCGCATGATTCGATCCTTCATGGAAGGACTGGTTGTTCCTTTTATCAATGTGGTGGGTCCGAATGGGGTACGTTATGCAGCTGTGCAGTACAGTGATGACCCCAGGTGAGTCCTTGTCTTCTTGCTTTTAGTTTTATTCACTTTAGGTGAATTCTTGGAGAACATCTGTATTACTGACTTGGATAATTAAATAGGGCTGCTATATTCCAAGACATAATTTCACTAAATACTAGATGCTGGGATCAATCAGTTTGCCTTCATGGCATGCAGAATTCTTTGAGTTTTCTAGGTGGCCACAATTGGGAATATGATGTTCAATATATTAGATAGCCTGCCTTCCCCCAGACTGGTGCCATGCAAGCTGGGAGTTGAACTCAATGCTCCCTGAAAGATACTGGTTTGGGGAAGACTGCGATGTCAAACACCAAAGAACTGTTAACAGGTTTCATTTACAATTAAAACTCTATTTACTTTTAACCGTCCAAAATAACAGAATAACAGAGTTGGAAGGAATCTTGGAAGTCTTCTAGTCCAATCCCCTGCTCAGGCAGGAAATCCTATACCATTTCAGACAAATGGCTGTCCAATTTCTTGTTAAAAACCTCCATCCACAACTTCTAAAAGTAAGCTGTTCCACTGGTTTATAGTTCTCACTGCCAGGAAATTTCTCCTTAGTTTTGGTTGCTTCTCTCCTTGGTTAGTTTCCATCTGTTGCTTCTTGTCCTGCCTTCAGGCGCTTTGGAGAACAGCTGGACTCTCTCTTCTTTGTGGCAGCCCCTGAGATATTGGAACACTGCTATCATGTCGCCCCTCGTCCTTCTCTTCATTAAACTAGACATACCTAATTCGAGAAACTGTTCTTTTTATGGTTTAGCCCAGGGATCACCAACTTGTAGGCCAGGGGCCACTACTGGGCTATGGCCTGCTGGCCACTGGGCCACAAAACAGGCTGCCCAGGGCACGCACTCACCCCACTCACACTAGCGCCACCACCATGCAAACGGGCACTGCGTCGCAAAAATGGGGCACTGTGTGGCTAAAACGGGATGCTGTGTGGCGAAAACAGCACCGCACAGCAAAAACAGGGTGCTGCATGGCAAAAATGCAGTGCCACATGGCAAAAATGGGGTGGTGCTAGTGGCCGCATGCCAAAAATGGGAGGTACTAGCGAGTGTCACACAGCTGCTAGCACGGCTCCATTTGCATCATATGCGCTTGTGGCCTGTTTGTGTATGTGCACACACGCGTAAAATGCTTCCCCCTCCCTTTCCCTCCAGCCTGCCAACGGAGAAATGTTGGAGATCTCTGGGTTAGCCTCTTGACCCCTATGCCTTATTCCTGAAGGATGACCCTCAAAATAACCAGCCTGCAATTCTCAAGAGAAGGAAAAATATTTATCCTCTTTCTTTATTCTATTTGCAGAGTAAATCTATTTGATTAGAAAATGTGCATTGAGTAACATACTGGGCACAAAAGGGGCTGCTGTTTCTCTATGTGTGTTTGTGTGTTTGTGTTTGTGTATATCTTGTACATATTCTTGAGATTCATGTTCACTCTAAAGACAAACAAAACTGCATTCATGACATATAATTGCCTGTTACTTGTTAGAGGAGCCAAGTACTCTATTTATAACATTGAAAAGCTCCCAAAAAAACCTCACAGAGATTGATTTAAAAAAAAAAACTACAAAAATCAGTTATAGAGCAGTATGCTGAGAAATATTTTCTCTCACCTGATGGACTTTCAAATAATTTAATTTTGTTCCGATTCCAGGATTGAGTTCAAATTCTCTGACTTTCTCAATGGAACGGAAGTGATACAGGCTGTTCAAGAGATAGCCTTCAAGGGTGGAAATACTCGCACAGGAGCAGGCCTGCGTTATGTAGCAGATAATTTATTTGGGGCCAGTCAGCTCCGGCCTAGCATTCCAAAGGTACGGTGAAAACATTTTCTGCCCCAGCAGAAAGGGAAGAGAATGGCCAGAGAGTTCTGGGTATAATCTTATAGGTTTTGTCAATTCTTATAGCCATTTTTGGTCACTTATGATATTGAAAAGTCATGTTTTTCAGTGGAAGTATGACCTGTTGCTTCCTGAATGCTGAATGAATGTAGCACTTAATCCTCAACTTTTTTGAACTTAAAGGGCTGCATGAGCAATATCTGCCTATTCTAGTTTCATCATGTAAGCAAAACACCCCATAAGAACATTTAAACGCTACATATTATTAATAGACCAACATTAAAAAATAACTCTTACTGGTGTTCTGAAATAAGGGTATTGGTTCTTAGAAACAAGTTTAGCAGTCTTGACCTTTATTTCTGCCTCAGCCATCTAATTGCAGCTGGTCAGGCTGAGCATACACTGAGCAGTTCTTCAAAAAGAATTGACCTTAAATCTTTGGGCATTTGTATGTCTTATTATTGCATTTTCTTTTCCCTTAGATCTGTATTCTCATTACTGATGGAAAGTCTCAGGATGAGGTTGAGCAGACAGCCTTAAAACTGAAGAATCAAGGCATTAAAGTCTTTGCTGTGGGTAAGTGATCTTGCCGTGTAGGATGGGTATCAAATAAGGACAAATTTAATGGGGCGTTCTCCCTCCATCACCTCCCCCTTGCTGTTAACTGTTTGCTGAAAGAAAAACATATTGTATGGGTGGTACGTGAAATGCATAAACCAGTTCCTACTTGCCAGATTAGGGATAGGTGAGATTGAGAACATTACAAGCACGGGATGGGCCCTCTAGTTTTATTAATCCTGGAAACCCTCCCCTCTCACAGACTTTGCTTATGTCTCCAATAAACCTGGGGAAGTCTGCACTTGCAAACTGAGAATTCAGTTGTACAACTATAATACAGCTCTAAGGCTAATTGTTACCAAAAGTAATTGTTTATCAGTGCATTGTTCTTGATGCATAGATAAATATTTTTCCAGAGTAGAATTTAAAATAAACAAAAATTAAAAGCAAGTGAAGTGTTTAAAAAAAGATGGCCATGTCAACACAAGTCAACAGAAACACAAGTACTATTTTCGCAGGAGAAATCCCTTGAAGATCATTGCTTTTATTAAATCAACTCAAAAGCCACAAAAATGTACAGGCTTTCAAAATCTCCACATTTCTTCATCAAGCAAGATATTCATCTCACCACCCGATTATGAAGACATTGCCATTTTAATATCTTTAATAATGCTTCTTTTCCTATCTTTCCATGTTCTTTTTTTTATTGCCCACCGAAGAAATCTCCAAGGGCAGGGCAAGAAAATTACATGCATTTTTGGCATTTGCCTAAGAAAAACATAGTCCTAATATAGATTTCAAATTACAATTGTTTGTGTATAAGATATGTGTGGAAGCATGTTTTTCTTAGCAAAACCATAGAAGACTTCCAGTACTTTCCAAACATTTTTTTGAAGGAGGACAAAATATCTCCCCAGAGAGCTTGGAGCAACTGTTACTGTTTTCCACCAAGTTTCTGTGGTGGAAATTTTGCATGTTTGGATTAAAAACAACTAGGACAAGAACTGACAGAGCTTAACTGGTCTCAACTATTCTTTAGGGCAATAGACTGGAGTTTTTCTCAGCCCTATCTAAAGATGTTGGGTACTGAACTGCATCCAAAAGATGTGCCCTTCCAGAGAACTCAGGTTATAGTAGCTTTCCAAATTACAATAGTTAAATCAGGTTTATAGTTTCAGGAGGCCTCCATATGTTTTAGTGTAAGGCTTCCATGTTTCTTCCCTTTGGTCAAGTTGGCCAGGGGGCTGATGGGAGTGGAATCCAAAATGTCTAAGGATGCCAGTTTCTCAATCTCAGTTTAAATAATGGCAAAATTTACCTTAGTGATCAAAGCCCAGTTTATTCTGAGAGTTGCTCCCAATGTGAAAAAGACTGAGTGCCACAAGAATATAGCAATTATTTAAAGGAGGATCGGAGCTGAAGCAGGGTGCTTCTTTTTTCTCTCCTTCACCCAGGTATCAAAAATGCAGACCGGAAGGAGCTTGACCGAGTGGCTTCTACACCCACAGAAGATTATTCCTTCTATGTTACTGATTTTAAAATCCTGGCGTCCCTCCTGCCACTGGTGTCACAGAAGGTGTGTGCCAGCACAGGAGGCATCCTCCAGACAATAGGTAAAGGATTTGGAGGACTTTGGTGTTCAGTTTGATATGCTATATAACTTTTGGAACTTTCCCTTCAGTAAACATCTGAATTTTGTTCTTCTCTTCTTTCCATGGAAACAATATTGGAGGAACCTTAGGTCAGGGCCACTGATCCCATCTTATTATTGATTTGATTTGACCCAGCAAGTGGATAGCATTCCATCCTTCCATTACAGGCCCCAGGCCCCACTGATGTCAATGCTGTCACTCTTCAATTGATAGATCCTTTCAGTTTTTCTGAAATGCTTAGCCTTTCTTTTCTATGTCTACAACTGTCTGGAATGGTCTGTGTCAACAATAAACCTAATTTATGTTGTGCTCTCTGCTTTTTCTTTCCCTAAGGTGCCTACAATGGTCCTTCCAACCTGGCCTTTGTTGAACAAGGAACAGACATGCTAAGGATCCGTTGGACAGCAGCTGGTGGTCCTGTAATTGGATATAAAATCCAGTATGTACCTTTGACTGGCCTGGGGCAACAAATCATGTCAGAAAGGCAGGAGGTGAGTATTTTTAATAGTGCAATCCTCATGTTTTCTCAGAAGTAAATTAAGCAATGTTCAGCTATAAAACAGGGCAGTTTTAATGTGGCAGATACATATGTGCAAAACATTTATTATTGGGGAATTCTGAATTGTCCTGTTTTTCATCCAAGATCACATTCTGGGCTAACATAGCAGTTTTCTAGAAGTGAAACTTCTGGAATAAGAAGTGGTTTGTGGTGTTCTGTGGGTGACATTTCTCAGGATAAAATATTATGGAAACAATTAATGTGGGGGTAAGGTCCTTATTGGCCTGAAAAGAGATTGAAGGTACATTATCAAGGTCATGCTATATTAACGGCATTCCCCCTCCAAATTAAAACAACAGACTAGCCCATGTTCCAGAGTGCTCTTTTAGTTGATACACATTGTTATAGTTGATGTAATAATATTGACTTTTTGTTTATAAAAAAGGATGAAAGGTCCAGGGTCCTGCATTCTAAGGGAGTTGTCTCATCACTTTATCTTTTTAAGAATGTAACTTATTTCTTGAGCTAGTTACCCTATCAGATTCCTTTGACCATCACCCAGTTCTTATTTACTTAAAGTCCTTTTGGCTATATAACAGAGCTATCATTTTCTTGTGTGTGTATATTAAAATATTTGACAATAGAAGAGACAAACCTGGGGAGTGATATTTTGATGAATTTAAGTCAGTGGTGGTGAACCTATGGCACGGGTGCCAGAGGTGGCACTCAGAGCACTCTCTGTGGGCACACGTGCCATTGCCCCAGTTCTAGACCTTCATCTGGATTTTATAAAACCTTTTTGCTTTAGGCCTCCGCAGCCGTGTGAAAAAAAAAAGGTTCAATCAATCAGTCAATTTCAACTTCTCACGGGGAAGAAAAAGATCTTGCAAAGTTTGAATTGATTGATTGAACTTTTTAGTCCCACCCAGTCTGCTGTTACCACTGCAGCCACGCCCACCCAGCACCCGACGATGCATAAGTGGGTTTTGGGTTGCAGTTCGGGCACTTGGTCTCTAAAAGGTTCGCCATCACTGATTTAGGTGATAATGAAGCAGGGGGTTGGCCAGCTTTGATCACTCTGTTATTCTGTCTAAAGTTGTTTTAAGCAATAACTCCATCTAATAAATCGCGATCAACACTTTAGTGCAAGGAATGTGAGGTGAACATGTGCAAGTAGTATAAAATGAACATTAAACATGTTAGAGGATTTGCAAGCAATGTGCAGTAAACACAAAATGTGTAAAGTGTTTTTTTTATTTGCCTAGAAGAGGAGATTTTTATTTTTACATAAAGCATTAATGCAGTTTTGAAAAAAAGACATTTTATTTATTCCTAGTAAAATTAATTAGCTTTAATATTGTAGTGATAAATTTTCATCAGATTAATAGTATAGAGGTAGGAGTTACTTGTCCCTCCTCAAGCCATTTTTATCTGAGAAAAACCAGAAATAGTAGAACGTTAATTCATACAGATGGTATTTACATATGTGATTAGATATGGTGGCAATTAATGAGTAGTAACAGATTCATTCTGGATACCAAACAGATCAGTGTAGGATCTGGTGAGACAAGCACTGTACTTCGTGGCTTGAAAAGTGGGACAGATTACCTGGTCACTATTATAGCTCAGTATGCCAACCGCATTGGAGAATCAGTTTCTGGCAAAGGACGGACACGTGAGTAATAAGCCCATCTTTGATGTACTGAGATTCTGTAATTTCTTTGACATTTCTTGATATACTTCCTTTTAAAATTCCTCCCAAATAATTCCAGAATTTGGTGCTTTCAGATTTCTTGGGTATAAACTCCCATTTGTGCTTCTTTGGGTGTTTGTGTAGCCTTATTATGTATAATATTTAGAATTTACAGCTAGGAAGTTTCTCTGAAATAGTTCAGGACATAGCCACAGTTTTTTGGTTGCAGAGTTGGAGAGCTGGTGAATAAGTTGATGGCTATCTTCTGGGATGCCAGTAAAAGCCATAATAAAAAGTCTGATATTGTCATGAATTTATGTTGTCTAAGAAACCCTGCTAATACAGGAATTTAAAGTCTTTTCCATTGTGGCATTGGAGTCCTAAATAGTCTCCAGGGCAAGTATGCATTCACCATCTTTTTTCCTAGCATTTGGGTGATTCTGTCCATATCCTGAGCACCTGACTCGTACATTCTTACAGGGCGTTATATTGCTTTTGAAGATGTCTTTATTTAGTTATCATGACAAGCAAATGAATGTATAGGTCCATGTATGTCATCAGGAGTGCTCTACTCAAAACTAACTTTATATTAAAAAATAATGTATTAATTCATCATACTGTGTGTGCTATTCCCATCAGAATGTTTTCCCCAATATACAGTGCATTCAGAAAGTATTCAGACCCCTTCACTTTTGTCAGTTTTGTTATGCTGCAGCCAGATTCTATAGCTGTTGAAATTCATTTTTTTCTCATTAATCTACACTCAGTACTCCATAATGATAAAGTGAAAACAGCAATTTAGAAATATCTGTAAATTTAGTAAAAAGAAAAAACCTGAAATATCATACTGGCATAAGTATTCAAACCCTTCACTCAGTACTTTGTTGAAGCCACCTTTGGCAGCATTTACAGCTTCGAGTCTTTTTGGCTATGAAGCAACAAGCTTTGCACACCTGAATTAGAGGATTTTCTGCCTGTCTTTCTTGTAAATCCTCTCAAGCTCAGTCAGGCTGGATGACGACCATTGGTGGACAACCATTTTCAGGTCCTTCCAGAGATGTTTAGTAGGGTTCAAGTCAGGGGTCTGGCTGGGCCACTCTAGGACAAAGTTGTCCCTGAGCCACTCCTGTATTGCCTTGGCTGTGTGCTTAGGATGGTTGTCATGTTGAAAAGTGAACCTTAATGCCAGTTTGAGGTCCTGAGCACTGTGGAACAGGTTTTCATTGAGGATATCCCTGTACTTGGCTCCATTCAGCTTTCCCTCAACCCTGACCAGCCTCCCAATCCCTGCTGTTGAAAAATATCCCCACACCATGATGCTGCCACCACCATGCTTCACTGCTGGATGACATTGGGAGGGTGATGAGCGATGGGGTTTCCTTCAAACATAAGGTTTAGAATTGAGGCCAAACAGTTCTAACTTGGTTTCATCAGACCAGAGAATCTTGTTCTTCACAGTCTGAGAGTACTTTAGGTGCTTTTTTGCAAACTCCAAGCGGGCTTTCATGTCTTTTGCACTGAGGAGAGGTGTCCATCTAGCCATTCTGCCATAAAGCCCAGATAGATGGAGGGCTGCAGTGATAGTTGTCCTTCTGGAACTCTGTCCCATATCCACATAGGATCTCTATAGCTCCTGGTTGTGCCAAACTTCTTCCATTTGAGAATTATGGAGGCCACTGTGCTCTTAGGGACTTCAGTACAGCAGAAATACTATTGTAGCCTTCTCCTGATCTGTGCCTTGCAATAATCCTGTCTAAGCTCTGTAGGCAGTTCCTTTGACCTCATGGCTTTTATTCTGCCACAGTATGCATTGTCAGCTGTGAGGCCTCCTATAGAGAGGTGTGTGCCTTTCCAAATCATGTCCAATCAATTTAATTTACTACCGGTGGACTCCAATCAAAGTGTAGAAAAATGTCAGCAACGATCAAGAGAAATGGGAGGCACCAGAGCTAAATTTCACCTGTTGTTGCAAAGGATCTGCATACTTATGCCAATGTGACTTTTCAGTTTTTCCTTTTTAATAAATTTATAGACATTTCTAAAATTCAGTTTTCACTTTGTCATTATGGGGTACTGAGTATAGATTAATGAGAAAAAATTTAATTTCAACAACTGTAGAATCAGGCTGCAGTGTAACAAAATTAACAAAGGTGAAGGGGTCTGAATACTTTCTGAATGCACTATAGCTATCTAGGCTGCTATTGGGCTGAACCCCAGGAAATACTTCATGTGTGTTTTGAAACTACTGCAGTGACTACAAAGCCATTTTAAATATTAGTCAAAGTCCTGGGATTGATCTTTAGAGCCCTATACAGCTTTTGGACTTTGTGCTTAAGGAGTGTCTTTTCTCACATGTGTCTTGGCTGCCCATTTTTATAACTTCCACTGTCTGATGTCAGGTAGACAGATTGTTCTGTAATACCCTGTTTGTAACAGCTAAAACCTTTTCATTATCCTGTATCATTTTCAATGAGTTGCCAGCATAATCTTACAATGCCAGGTTTTCTGCAATCATGATCCTGCCAGCTTTCATTTGTTCCAGGCAGCCTAATGGTTGGGGTACAGGTGTTGTATTCCTGGTGTTCTGAAGTGAGTCTGGCTGGAAATGGCTTTGCCATTTTGCTCATGTAGTTCATTCCACTATGAGTGACAATGACTCCATCATAAATTCCTATTAGTATAAATTCTCTCATAACACAACGTGTCTGGGACTCATGTGAAATGTGAATGTGAAGGACCCACCCCACTGATTCTTTATTTTCCTCATAGAGATCCCAATTCTTCGTTTTCCTTACAGAGATCCTGTCTGGAGTGACGAATTTTCGGGTGTTGGAAACAGGACCATTTTTCCTCAGACTGTCCTGGACAGCTGATCTGAATGAAGCCCTACAAGGCTACAGGCTCACTTATGTGGCTAGAGGTCAGTGCAAAACTTGACAGGGGTGATTTTGGGGATTAGAAGTGTTAAGTGTCAGAAGGTGCTAAGTATCAAAAAGAATTAATTCAATTGCTTCAGGGAGTACTGGAGCTGAAGTGGAACAGGAAGTATATGGCTGGTGCTGCAGTTTCTTTTTAACCCCCTTGGTAGCTCTTCATCTCCTGATTTACAGGGATGAGGGAGAACAAGAATTGCTGTGTTTCTTTAGGTTATAATACTTGCACTCTAGCAGAAAAGTGAGTCCTTCATCAGAATGAAGCACGTTGTCTAGGAGGGAGACAACTGTACTGTACACCCCTGTCCTGTAACAGCTCTTGTTTGTTGAGGATTGCAGACTTTAAAAAAACAAATTGAGTTGGAGAGAGGGTAACTTTATATCCAGTCCCAATTGCTCCCAAGCATCAGTCTAACTACCAAATGCAACAAGGGTCAGAATTCATGGTTTCTTGGGTAAGAAAATCCAGGCTCAGGAAAGTAGACCCTACTGGAATATTCACCTACGACTTGTTGTGATGTTCTTGTCAGAAGCTGCACCTGGAGCTGCCTCACCTCAGCCTGCAGCCATGCTGGTGCTTATAGCCCTGGCAAGTCTCCCAGTGCCTCACCCAGTGTCTGGCCACACCTGCTGCCAAGGGAATTCATCTGCCTAGCAGAGAATGCTGGCCCTGTGGGCACCAAAATGAATGTTGATGAGATCACCATCAACTGTTGCTTTTGCTTGCGGCTTTGCTTGGTGTGATTCAATCAGAAAGAAAGCCTGGGCAAAAAAAAAGGGTCTTGTATCTGTCACTGTCATTTGTCTGTCAATGCTCTCTAGATAGTTGTTCTAATCCACTTTAGAGTAAAAATGGTCTATGTTAAAATGGTCTCCGTTCCTTGTTCAGCAGCTAAAGAGCCATGTTCCATGCAATACTAAATACTCTGAAATAGAGGGTGGAGATATACATGGGATCAAGTGGAAAACAAATGAGCCCAGTCCGGAGATACATGTAAGCTGGATTCCTGTAGCTGCTGTATTACAAGGAAGTGTGGGAAACTTTCAGTCCTACGGACTTCAGCCTAGTTCCGTATAGCATGTGGCTTAATTTTCAAAGCTCTCAGAAAGGATCAGTTCAGATTTCTGTTAACTATCTGTCTCATCCCTTCAATCCGCTATCGGGGGAAGACAGAAGAGAGTATCAGAAGGAAAGAAAGTAAGAAAAAGAGGAGAAATGGATTAGAGAGATGAAGACAAGGTCCAGCAAGAAAATGAATATTCTCCCTTACTTTTGGCTCTGTATTTATTAAGTAGTTTTTTTGAGTCCACCATGTGGCTGCTGGCCAACTGTGTATGTGTTCCTTCAGATCACTGTTGACTTCTGGTAACTGCCTGGCCAAGGTCTCTGTAGTTTTCTTGGCAAGATTTTTTTGGGAAGTTATTTGCCATTGCCTTTTCCTAGAGCTGAGAGTAACTGTCCCAAGATCACTCAGAGGCTGGACTAGAACTCACAGTCTCCCAGTCACTTGCTTTCTAGCCTGTTGCTTTAACCACTGCAGAATGCTGGGATAGCTGGAAAACCTGTGGAAGATACAAGGTTGGGGGAAGACTATTTTAAAATGAAAAAAAACCTCATTTATCAATAATTTTGTTTTCCTGAATTAGTGATATAATTCAGTCTTTAAATTTCAATGTTAAAAAATGAAGAATGAAGTTCCAATAAGAATTTGAGCTGTAATTTTATCAACATGTTTAAGGAAGTAGCACTAGCCAGTGATCCTATACATTTCTCATACATTTTTATGTACATTTCTAAAATTACCTTTTGTTTTTCCTTCTGAAAGGTGAAGCTCAGGCTGAAGAAGTGAACCTTGATGCCAGTTCTACTTCATTCTTGCTCAGCAACCTTCGACCTAACACTGACTATGTGATAACATTGCATCCGATCTTCCCACATCATACAATAGTGCCTGCTGTAGTTCATAGTCGAACATGTAAGTGTCGCCTAAATTAAGGAAGCAAAGCTTTGTTCCTGGAATAGGTGTTACAGAGTGCAGGAGGGTGCCTGGGTGCCATGAGCAGGTACTACAGAGGATGGGGTGGGTGCCACAGCAAGCACTGCGGAATATGAATGGGCGGGTGCATGGCATGGGCAGGTACTACAGAGAATGGAGGGGTGGACAGCTGCTTCAGGCAGACACTATGGAGTGCCGATGGATGAGTACTATGGGCAGAAGCAATGGAGCATAGGCGGATAGATATCATGGATGGCCACTACAGAGTGCAGGCAGGCAGTGCCACACTAGGCATTATAGACTGAACTATAGAGCATAGGTGGCAAGCAGGTGAAAAAGGGGGCATGAGAGAGACCTGTAGGAATGACTTGCAACCTCCTGCTCGCTTCCCCCTTGACTTTGCTTGTGGGAAGCCAGCAAATAGTGATCATGTGACTGTGGGATGCTGCAACTGTTTTGCAAGCCAGTTGCCAAGTACTTGACTCACAATCATGTGTCTGTTGGGACTCTGCAATAGCCTCAACTTTGAGGACTGTTCTCAAGTCCCCCCTTATTCAGCACCATCATAGCTTTGGTCACTGAACAAGTGACTGTAATCCAAGGACTATCTGATTTGCCTGTTGTTAATCCGGCCCTGATCAGGTACCTAAGGAACTATAGACTTTCCAGTGTTTAGTTTATACATGAAGTAGGCTTTGAGAAATGTGAGGTGCCAGGATTGGGACTTTCTTGTCTTTATCTGGAACTCTTTTAGTAGGCTTTTTAGTCTACTATAAAGATACTGATTGTGGGTATTATCAGTTAGTACAACTATAAAAACATCCATAACTTCATAACTTAAATAGGGAAATCATGCCTTTGCCTTTCATAATCTTGAAGCATAACTGTTTAAATATGTGAATTCGGTGAGGAAATACAGGTCATGGAGATTTGGATTCTAGGTTTATTGATAATTAGATAGTTGAACCATCCTTCTGCTCATCTTGTTTTCCTCTCTCTCTCTTTAGTGAATTTGGCAGGAATACAACAACTAAGTGCCCAGGACATCTCCTCCCAAGGGATGCTGGTGATCTGGAGGGGTGTGAGTGGAGTTACTGCATATCGTGTTACCTGGGAACTCCTCTCAGGTATATCTGCTCACTGGTACTTTTTCATGTTATATAAATATTTCTTCTCATATACCAAGTAAGACCCTGTTCTCCATTCAGACACTGAATGACAATTTTGCATTAATTATACTATTCAGTCAACAGACTGAAAATGATTTTCAAGATATCAAAACTTCCATTCTGAATAACAAGTGAGACTGTTGTCTAATTAGACATCTGTATGGTTTTTTACTAATTGTTACAGTAAAAAACAATGGAAATAAGAGCACTTGATGGCAAATATAAATCTTGCAGACCTGAACAAGGCCTGAAAATAACTGACTAGGCTCTAAATAGCATTATAATATTACACAAATAGGTACTGTATATATACACACACAAACACACAAATACAAACAGGAATATAGAAAGGCACAGACTATATGAAGCAAGAGTTTCTTTTTTAAAAAATGTATTTAGCATTATATTCTTATAATATTTAATAGTATTAAAAATACACCTACACACTCTATCCATATGTGATAAATTAATATATCTTCTAGAAGGGAGGTGGTCCTGATATGCATAATTTTCCAATCTAAGTACACTTTTCCAATAATTTTATAGGCTGCTGTGTAATTTAGTTACAGGTTTATCCAGAAATCACTGTAAGTTGGGCTCCAAAACACAAGAAAGACACACATAATTATTTCTAAGCAATTTCCTTTATTTTTCCTCACCTATAGATAGAAATATTGCCAAATTAAAGCAACATTGCATCATTATACATTGAGAACTTCTAGGAAGAAGTTATCTTTTTCCCAACTAAGCAATGTAAAGTGCAATAAGAACTGATTATGAGTCTTAGATGGAGTGATGACACTATCCACAATTCAAAACTTGAAAGTGGCAGATCTGCACTCTTAAGTGTTTCAATAAAATGTCCAAACCCCTGTAATTTTTCTTTTTGCAAGAAATCTATTAATTAACTTCTATACTCCTTATTTAGAATACTTTCAAGTTAATACAATTAGTTTCCCACTTAATTAATAGATTAAGAAGTTAGGAGTAGTATTAAAAGGCTACTGTATCTAAAAAGACGTTGTATATTTGTGGTAATGACAATGTCTACAGGAAATATCACTTCCAATGACGTGATGAGAAGTAAAGAATTAAGGATCTCTTGCTGAATGTGAAAGGAAAGGAATAAAGGTGGTTTGCTGCAATTCAGCATGTGGTCATGTCATTCACAAATGCATATTTTGTATGGATAATAGCTAACAGCTCTGTTGCATTTTGCTTTGTATTTTGACATTTCTTAGGTCAGGGTCGTCAAACAGCTGATGTGGATGCCAGCAAGAATTCATATTTGTTAACTAGGTTGCAGCCTAACACTGATTACCTGGTATCTGTTGTGCCACTCTATGGACAGGTAGAAGGTCCCAAGGCCTCTATTAGGAGGAGAACAGGTATGCACGCTTGCTGATGATTATTTTTGTTATGTTACTAGCGGTACTACAGTTAGTATTGCTTCTGCTGCTATTACAATAACCACCACTGCAGATAAAATAGGTCCACTGGTAGAATTGTTAGCATTCCATTTATGAGCTAGTTTATAGTATAATAATTCAGTTAACTATGAAGATATCAAACATGAAAATTGGTTTACAGAAGTTTTCTGATTCAAGTTTAAAGATGGTGTACTTTTTATCAAGTATTCAAGTGGGGAGAAAAAATGCAACAGATATTATATGGTAATTATAGTTGAAACTGATGTCTAGGTATGTTCAAGTCAATATATGAATGTTATTTATGTAGCCTATCTTTAGAAAAAGTGCTGGGATTTCCTATAATAGTAAATTTTGATATAGATTGTTACTTTTTTTTTCTTCTTTGAATAAACTTGTCCCATAGTAATTAGGCATGGATCCAAAGATTGTAATAACTGAGAGGCTATTAGTACTTTTCCTAATCATTCACAATTTTACAATTTATTTTTGTTACTCTTAGAAATAGCCCAGATTCTTAGGACTATTGCTGTTGAACCAACATCAATTAAAGTTGCCTGGAATATCATTCCTAATGCTCGTGGGTATCGTCTGGAGTGGAGAAAAGCAACAGGTAGGCTGGCTAAATTTCTGCAATGAGTAGTAGGAAAGTTACAGGGATTGTGGACACTTATAAATGTAATGTTGAGAATCTGTTCCTTTCCCAGTCAGTCCCAAATATTTCTAGGATATCCTTTTGGAGAAGTTTCTATATAGTTTCCTTTGCTTTTAAGGTAAGTTTTAAAATAAGCTTCTCTGACCTGGTATCCTCCAGCATATACTATTATAATTCCATACCTTAGCTAAGAAAGCAAGAGGTGATCGGAATGTTGGCTTAAAGAGAATGGTTGTTGCAAAATTTGGTGAACTGGATCTTGGTTGTAAATGAGACTAGAGGCTAAGTTGGACTATTTTTGTTCTATGTTATTCCCATGCATTTCATGTTCATAGTTATCATGTTTCATTTTGGTGATAAATTATAAATAGTATTTATTTTTTTAAAAAATCATTTGAATGTTTCTATTTCCCCATAAAATGTACATTTTAAAATAATTGCCTCTCAAAATATGTATCATAATGGCTTTTGATACATTGGGGGGAATGAACTATGATTATGTGTTAATGTTGAAGAGTATTGAAAGTTAGGCAATGACTTAGTTCTAGTATTTATGTCAGAATAGTCAGAGGTAGGGATAATACCCATTTGTTTTCCAATCCATAAAGATCAGTGCTAATTTCTATCTTGTATTGATTTCAAGGAGTGGATTCTCCCAAGGCTGTCTCTTTTCCCACCAATGAGAACAGCTACACTCTGAGTGACCTGCAGCCAAGCACGGAATATCATATCACCCTCTACACTTTGTATGATGGAAAAGAAGTAGCAACTCCAGTTACTATTTCAGAGACAGGTGAGTAAGAGGAAATTCATGCTCCCTTTAATTCAGCTAGTCACATTCCTGGCTGAGCTTTTGGTTCTCACATCATCTTTGCTGAATTCAAAATTTCTCTTTTAGGGGTGGCCCCTTCAGTGGGAACCATCTCCAACTTGAGGATCATCGAGACCATAGGAAACAGAGTCCGGCTATCATGGCTAGGAGTCCAAGGAGCCACAGAATATAAGATTGTAGTACGCAATATGCAAGGTGAGCATACAGGAGCAGCTGGTTGGTAGGAGTGGAGGCTTGCTGAAAATCCAGACGTATCCATTGATGGGAGCAGATGGAAGAGCAGAAGTGTACTAAAAGGAGAAGAAGAGCAAAGCCTTTCCAAATGTCTTTGGAGATTCTCAGTCATCCAGGTCATGGTTGTCCCAAAGGTGCTTTTTTCAAGAGGCAACTGGACTTTCTTGTTTTTCTTTCAAAATGTTTCGCTTCTCAGCTCTGAAGAAGCTTCTTGGATGAGAAGCGAAATGTCTTCAAAGAAAGGCAAGAAAATCGAGTTGCTTCTTCAAAAAACACCTTTGGGGCAAAGCCTTTCCAAGCAATAAACAGAGTTTAGTCCTGAGCATCCCTCTTTTTTTCTCTTTTTCTGGTTTGAACAGCATGTTCTGAAGGGAGATTTTCTTGAAAGTTACAGAACCTTGATAAAACATCATCTCTAATCATTTAAGTAGTCTTCTCAAACTTTTTCCTTTGTTGCTCAAAACTACTTATCAAAAAGCTTTTTTTATCCCATGTAACTAAAGCATTTTAAGTCAATTTAAATGTCCCTATTGTGATTAGATAATGGGTTCATGTGTTATGTAAAGAGAAACCACTTTTTACCAATTTTAGATAGTTTACTCAGGTTTGGGAACCACTGATCTAAAGAGTTTTAATGATGTACCAAAGAACATTAATGCAAGCATCCTCAAAACGTATTCAAGTTATCAGCATTGAGAGTGTAGAGATGGTACCTGGGGGAGAATAGAAATAATAGAAATAGAAATAGAATACTTTATTGGCCAAGTGTGGTTGGACACACAATAAATTTGTCTCCGGTGGATAAGCTCTCAATGTACATACAAGTAATGTACATAATGTACATACAAGTAATAGTGATAAATCATGATTATAGGCAACATAAAAATACATTCATCATAAATTATAAAATATAACACTTCATCACATATCATAAGATGCAACACTTGGTGATAGTCATAGGATACTAGCTAAGCAAACAACATAAATCATACTAGGATAATAAAACAATATAAATTGTAAGATACAAGCAACAAAGTTATAGTCATAAGAAGATAAGGATAGATAATAGGAAAGATGAGGAGAATAATAGTAATACAGCTTTACTAAGTAGTTTGACAGCGTTGTAGGAATTAGTTGTTTAGCAGAGATGAAAACTGTCCAGGATGTGAGAGGCCTGTAGATCTTTTCACAGCCCTCTTTCTTGCTCGTGCAGTATACAGGTCCTCCATGCAAGGCAGGCTGGTAGCAATTGTTTTTTCTGCAGTTCTAACTATCTGTTGAAGTCTGTACCTGTCTTGTTTTGTTGCAGTGTCAAACCACACAGTTATAGAGATGCAAATGACAGATTCAGTAATTCCTTTGTAGAACTGTATCAGCAACTCCTTGGGCAGATTGAGTTTTCTGAGTTGGCGCACTAAGAACATTTGTTGTTGTGCTTTTTTTGATGACATTTTTTATGTTAGGTGTCCATTTTAAATCTTGAGATATTACAGAACCTAAAAACTTGAAGATCTCTACTGTTGATACCTGTTGAAGTCTAGTATTCTACTGTTGATACTGTATTGTCTAGTATTATAAGATGTCGTAGAATAGTAGGGTTTCTCCTAAAATCTACTATCATTTCTACAGTTTTGAGTGTGTTCAGTTCAAGATTGTTCTGGTTGCACCACAAATCTAGTTGTTCAATCTGCCGTCTGTATGTAGATTTTTCGTTGTCTCGAACGAGACCAATCACTGTTGTATCATCTGCAAACTTTGGTACTTTAACCAAGGGGTCTTTTGAGATGCAATCATTGGTATAGGGTGAGAACCGAAGTGGAGAGAACACACAGCCCCGGGAGGGGGCTGTACTAATTGTACAGGTATCTGATGTGATTTTGCCTAGCTTCACTTGCTGCTTCCTGTCTGTTAGAAAGCTTATGATCCACTTACAGATGCGGTCAGGCACAGCTAGCTGATTTAGTTTAGTGAGAAGAATATCTGGAATGAAGGTATTAAATGCCGAGCTGAAGCCTACAAAAAGGACCCTTGCATAGGTCTTTGGAGATTCAAGATGTTGTAGGATCTAGTCCAGAGCTATATTAACAGCATCATCTCATGATCTGCAGATCTGTGATGGTTTTCAGGTGGGCCAGCACTAACCTTTCAAAGGTTTTCATAACTGCGGATGTCAGAGCAACTAATCTGTAGTCATTAAATTCTTTGATGGAGGGTTACTTTGGCACTGGGATGATAGTAGAGCATTTGAAACAAGAAGAAACGTAGCACATCTCTAGTGATTTATTAAAGATGCAGGTGAAGATGGGAGCCAATTGGTCAGCACAAGTTTTCAAGCAAGAAGGCCTTATCTTGTCCGGGCCTGGTACTTTTCCAGGCTTTTGTCTATGAAATGGAATTTGTACATCATTTTCTACAATCACCAGAGGTGGGGGCACCAAGGGGATGGGGTCAGTTTTAGGAGGTTTGGCTGTTGTTGGTGCATCTGAGATGGGGATGGTGGAGATAGGTGACAACCTTGAGATGATTCACACCTAAGTAAAACTAGAAGAGTATAGCAAAATAAATCTTTTGTTGAAAGCTGAAGTGATTTGTTTGTGAGAAATTAAACTATTAGTTTATCCTCTTCTCTCTTTATCCAGTGTCAGATTCCTGCCTCTTTGTAGCCTGATGCTGTGATCATAAAATCTAAGATTTGTTTTTATTTGAATTAGAAAGCCACAATTATGAGTTCATGGTAACAACTATTGTGGTTTCTGCTGTAGATGGCACTGAGAGGGTTCGACGTATCCCAGGCTCCCAGACCACACAGGACTTAATTGATCTGAAAGAGAATGTCTCCTACGTGGTTCGTGTGTCAGCTCTTATTGGCAGTCAAGAGGGCAGTGCAGTACCTCTCAACATCCAGATCCGTAAGTGTGTTAACCCTGTCTCTATGCTCTACTGCCTCTTTTGCTGTCTTGTTCCCCACACGGAATCACTTTTGGAATTCACTTTCTGATTTTTTAATAAAGAGAATATTTTTGTCCTCAGATAATGTACTTAGAGCAACACTATAGGGGAGTAAAACGAGGAGACATCGTTATTACAGTTATTTGAGTGGGGATGTTTAAAAAAAAGCTGTTTCTCTCTATAAGCCCAAGCTATCTATTACATGCTTCCAGTTAATCCTACTTTCTGTCCCATCTGTCGCAGGACCACCATTAGTGGCCAGTGTATCAAACCTGCGCATGGTGCCAGTGGGTGTGGGTCGCATTCGGCTGCTGTGGACTCCTGTTCCCAGGGCTACAGCTTATAAACTGGTGATTATCAACACTCAGGGTAAGGACCTTCTGCATGCCTGGATAATTCTGATGCAAGAGGATTCAAGCTGTACAAAGCAGAAAAGGATCTAGTGAAGAAAAAAGGGGGAAGATCTCATTTTTCAAGTGGGAGTATAGAAGAGTCTGTCTGTCTGTCTGTCTGTCTGTCTGTTTATCTTCCTCCTTCCCTTCCTCCTTCATATCCTGCTTTATTCTGTATCACTCGAGGATGCATACATAAATGCTCCCTTCTCCCGTTTCCCCCAAAACAGCAACTCTGTGAAACAGGCTGAACTGAACAGAGTAACTGGCCCCAAGAAGAAAAGCAGTTGATAAAAGGAATTTGAAACAGGGAGTCACTTGGAGAAGAAGCAAAATGAGAGAAAACAGCAGAGTTAATTGGAGTTCTTTAAAGGTCTAAGTCTAAAGAGGAAAGAGGGGGGAATGAAGTCAAAGGTTAGATAAGTGATTACTGGGTATAGCTTTCATCCAGTAAGGAATGACAAAAATGGCATTAGTGGCCACTGACCATGATCTTGAGCTGTGAAAACAGTGCTTACTGTTTAAGTGCTACCATTAATTATACTGTAGTTATTTGTGGTTTCAGTCCAGCAGTAGTTATATTTAGCTTGGATATAACTGTATATCCTTTAATTAATAGTAGCTCAGTGGTCAGGCTTGCACTTAGCCACAGTATGATTTAGTTTCTTTGTTTTGGGCTTTGCAATAACAAGCCACTGTTTTCTTGGTTTCCCGTTATATAAAAAAGCACAATTTCTGAAAACCTTGATACTTGGTAATTCTCACAATTTTTATATTTATCCAATAAACAAATGCAATGCATCTCTCCATTTCCTAGTACTGTAACAGAACTCCAGGGTCTGAATGTGTGTCTGCAGTCATTTTCACATAAAAGAGCAATTCACGTTAGAGCTGAGCATCGTTTTAATTGCAACCCTTACATTTATGAATGTGGGAGGAAATGGTCCAAGGTTTGAGGGACAATAGGGTGGAGAGAAACAGGAATCAACTGGAAATCCAAGTGAAGAAAGTGTAAAATGGTGTCTGTGGAGATTTTCAGTCATCCAGATCATGGTTGTCCCAAAGGTGCTTTTTCCAGGAGGCAACTGGGGAAAAACTAAAACAAAAACAAGAAAATCTAGTTGCCTCCTGGAAAAAGCACCTTTGGGTGTGAAATAATGAAAGTGCTTCAGGGACATACAAACGTATAGATGCGCACGCGCATGCGCGCACGCGCACACACACACACACTCTTTCATTTTTACTTGATTTATATAACCTTGCCTCTCACATTTGTGACTCTAGGTGGCTTGTAATTAAAACAATACCAAAAAATAAAATAAAAAATTGGTAATAATAAAATTTAAAAAATAATAATATGAAAGATCTGAAGATGAATGTGTAACCCAGTATTGAAAAATAATGTTTTTGTCTGACTTACACAGAGATATGGGGTTGTGGGGTTAACTAAAGTTTCGCATGTTATCACAGGTTGATTTTGCTTCCTTTGCATCTTGTTTCAGATCGATCAGAAGAAACAAGAAGAATTCCTGGAGACCAGAGTTCCTTTGAATTGCAAGATCTGAAGGAGGGTGTCCCATACTTGGTACAAATAATAACACAGTTGGGCACCCAAGAAAGCACTCCTGCCACCCTTACTTTCCAAGTTGGTATGTTCTGTTCTGAAGCCAATGCTGCCTCTTTCTCTTGACAACTGTATTGTGGCTTTTTTTTTAACCTCTTCAGTACAGCACAGTCATTATGGCTGGTAAAAGCTTAGCAGTAACCCTTAGAAAGATTTAATGCAGCAGTAACATTGTGCTCCTTCTAATGTCTTTTAAAACTTAGTTTGCTTCAACTGTGCAACTCTTGTTAAATTCTTCTTCTTGTTAAATTCTCAAAATTGTGAAATACTAGTCTTTGGCATTTATTCCCATCCTGGTTCTTCAGAAAGACCAGAGACTGAAAAGAATGCCTCCTTCTCGGACAGGTTGGTTGCACAGGTTCTTGAGGAAATATTCAAGAAGAACAGGAAGAACAACTCTAAATGCTATATGTGAAATAATTTATATTAAATAATGGTAACTGTTATTATTTTTGAACGGTTTGTACTCATCATTCTGTCTTCTACATGCTTGACCTTGCAGAACTTCCATCTGTAGGCAGAATCACCAATTTAGAGGCAGCTCCATCTGGGCCCAATCAGTTGCGTGTTACCTGGAATCGGGTACCTGGGGCCACTGGCTATAAAGTGACGTGGCGATTGAGAGACGGTGAGTATTGACAGGTCACAAAATAAGGCATTCTAACTGCAAAATGGTACTTACTTGGATTTTATTCCATCTGAGTATTGAAGTTGGATGGCAGCATGATGTCGAGGCAATACATGGATGGAAGAAAACCAAATGCAGATCCTGAGATATTTGGATGCTTTCTATTGGAGGGCTTTTTACCATCTTTCTTCCAAATCATATTTGTGCTGCTGTTCCAGCTTTTCCTCCTTAGTGGCTTTTTCTTGGAAAGAAAAAAAAATATGGAAGAAATTGGGATAAAACACTGAAAAGTAACAAATAGAAGATGTCCTTATCTGCATTTCATTCCATGAATGAGACAGGGCTGTCTTGATGAGAAAGGCCTTCTCTGAAAGCATCTTTTTTTATTTAAACTTTTTTATTTTTCCTAAGCATCTTCTAATGCAACTCTATAGCATTAATAAATACCAATTTGGTGGCAAGCAGATCATGTGACTTTGAAGCAAATTGAAATATCTATAAAACCCAGTCAAGCTTGGTTCTGAAATTTACAGCCTTCCTACTGGATCCTTCTGAAAGACAGATGTTTTCCCCCCAGTGCTGACACTGGGAGTTGTCTTTAATTTGACCTTAAGCTGTACTTCTCTAAGGACTTCAGTGAAAATTCCCTTCAAACTGATTTTGCATTGGGGCAGAATTTGGCACTTGCCAAATTAATTAAAATATTAATAATTAAAAATATTCTACTTGGGTTTTTGTTTTTGTTTTTTGGCTTCCTGTTAAAAAACAAAACAAAACAGATCATTTGCCACTGAGGCAAATCAATGGACTCAAGAGATTAAGCCAATAAGCTTTTAAAACTTTGCCATAACCAAATAATTTTAGAACAGGAAACACTAGTAATCTGATAAGATGCTAGAGCTTACCTGTGTCTCTGAGCAAGTTAATCTCTTTGCAGGTCAGAACTATTTAGGCAATTAGTTGTCAGTTCTAAGCAAAAGGCTCTTCTTAATATTAAAATATTTCCAAGCATTCATAAGCACAGACTGGATGGTTATCCCAATGCAAAACATGTTAAAACAGGATTAGTGATTTTCCCCTTTGAGAAAATTTTAATTATATAACAAATTTTATAAACACACATACATACAGTCTATGTTATTATTGTGTATAAGCCCATTTGAAGATAAGCCAACTCAACTTACATTATTAATCAAAATACCATGAAAAATGTGCCACCTGGAGATAAGCCAAAACTCAACATTTTCATTTTTTTTTCACAATTTTGCACAGGTGGTACAGGTGGTTAAAGATCTGAGAGCAGCTTATCTGCAAATGGGCTTATTCACAAATAGATAAGGAATATACAGATACTACATATACACACAAAAATAAGACAAATTGAATTTGGGAATTACTTTTCTTGTGTGTTTATGTGTGTGTTCTGGAATGAGCAGGGATGCTTATATAAGACATGTCATCAGCTTCCTAAAGCAGCTGCATCTTTTCCTGGGACAACACATCTTTTCTCCATAGCTGTAGGCCACCCCGATGAAGATATTTTTGATTTAAGGAGCTGCTAATAGGTGCTATGTGCTCCAAAGCATTTTTTCTGCTTCAAATGATTCCAAATACTACACGGCCTTAATATACATAAGACTAAATATATTTTTTACTTCAAGATGAATAATTACAAAAAAAAATAATAACTTTCTTTCTGAGAGAAACTTGCACTGCTGTTAGAGAAAGCTAGCTCAGTTTTAGCTTTCTACTTTCCTGGATGCCAAAAAATCTGTTTCTCTTTCTTGCACAGTATGTGGCATATTTTGACATTTTCTCATTGTTTCTTAGAAGATTTAAAAATTGAAAGATTTCGTCAGTCCCCTTTGTCATCCTCCTTCTCCACACCCTGAGAAATCGCATCCAAGAAATTTAGATGATATGTAGATAAGTTTTGCTTCATCTCCCTGACAGTTCTGAGTAAATTGGGGGATTATAAAATGCAACAAAAGTTCAGATAGAAAAATTAAATTGGATATTTTATCCTCAGAGGTTAGTTATCCTCTAGCAATCTGTGGAATACATTTTATTATAAAGAGGCAACAGCCTCTTGAATTGTACATGTACAATTGAAGTACAATGTAGTAGTTTATATCCCTTCCATACCTTCTTGTCTTTATTGTAATAACCAATGAAGAAATGACTTTGTGTCTTGATATAATCCAGCTAGTTGGTATGTTTGTATCAGATAAAGTTAATATTTCATTTTCAGTTGACATTTTGAAAATAAAGTTAATCTACTGATAAAAACAATCACAGAGCATTGAATCTCATGAGCAAAATTTTCTAATATTGATTTCCTGTTGTGTATGATAGCAGAAAAGAAATTAAAAGTTAGGCATCTGTGTTTTATATCTTCTTGCAATCTGATTTTCATTACTGAATCTGTCAGAAATAAAATTAATTAGCTAACAGGAAACTCTGGGGACTGGAGTATATTAGCTGTGATTTCATCTTTCAGATTAGGGAATGTATTATGTAATATACTATCCATCACCCTGTTGCTGGCCATCTGTTGATTCTTTTGCTGTCCATTCTGTTTTTTTGTTTGCATTCTCTAAGACAACAGTGTTTCCTTCCTTGTTTCTCCTTATATGCACATGGAACTCATTTTTGTACAATGAAATGTTTCATCCATGAAATTTGCATCTTGCAATTTATATACTCCATTATATTGCAAACATAATTATTTACATTTAGTCTGTCATAGAATGTTTTTGTAGCATGCATAGACTGCTGGTTAGATGTGAAAATCCTGGTTTCCTGGATGCCAGATTTGAGTAAGCAGAGACCCACAACAAGAATGCACTTATTTTGTTTTGTTTTTTATAACTTTTGAATTTTTGAAGTGCAAGTTTATTCTTGGCAACCATTTCAGTAAATTTTCCAGAAACATGCATGTTGCAGAAATTTTATTTCTGCAACATGCATGTTTTGCTATTCCTACAAACTTAAATAAAGGAAGAAATGGGTTAGTAAAGTATTTATTTTCCTTGTTATATTCCACCTATTCTTCAGAAAGTCAAGGCAGCATACTGTATGTCAGCATATGTAAAACAACTTTTGCTGTAATTTCTGCTAATCAAGAGATTTTAGTGCACATTATCTTCAGGATATTCGTTTTTGTGAGTACAAATTCTGATCAAAGAATGAGAGTACAAAATGTGGTGAAATGCAAAAGGGTGATTGAGTTCCAGATAGTTTATTAGCTTGGAAGCATGTACTGGCTGATTTATGCTCTCTGGTGGTTTTAAGATGTAAGAATTCACTGCTTTCTTCCTTGTTTGAGTAATCTGTTTGCTCCATCTTGAACACACCTTTTCCCCTCCAGGTCAAAAGATCTCTCGAGTCGTACCAGCTGATATAAACTCCTATACCATTGATGGTCTCAGGCCTGGAACTGTCTATTTAATTGAGGTTTCAGCCTTAGTTGGCAGCAGAGAAGGAACCTCAGCTACCACCACAGTTACAACAGGTGAGACCAGTTCTGGTGGCGGACGAGACAATGCATATCTCTCTGCCCTTTTTGCTACACCTTGAGAATCCTATTACCAATCATCCCTTTTTGTTCTTTGCCTTGAAGGCTTTGATCCAGTGGGAACAGTCACCAGCCTCAGAGTCCTTGAGTCCAGGGGCAATGTGGTACGCATCTCTTGGGTTGGTGTTCCAGGGGCTACAGCATATCGAGTGGTGTGGAGCCAGCGTAGTGGTAAGGAGGTTGTTGAAGTTTATTGATCTTCTGTTTCTGTTTCCTTGCAATGATTGGACTTGAAAAGTTAATAATTGACATCATTGCTTTATTAAGAAAATGAAGATTTAAGTTTTTTTTTTTAAAAAAAACCTATGAATGTTAAAAGCAACCTGAATACACACACACACACACATATGTACCGAATGCCTATTACAGGGGAGTCTTAATTTGTGCATCTTAGTTCTAGGAATGGAAAAACAAAGCAGTCATAAATCAAAAATACAGATGATTTTGAGGCCGAAGTTGGAGATTTTCAGGCTATCTTGTTTGCCGAAAGGAAATGTAGAATTAGGGAAAAGAAAGGCTTTCTGTTGGTGTGATCAAGCTTTATACTTATTTGTGTATAATAACCTTGCATGGCTTTGGTCATCTTCTTTCACTAGCAAGGTCACATTCTCTTCTTTTAAAGGTGGACCTGAAAGCAGCAAACTGGTCTTGGGAAACGTTAATTCCTTTGACTTAGAAAACCTGGAAGGAGGAGTCAGCTACATTGTAAAAGTCACAGCACTGATTGGGAACCGTGAAGGAAATCCTGTGTCTATTACTGTTACAACACGTAAGACTTATTCATCCATATTTATGTGTCAGATTCCTACTAGTCTGCTTTTTGAAGTTGTAGGTGGAATTTTAGCCATATTATGCTTTGGTTTCTTTGCTAAGAGCTGGAGGGAAATTATGTGGCACTTTCTAATAGTATTTGACATCCTGCATTATATTGTTGCTGCACTTGTCATCCTTAGAGAAATTCTCTGAGGGCACAAACTATGAATAAAGGAGGTTCTGCCTCTGGAATGTTTTAATTCATTTATTTCTTAACACAGCATATGTTAACAATTCCTTTTCATCTATCAATTGCTCCAAAGTCAGTATCTAGGCTTCCGTTCAGGTTTTTCATATCACCCTCTTTTTCCTAATTTTTAAAGTTCAGTTTCTTCATAATGTCAATTTAGCATGGGAAAAGGCTCAAATCTCTTTTATTAGACATTACATAATTTTTCGATTGACATAATTGTTTCCATACTAGAGTTTTAGTGTGTTTAGATCAGTGTTTCTCAACCTTGACAATTTTAAGGCATGTGGACTTCAACTCCCAGAATTCCACAGCCAGCAATGCTGGCTGTGGAATTCTGGGAGTTGAAGTCCACATGCCTTAAAATTGTCAAGGTTGAGAAACACTGGTTTAGATCCCAATACTATCCATTTAACCAAAGGTGCTATGTATATATATTCCAAATTTGCCCAAATTGGTAAATTAACACCAATGATTTGGCCCTCCAGTATTTAATATTTGACAATATGTAGTTCCAGATTCAGAAAATCGAATCTTCCCTCATTAATTGATAAATTGCATTTTCTGTAAAGATAACCTCAGAATCAAAGAACCCCATAGAGATTTTCTAAAGAAATAATTTATTTTCTGAAAATATTGTCCAGATATATGAAGATAGGCTGCCATACATGATCTCATCACATAAGTTGGTTACTCAGACTATTGATTATTGATGTTATCTAAGAAGGCAATATTTCAGTGATTATTCATGAAGGATACAGATAGCAATTTTAAAGTGAAAAGTTCATTTTTACCTCATACTGAAGATACACATCTTATCTATGTTTCATAAGAGGATTAGTTCTTTATTATCTCTTTATCTTTGTTAAAGATCAGACTACCTGGCTTCTTTTCCACTGTTAATCCTCAAACCTTTTCTTTTAGCGGCAATCCCAGTTCAACCGATTGAAAACCTGCGTGTGACTGACTCCTCAGAATCCCATTTTCGACTAGAATGGAACCCAGTACCAGGGAGCACAGGCTACCGACTCACCTGGCGGCTTGCAGGTGATCAACACTTTCTATATATACCTTTCTATATATACTTTCCTATATAAGTATATCTCCTCTATCATTGCCACCCATTGTCCAAGAAATTAACTAGCTTTCTTACATGGGGCAGGTGGGCCTGAGATGAGTCAGCTGTTGCCAGCCCAAATCAACACCTATGTCATTGAAGATCTGCAGCCAGGAGGGCGCTACGATATCCGGATCACAAGTCTGATTGGCAGACAGGAGAGTGAAGCTGTGGCCATTGTTGCCACCACTGGTAACCCGCCCTCTTGCTATCCAGAAATAAAAGTCTACAGCACAAAAGTTGCTAGAGTAGCCCCTATTTATATATGGGATGTAAATTTCATTTGTAAGAAGAATTAGAGACCGCACAAAGATAAACCAGTTATGAATAAAAGAGGTTCTGCCTCTGGAATGTTTTAATTTACTTATCTCTTAACACAGCATATGTTAAAAATTAATTTTCGTCTATCAATTGCTCCAAATTCTGGGGAAAAATCATTGTTGTGTTTTCTTGCAGTTTAGAGCCCTGCTTTAGAGCTTTGTTGTTTTTTTCATGCAGATTAGAGAAATTATATTTTTATCTAATATATAATGGTAAAGATTCTTCTGCATATTTCCAGAGATCAGTGGATTCTTTCTTTCATGATATTTAATTCCATTGGTTCTTGCATCTCCCTTTTAAAACAATTTTTAAAGAACAGTTTTTATATTGTCCTTTTAAAAAAAAATCACACAAAGAAAAATATATTTTTCTTTAAAGATGTATCACCTAAATGAAGTGAAGCATAAATAAAAGTGTAACTTTGTCTAGATATTAGTCTAAACTTTTAAAAGGAAAACTCCCAAATCGATTGCTACTCCAGAATGTTGCTATTAGGTGGTTTCTCCCAAACTCTTGTTGGTAGAACGCATAAGAAGATAATTTAAGAAGCAGAGCTTCAGCTGTGGATACTTTTTTCACCTATAACAGTATATATTATTCTGTATATCATATTAATTTAGTTTTTATGTACAGTTCCGCTTTTTTAAGTATAATATTCAAGCCAAAGTGTAACAGTTAATAACATTAGTTTTGTATATAATTGTGCTATACTACCTATCTCTGGTATATAAATACCAGATTTGAAAAAAGCTCATGCCCTCCATCTCAGTGCTCTGCTTTCAGCTTCAGAAAGGATGGGATCTTTTATTTATGCTTAGAGCATTGGCAGAAATGTAGTCAGCCTCCCAAGCATCAAGACAGGCCAGTCTGCTTCAAAATAAATGGCTTCTGCACTGTGCATGCACAAAAGACATTTGACGGGTCAAAGAAATAGCAGAAGCAGAGCAATAAATACCAGTAGTCCTCAACTTACAACCATTAGTGTTAGAAGTTACATTGGCACTAAAAACTGAGTTATAACCAGTTCTCATACTTAAACCATTGCAGCATCCCCCACAGTCATGTGATCAAAATTTGGACGCTTGGCAACTAGCATGTATTTATGATGGTTGCAATGTCCTGAGTCATGGGATCACCATTTCCCAGCCAGCTCCCAGTAAACAAACTCAAATCGGGAAAGCCAGATTTGTTTAACAACCATGTGATTCACTTAACTGCAGTCATTCATTTAACAATTATGGCAAAAGAGATCATAAGATCAGGTGCAACTCACTTAATAATTGCCTTGCTTAGCTATGGAAATTCTGGTCCCAATTATGTTTGTAAGTCAAGGACTAACTAAAAATCTCAGAGTTTTTTTCTCAGAGTGACTACTATGGGTGATTTAGGCCATTTACTTTCAAATGAAATCATCCCATTTAACTTTATAACAAATGTTTCCTGTATTGAAAATAGTATCCCATTTGTACATACCAGTTCTAACTATGATAGGAACTACCATAGTGCTACAATAGATCACAAGTGTGACATCTATTCTATGTGGTTGTCAGTGTGACTTCCTGTGAAGAGCTTTTCTAGATTTTTCTTTCACTGTCAAGGACCAAACTTCCTCTCCCATATTTACCTTTATTTCTTCAGGAGCTGTGGGCCGGGTGGCCAATTTCCAGGTGACAGATACTCAAAAGGATTCTGTAACATTGTCCTGGACTCCAGTTCCTGGGGTTTCTGGCTATATTCTCACATGGAAATCTCCAAGAGGTTGGTCCCATATTTGATGTACATCACATCTTTCCTACATGAGTTTAGTCATCAAGGAGCTCTGATTTCCCTTCACAATGTTTTGTGGGGTAGTAGTCAAGGTATTGGCCTAGGAATGGAGAAACCCAGATTTTAGTTCACACTCAATAATGGAAGCTCGCAAGATGACTTTACACATGTCACTCTTTTTCAGCCTAACCTATCCTTAAGGACTGTTGTTATGAGGGAAAAGATCTTGTCCCCTGCTTAGATATAAGAACAATAATAAAATTATTCATACTGGGTTTTTTATTTATACAGTTTCTTTCAATTCCTCAATCCATTCAGACTCTAGGTAGTTTGCATATATTACTACTAAACAAAGAATGTTAATAAATCATACAAAAATCTCTGGTTCCAATGATTCTGCAGTCAAACCCCAAAGATCCAGAAGAGCCAGATTTTTACCAGCTTCCAAAAGAACATGAGAATGGAGGCTCCCACAGTAGCAGTGCAATATAGCAGTATTATGACCAATTAATGAGCATACAAGCCGGTATATCATGAGACACACTATCTGCATTATTACTCCTATGTGAAATTATCTGTGTTAATCCTCTGTCGTGTTCCTCCTTTGTTTCAGAGGGAGGAGAGGCACAAAGAACATTGCCTGGATCAGAAACATCCCATCGAGTGTCTGGGTTGCATCTGGGGGAGCGATACACCTTTATGATTCGCCCAATGTTTGGGAGCATCTCCGGTGCTGAGGTTTCTATTACTGGCCAGACAGGTGAGGTTTTGTTTTATGGAGGGATGTATTTACCTGGGTATCCATTCAAGAGGACAAATAACAAAGCAGGTGTGATCAACTCAGCTGCTATAAGTTACATACTTGTGTCAGAAGCTCAACTGCAACTAAATAATAACATTTGTTGAAGGTCATCACAGCATGCTGTCATTTTGGCATCATTATAGTTTGCCATGGATACTGCTGGGTCTCTAGAGCTTCATGGTTGCAAGATGTTGATCAATTACCTTGATGGCAATGGCTTCACATATTTGGTGGGAGAGAAGAGTGAAATCCTACTTTTGAGAGGGAATCCTGGGATGTTTGTTTTTAACAACGATGATCCTATTTTAGACCTCACACTTTGGATTTCCTGATTTGTCTTTTCCTTGCCCTGTGACAGAGAGATCATATGACACTCCTTTGGTTCAATTTTGTTTGAGTAGGTTTAGCTAGATCTTTCAGATTCATATGGCAAGCCATTTGGAAAAAATGTTTTAAAATGTTGCAGTATTTGACAATACACTTGATTCAAAAATGTTCCGGTTGAGAATTAGAAGCACCTTCACAGGAAATTAAATCTCTTCAGTTCTATTTGTATTTGGGGTGGGCTGGAAAAGGGAAAATCAGTCCTTTAGCTTATGTCCTCAATCCATTTGAGGCTATTCTGACTCTTTCTGAAACATTCCACTCTGCAGTCTGTCCAGATGCCCAGCGTGATGTCATTTTTCTTATACATACAACTCGAGACAAAGCCTACAATGCAGAGGTGGTGCGAAGCTTACTCTCCAACATTATATCCACTCTTCGTCCAGGCTCTGAAACTACCCGGGTAACCTACATCATCAAAATTTTGAAGTTCTTTCTTCTTGTTTGATTCACATGCACAAAGACATTGGAAATTATTTTAATTGTGAAGTGAACCCAGTATAACCCTGTTGATTTTTATTCTATCATTGCAATCTATAGTTTGTCAGTAAGTTGACAAAAGGTAAAATTTGATGAAGATATGTTCCGTAACCTCCATGTGGTGGTATTTTATTTGGCCATCCAACTAGCTGTGAATCAAAACTTTGACCCTGCAGGGATATGACGGGGTGGGATCTAGTTCTGTGATGAAATGTTGGGATTCAGAGAGAAAGGAGAGAAGAATACTGAGCAATTACAGAAAAGATACTTGAGTTCTGGGAAAGTAGTAAGCATGAGAAAGAAACTCAAAACAGCGCCACCTTCATTGTAATAGTATAACTTGAAGTAGATTGGGGATTTGGTGGGCTTTCCAGTTTCTGTTGCAGTAGCCTATCTGCATTAAAATACATTTCAACGCTACTAGTAACTCTTGTTTTCTAATCTTGCCTATTTTAGAAGGCTGAGAAGTAAATGAATATCACTCCTGGTTTCTCTCTGCTCCTAAGATGGGGAATTTGGCTGCATGCCCTTTCATATTTAGATTCAGCTTTTATCACATTTATTTTCTCTTTTCTTTTCTGCCTACTCCAGGTGGGCATTGCAATGTACAGCTACCGAGGCCTCCCTTTACTCCTGCTTAATCGTTCCAAAGACTTAGCAACTGTCCTGCAGCACCTTCGCTCACTGCGCTATGAAGAGCCTAGTGGCAATGCCATTGGTAAGGGGTCGCCCGTTCCTTTGATTCAAGGAACAAGGAGGGAATTGCTAGTTCCTTGTTCAAAGAACTCAGCAGGAAGAGAAAGAAGCAATCCCGTTTCTTTGGAAATTCTACCTGTGATCATGATGTCAATATTCACAGGAATTGCTAGCGGAAACTTGAAATGAGCAATGTAGCACTAGTGCTCTTACTAAAGTGTGTGTTTCTCTGGTGCATATCTGTTGTTACTTTTTCTATGAAGGAGCAGCCATTAATTTTGTGAAGAGCTACATGCTAAGCCCCACTGCAGGGCGAAGACCTGGTGTACCAGGAACCTTAGTGATATTGGCAGATGGGTCACCCAGTGATGATGATGCTACGGGACCGGCCAGGGAAATCAAAGCTGCCGGTAAGTCACCGGTCCTTCACGTCTGGAATGCAGCAAACATGAGAGAAGCATTTGTAGCTGCTGCTTTCTAATAAGAATCTTCTTATAATTTTCTTCCAAACATCTCTCTATCTGTCTTCTTAACAGTAGAAGATAAATTACTGGCCTACTTGTTCCCAATCAACATATCCTGACAAGGGCTTTCTCCTTTCAGCTTGGGCTGGGCAGCAAAGTTTTCCAAGGCATTTTAGTGACAGCTTCATTTAACAGTGGTGCACCTTAACTGTGTACTTATTTTTAAACTTAACTCATATGTTCAAGTTATATTATGTATTAAATTATTTACACTTAATTTAGTAAAAATCTCTCTGTGATAAAATGTTAGTTCAAATGTAGAAAGTTCTTCAGAGCATTGTAAGACTGACAGTCTCGGTCAGGGGTCCTCAACCTTGGCAACTTTAAGACTTGTAGACTTCAACTCCCAGAATTCCTCAGCCAGCAAAGTATCTTTTCTATACTTCTGTTCCATACTGTTGGCATAGGTAAATCACAAGAATCTAAGCACTGAAATGCATGAAACATTTAAATTTAGCATTTACTTATGTATTTATTAATCTTATTTATATGTTCACCTCTCTGACCAGACTGTCAATGTGGTGTAGAGAGATAAAAACATAACTACATTCATAATCCATTAAAGAAAAATCATTGGAGGTCTCTCAAATTCTCAGTAGCAACATAACAAGTGCATCTCCGTCCACATTAGGGCTCCATTAACATCCCAGTCCCAATGCCTGAAGAAAGGGACAGGTGTTCACAGTCTTCTGCAAGGCCAGCTGGGTCAAGGCTGTCCATGTCTCAAGGCAGGTGCCATGATGGAGAAAACTTACTTCTTGGAACCTAGTAAATAATGGAACACGCCACACTTCCTGATCTGGTTCAATGGCCGAAGTCATTGGGGAGAGGTGGCACTACAAGTAACCTGGCCTTATGCCAGGCTTTAAAGGTGACAACCAGCACTTGAATTACACTCAAACCTCCTCCCCACCCCCAAAATCAGCATTACATAGGCATACTGTGATGTGACCAATATTGCATGTGCCACTGTATTCTGGAACAGCTGAAATTTCCAGCTGCTCTTCAAGAGCAGCCCCAGATAGAATGCATTGCAGTTGTCCAGTTGGGAGGTGACAAAGGCATGAGTGACCATGAACATTGCCTTCTGATCTAGGAATGGATACAATTGGTGCCTAAGTTATAATTGTCTCTTATAGTCCTTGGTTCTGCCTGCTCCTCAAAGAAGTCCTTCAGATTACACCCCAGTTCTGTTGGGAGAGTCATAAACTGAAGACTACCCGTAATGAAAATGTTTTATTGATGTTCTGATCATATTGGAAGTGTTGAATTCAAAACAGATAAAGTTATTTTTTTACTCAGAATGTTTGCAGCATAGTCAGAACATTTCCACTGAGGTGAGGAAAGCTTTTACTTCTCAGTTTTGAAACATATTGAATTTGGAACATTTTGCATACCACAAATGAGAAGCATTAAAAATCAATGAATCTTCCAAAAGAAAAATAGAATGGGAAGTAATTTACATGTGCCATAAGGGAGCACCTTTAGTACACAACTACCTCACATGAACCAATGATCCTTTTTGAACACTTCATCTCCAACAACTGGCTAAGTTCAGCAATTTCTTCCTAGTATTTTTTTTTAACTTAAATTTTATCTAGGGAAGCTTTGTATGTTCACTGTGGAGGAGGATGACTTCTTATTTTTCATTAATGCTCCAAATTTTAAGAGAGGTTTTAAAGAAAACTCCCATATGGCCTTGTACTTAATGTCATGAGTGGATCTAAACATTTCTTACTGAGCAGTCTATCATTTGACTGTGCTGAAGAAATAGGAGGGTAAAGATACCCCCAGGTATCTTTAAGTTGCTTTGATACATTTTGGGTAGCCCTCACTGAAATTTATCTTTAGAAGATCAGCTGAGTTACTTGTTTCCTTAATTTCTTCACCTGACTGCACGATCTCCAATGAATAGTTAACCTGGAGTATCTCTTCTAAGTTTCCCTTTTGTGGACCATGCAGGAATCCAGATTCTAGCAGTGGGGATGGAAGGAGCTGATCGTGAACAACTGCGTCGCCTTGTGACCAGTGAAGAATCACGTAACGTTTTCTTTGTGCAAGACTCAAACAGTCTGTCAGAGGTGGAAGTGGGGCTTGCCAGTGCCCTCTGCATCATAGATGGGGTAAGGCACTGCTAATGTACCAGAGGAGAGATTGCCTGCAGTTTTCCTAGCAATAGATCCAGCGGTGGAGGATGTGAATGAGACAATCAGTATGGAAAAGCACTTGCCTCTGGCATTCAGGTAGCAATCAATGCGCTAGAAGAAATGCTGAAGGAAAAAATTACTGTGCCTTCTGTGATTAGCATTATGTGCAGAATTTCTTCCACAAGATGAAAATAGATAGATGTACAACTGGTGGAATTCCTGCTGTGTATAATAACCTTTACCTTTACCTTTGATCCAGTTACTGTACATATCATGTCCTGCCAAAGTGTAAAAAGTACTTTATCACTGTACTGTTCCCTGAAATTTCTGATGAAGCAACTTCCTCTTCATCTCTTCACAATTGCATTAAACAGGTGGCTTATCAAGGTCACTTATCAAGGCTTGCTGACCACTCTGATCCACTCATCTGATCAGTCATCTTCACATTAGCAGGGACTTTCAAAAGCAACCATAGTGGTCAGGGTAGTGGTAGATGGAGACAGGATTAAAGCCTCTTCTCCCTTCCCTATCTTTTCCTTGATAAAATTTTCTTGCCACTTAAGGTCATAGGAGCCTTGTTAAAGGGAGCTATGCAGAGAAAGGTTTTAGTCTCTTTTTTTTCCTAGTCCTCCTGAGGATCCATGTGTGAGAGAAAGGAGTTGGTAGATGTGTCTGTTTTGTGTTGGAGCGCTTACAGAGTTCTGCAAGAGACTATGTGGTATCCTCTCCCCAAAAAACCCTTTCTCCTTTAATTCCATGAACTCCAAAATACAATATTACTTAGTGTGTGACCTGAGTCTAAAGCCAAGTTTCTAATGTGTAAATATTTGCATTGTACTTATCTTAACACTTACCTTTTTATTCTTTGGGGTTTTTTTCAGCCTAGACCAGAGCCCTGTGCTGAGCAGTGCCCTAAGGTAAACCACTGACAATTACCCTGCACAAGATTTCTACTCAGGTGGCAATGAAAGATAAAGATTAAAAACCAAGAAAAAATGTTAGGGTCATGTGTAAAAATGGGAGAAATTCCTGTTATGGCAAGGTTGCCCCAACTTGATTTATGTAATATTTTTTAAGCCTTTTTAAAAAAAGAATATTCTATGGTTAAGACTATTTACTGAACACGTACTGTTTTCAAAAATGGGTAAACTCCCAGGATTTTCCAGGATGGCTTGTAATAGATTAAAATGACCAAATAACATTCTAAATAATCAAAATATTAAACATAGTAATTAAAGTATGACATTAAATCTATAATGTAATAAAAGTGGCCATAAAACAGACTATCCATTCAAAATTAGCACGTGCCATTTGCCACACCTCATCCTGAGAAAGCATCTGGAACAAGGCCTCCAAAGATGATCTCAGGTTACGCACAGAAACAGGAAAACCTATTCCACCAGATATTGCAATCCTGAACTATATATGCCAGTGGTTCTCAACCTGTGGGTCAGGACCCCATTTGGGGTTGAACAACCATTTCACGGGGGTCGCCAAACAACGCAGTCCGCCATTTTTTCCCCTTTTCCTTAGCTGTGCTACTCCCTTTTATTCTATTGGCTTTTGAAAGCCAATAGAATAGACTCTCTTGAATAGAGTCTAATTCTATTGGCTTTCAAAAGCCAATCGGAATTGTCCAGGCTGTCTCTGCCCTGATGAGCCCGCCAAAAGTCCCATTCTGCAAACGGTGCTGCACCAGTTGAGTAGTCCTCGACTTACGACCGGTTGAGTAGTCTTCAACTTACGACCGGTTGGGGGTCGCAGCATTAAAAAGGTTGAGAACCACTGATATATGCCATGGCTTTTAGGGCCACAGCATCAATAAAATCTCCAATCTGTTTCAAATTCCCAGTATAAAATAGAAACACTAAATATTTGTTCTAAAATATATACATGCCTGAAAAGAAAAAGTACTTTTAACTGTTATTCACAATTCCCCCCTACGGTATTATATGAAGATTACTGAAAGCTCATAAACTTAAAAGTGAAGTAGAGAATAAACTGGTCTTTGTCCTCATTAAAATCCATAATGGTGTTCCGCAAATGCAATCCTCTATTGCAGAGGTGTCAAACTGCTGGTCCACGGGCCGGATGCGTCATGCCGAAACTGTGCCCGTCCCATTGCTGGCAATGGAAAAAAAAGTCACAATATATCATGACACGTTACATGACATTGTGAGTTTGACACCCCTGCTCTATTGCATCTCTCCTTTTCGTGTCCTATTGCCTCAAAAATGTTTCGTACCCTGGACGTTGACATTATCTGACCCTTTAGGGCTCTTAAGGGGATGGTGAGATGTTAATGTGCTTTTCTTTATTAATTAATGTAGTGGATGGAGCAGAATCCAATTCTAACAGGTATTCAAAAAGAGCTAAAGGAAAACATAGGTACTCAACCAAGGAAACTTAAACTGGCCAATCTAGATAAAAGAGGAAAAGAAAGGACATCAGGAGATTTAGTGGGAAGATTTCTTTTCTAAATTGGTTCAGCACTGTCTTCTATAGATGATCGTTAAACTCTCTTTGGTAGCTGGGGAAGAGGGATATGGATTTCCCACAAATTCCTAATTTAAAAGAATTAATTAAATATATTTGAGGTATCTGTAGTTTCCTGAAGATCATATAATCAAATCAAGCTTACTATTGTCTCTTTTCCTACAGGGTGAGAAGGGTGAGCCAGGTGAGCCTGTGAGTATCTGAGATTTATTGTAGAAGGAGGTATTTCGGATTCTTTTAAGGGAAAAGTATAGATAATTCCTTGGGAATTGACCATTTATCTATCAATGATTTTGCAGGGACAGAAAGGACAAGTGGGAAATCCTGGCTCTTCTGGAACTCCGGTAATGTTTGGCCTTCTTGAGAACAATTCTGTGAGGTGGAGTATTTCTTGAGCTCTATTAGTTTGATTCAACTCCTCTTTTTTTGGACAAATATGTTTAAAATCATTGGAAGAACTTTTCTCAGAATTTGAAAGAGTTTTTACTCCATTCAAATCACTAGAAGCTTTAAATAATGTAAACTTTGTAAGTTTGAGATTAGTTCAACGATTTAATAATTTATTTAGTCTGACTGGTTCAGAGTTTATCACAGAAAAAAGATTTGAAAACTCCAAAACATTACAGAAGATAAAACCGTAAAGAGCTCTTCAAATAGTTAGCTTTCTAGACATTTCTAGCCCACTCCATTTCCCTCAAACTCCTTTGCAATTAATCTGCCTTTCACCAAACCATGTACAAAACAATGGCTGCAGAAGTCTTTTCTCCAAGCCTAAATATTTCCAAAATACATGATTTTTCAAGGAGGATTTTTGAGTTGATTGTATTGCCATCCAAGGAGAGATTTTTTAGTTTCATTTTGTACCATCAAAAACAAATTTAAAACTGTTCATTAGACAGAGTGTTTGTTACATTCTATTAGGAGACAATAGCATTTGTAAGTTATACATTATGTATAATATTGATATATTATGTTGTACCATTTCTTTAAAAAAAAACAGAAAAAAATTGTCTCGTCCACTTGTTTTTACTAATAGGATTTATAAATCTGATAAAATAGGATTTAACATTACCTAAAATGGAACAGACCTGAAACATATATGAACATTCCAAGCTTTTGTGCTCTCAATTATAGTAAGAGAGATATAATTTAAACAGTGTCTCCTATAGGAAGTCAATCTCTTGATATATGATATATTGTACATTGTATATCAAGAGATTGATTTCCTATAGGAGACATGCTGAAATTATGTCTCTCGTACTATAACCGAGAGCTCAAAAGCTTGGAATGTTCATATATGTTTCAGGTCTGTTCCATTTTAGGTAATGTTAAATCCTTATGTATATATTTTGTTCTGAGGATGAAACACCTTCTGTTCTTTCATTTTACAAAAGGTTATATCCATGAAGGATATTGGGAACTAAGCATAGGAATTCAGCTATAAGAAACAGAGTGTACCCAATTATAAAACAAAATAATTATTTTTTTCCCTCCAGGGACGCAATGGGATCCCAGGTCCTCCAGGTCCAATGGGACCTCGGGGTCCCCCAGGTGACACTCTTGGGAGGCAAGGTGAAAAAGGAGAGAGGGTGAGTTCTCACAGCATGAATGTACAGTAGTCTAAATGAAAGGCAAAACCAAGAGCTGAATGCTAACAGACTTTCCTCTTTAAAAGGAGGAACTTTCCTAGTTCCTCTTCTCTATCAGTCTTACCAAATTCTGCATCAACAATCAGTGAATTCCATTATATGCATCTTTTAAGCTAAAGAATGCTTCTACTGATAAACCATTTTTGAAGTTTTCTGCCTTCTCTTATAATGTGTGGTTTAGTTCTCTTGCCTGAGTCATCTGGAACTCTCTCTTCTGCAATTCTCTCTCTCTTTGCTGTTCATCTGCGTCTGTTTGGGGACAATGTGGTTTGGATCTCATTGGTGCCTTGGTGAGTAGCAGGTGTTCCATTATGTGAAGAGTGACATTTTTGGTTGCAGCCCTAGATTAATTTTCTTTGAGGAACTCCAGTTGTGATCAGGTTCATTTTGCAGATTTGCTGTAAATCTGGGACCTGATTCAGATTGGTGTGCTATAAAATATTTGTCCTTTTTTTGTGGGTCCTAAGAGCTAAACCAAGGGTGTCAAACTCATGTGTCATGTGACATGTTGCAATGTATCGCAACTTTTTCCCCCTTGCCAGAGCTGGGCTGGGCACAGTTTCGGCATGACACATCCGGCCTGTGGGCCAGCAGTTTGACACCCCTGAACTAAACCATTATTGGAATGAAAGGCGTTAGTTATGTCTGTTGTAAATCTTCTAACATCTCTCTATATTTCTCTGAAACAAGAAATTCTGGATTAATAAAGATGATCCATAAACAAAACAGTTTTGAATCTAAGGCTTCATGTCTGTGTCCTGAATATTTCCGATTAAAATTGAAGGCTTACATGACTACATTTACATTAACTTAAATAAACTTTTAGAGGAAAATGAGACCAAGCTGCAACATATTTTTCTAATGTTTAACTTTCTGTTTGTAAGATTGCTTTTATATAAGGAAGCCTTCAATTGTGAGTCCCTACCCAAAGTGTGAAGTTACAGTATATAGCACTGAAACGGGAGTAGTTTTATGGGAATTAGAATCCATTTGCCATGTGGAGAGCAATCAAATAATAATAATTATGTGGTGGAATACTTGGTCTTGGTTTTGTGTCAATCAAGGAACCATTAATGTCCAGATATACAATCTAATCTCTCCTTTCTTGGTTATTCAACATTTGATGACATTAAACCAAATTTGGTAAGCATATCCATAAATATTGAATACATTCGGACTTTATGATAGATTGAAGGAAAGTTATAACTCTGTAAAGATTTGTTTAGACCTGCCAGCCATCATTTGATAATGGATAGTTGTCAAGTTCTGAATTGTGAACCCAGTTTGCCAGCCTTCCATGAGAATGCATTGTGCAAATAATGAAAATTTAATACTTACACTAATATACTGATACAAAATGGCATCAGTAAATCATTTGTGTTGTATGCTCAACTACATTGATGCATTTGACATTTTGGCATCATCATAATTTTTATTAGATACCTTTTCAGCCTTCTCTTATCTGACCCATTCTGGATTTGTTCAACTCTTTATCTTCAGATCACACTTGGAATTTAGAGAAAGCTGAAATACTGTCTGTGTTCTCATGGCTATGCTTTTGATTCTTAAGTGTAAATAATTTCTGCAAAGATATGTCCTTAAGGTTTCTATTTTCTTCTAGGGATTTCCAGGAGCAGATGGAGCACCAGGGAATCCTGGTCGGCCTGGCAGTTCAGGTTCTCCTGGTCAGCCGGTAATTAACTTTTTTATCCTTTTGCCATGTATAGTTGCAGGCAAAAACATCCATAATGCTTTGCTGTAATTGAGATAGTGTCTGCCATCATAAGTTGGAACCTTTGAATTACATACTTTTTTACTGAACTTTTTTTCTTCTCCATGGTCACAGTGAAGCATGTAGTTTTGTTCTTAAGCAGAAATAAAACTTTCTAGAACAGAAAGGTTTTTGTGGAACCTTATGTAGTTAAGCATTTTGGTTTGACAACAGTATTGCAATTTCTCCACCAGTACAACTCTATACTGTTTTAAAGGTGTTGCAAGTACAAAAATCCAAGGCTCAGTTTGATGGACTGAGTGCCAAAAAGGAAAAAAAAAAGGATATGGAGCTCTACTTGGGATAGAAAAATATACTGAATAAAAAGGCCACTGGTTTTATGACTGTTTCTGCCCTACATCATCTGTATACTACATTGGTCCCCCATGTGTGTGATTCCCAAAGATCACAATGAAGATCTGGTTACTATTTTCCAAAGCGCCTGAAGGTAGGACAAGAAGCAAAGGGTGGAAACTAATCAAGGAGAGAAGCAACCTAGAACTAAGGAGAAACTTCCTGACAGTTAGAACAATTAACCAGTGGAACAACCTGCCTCCAGAAGTGGTGAATGCTCCAACACTGGAAGTTTTCAAGAAGAGACTGGACAGCCATTTGTCTGAAATGGTATAGGGTTTCCTGCCTGAGCAGAGGGTTGGACTAGATGACCTTCAAGGTCCCTTCCAACTTTTTATTACTATTATTATTATTATTATTATTATTATTATTACTACTTATCTATAACAGAGATACTCCACGTATCCAGTACTAAGTTCATGTTCTAACCATGTCTAATGCTACCCTACTTTACTTAGATCTAGGATTTATTTTCAAATATATTGCTTCATCTTACTCCTCGCCTCTCTTTTCTTATTCCCGCTATAGGAAAATAAGTCCTATTCACTTCCTCCCCCCCTTTTTTTCTTCATAGGGTGGTCCTGGCCTTCCTGGTCTCAGAGGTATCCAAGTAAGTAAAGATAATATTGGCCATTAAACTCCTTGTTATCAACTGAAGAGCCATTTACTCCTTATTTTTTGCCTTTCAGGGGGAGCGTGGACTGATTGGCCCAGGTGGGCCAAGAGGAGAGAAAGGTGAGCCGGTAAGTGGATCTTTGAGAGTTTAACTTGGAAAAGGATCATATAGATGTAATTTTTGTGATAGGATATGTAACATTTCCATGTAATGTGTCATGTGTCTGATTAACGAAACACTTCAAAGAACTTTCAGGCATTTTTTCAACCTAAAAAGCCTTTATTAGTATTACAGAGATGTCAGCACAACATGGTGGATGCTAAGATCTGAATTTCCCTTCCTTTGCACATAACATTCCAGGAATTTCCCCTCCCCTATTTTGGGGTCATGATTCACATCTTCCAATTAATTTGGAGGGCAAAGATTTACTTCAGTTTCTTTTTCCCCGGGCTTTCCTTATATTCTCCTCCCCCTTCACTGTCAACTGATTTAACTCTAAAAATACCAGACAGTTCTGCATATATTGTCAAAGCAAGAATATTCAATATTAGCAGCATTGACATAATGTATGGCCCAGCTAGCTTCTCTGGTCATTCCTCCTAAGCAGTACTACAGCATCAGAGTTGCTGATAGGGAATCCCGATGATAAAAAGGGAACATCTTTGTACTATATGTCCAAAAGTAACAGTTGTTCTGGCATCATAAGTTCAGAATGGAGATAATTATCTGGCGATGATCACAATAAAATGGGAATAAATGTGGGTAAGCAGAAGAAAGAAAGCCGAAAATACTTCATGCTCTCAGTTAAAATCTGCCATCAGAAAGGCATGATCATAATACAAATAGAAAGCTTTACTTTTATCAACACATCTCTGTTTATAAGATGATATTTTATAGATATTGATTTTCATACAAATAAGCATACTGAATTGAAACAAGACTGTTGGACTGTGATCCCTCATTTGGGAGTTGTCCAAAACACAGAGTGCACCTATCTATTGCAATTCCAACCCACTTGCAGTATATTAGGGGGGGGGGGAATCTCTATTTCATGGTAAAGTGATCAACAGTGGCAGGCTGTTAGAGTTTATGCACGGTCCCATCTAATTACTCTTTTTCATGCAAATCTTCTTAACATTTAGCATAAGGAAAGGTTTTGGTAAATATCAACTGTGACTCACACTTTGTGATCTCTTTAGTTTATGCTTATAAAGATATTTCCGTGCTTCTCTTAATTTTGTATAATATAAAATATGCTATAGAATAATGGGCTATGCTTCCATCTGGAGAACCTGAGATAGGTTCTTGTTTAATTCCTAAACTGTACTATGATAAGGTAACATTAAACTTTTTTCTTAATCAGGGGGAGCCTGGAATACCATTGAATGGAGGAAGAGGCCTTCCTGGCCAAAAGGGAGAGCCTGGCAATCCAGTAAGTAGCAACTGACAGACAAATGGGAGGGAGAAGGAAGAAAAAAACACTGAAAGCAAGATTCCCAAGGAAGTGGAGGGAGAGGAAATATCGTATCCTTCATGAGATCCTCATGTATGTGTCACTTGCCACACAGAAATATTTCTTTACTGCGTCCTATGGCTATTTCACCACTTCCGGTCTCACTTTGAAACATATACAGGAATCCTATGGATATTTACTTGGTCATAAATCCTTCATCTTTCACTTCCGTAGAAGTGTGTATTGAATTGCAGGCCTAACTTTATGCCTACTTCTTTTGCTGAGTAACAGACGGGAACCCAGTTCTTGCTAAATGTCTTTTTCTTTCTGTCTGAAGGGAAACCCAGGAATTCCAGGCCTCAGGGGTCCTGTAGGGGATCCTGGGCTAGTAGGACTTCGTGGGCCAGCAGGGCCTCCTGGCATTTCTGTCAAGGTACGAGTTCCTTTCCTTGCAGTGATTTTCTACTTTAGCCATTGAAACCATCCACATTCATTGTAGAATATGAAATCAGACTATGTAGCCCATCTGTATGCTCATAAAAGTCCCCTTGGACACCTGTCTTCAAATCCATTAATAGTACCCTGTTAGCAAACTGCAAAGTAGCAGCTATCACACTTGTCTTTATCCCTCCTTCTCCTCCTTGCACAGGTAAACTTTCTCTGGAATTGGCCCCATGTGATTCATAGAGTTACACTGTTTGTTTTTGAAACAAGTTTTCTGACTTAACTGGAAGCCTTTTGAAACGGGAACATTTCTGCTTTCAGTAAATTTGGAACTGCTTCATATGTTTCCCTGTCCCATATTTGCTTTTCACTACACCCATATCCATTATCCTCATGTGTAAGGTGATAGACAGTTGAACAACCAAGTGTCAATAATTTTGGAAACTGAAGAAAATAATAATAACTTTATAACATAACAAGAATAACTTGGTATAGAAACATATCATTTTGCCATACTTTGGGGGGACAGGCTCTAGAATTACATATTAACTGTACATATAGTCACTATTTCCTCTTAACCAGTATTTGTGCTTTCTCACAATGAGTTTCCCTGTTGAGCCTAATGCATATGCTTACATACATAAACATTTTATTTTATTTACAGGGTGAGAAGGGCGACCGAGGTGAGCAAGTAAGTGATCGTTCTTTTTCCCTGCCTCTCTGCTTTTGCTGAGAAATCAGTCAATGATTCAGTTGCTGAAGAGACCCATGATAGGCCAACAAGGACTTTTAGTCAGAATGTAAGATTCATTTCTCTGTCCCAACTTCCTTGGAGGAAGCTCCCCTAAAATCTGGAAATGTTACTTCTAAGTAAACATGATAGAAGAGAGCTACTTTAAGTGAAAGCGAGCATGAAGAATGTAGTGTGTTTCAGGAAAGCAACAAAAGGACAAAGAGTTGTAGTACTTTAGCTTTTGGGTAGCTGTGAACACACTTGAATTGGTGAAAAGTTCCCAAATTAGCAGCTGTGAGGGATGTGGCTAGGCACAATATATATAAAAATTCTGTTCATGGTCCTCTTTGGGTAAGTATGCCTTTCCTTCTACTTTGGATGCTTTACCCTTTTCACTCTGCTCCACCTTCCCAGCTCTGTGGATCTGCTTCTTCTCTCGTCTGTAGATCTCTCTCTGGGTATTTCCCCCCGCCCCTTTCTAATAGATTTTTCTCTCCTGCTACTTTTTTTCTCCATCCCTTTTGAATTTGGTTCCTTCTTTCTTTGTGTCCCTGTACCTTTTTTATGTGCTTTATTTTCCTAATGTGAAATTGGAGAAATGCAGAGGTCCAGAGCTCACCTTTACCTTCTTCCTAGGGCCCTCCTGGACCAGGTGATGGAGGTGTGGTCAGAGGAGAACCTGGTATTCCAGTGAGTACACTCTTTGCCATGTTTATAAAGATGGGATTTATAAATGTAGATATTGTTAAAGCTTGAGAAACACTGAACGGCTATATGAGAAGGAACAAGAGTGACAGCTGAAAGTATTTGTTAGAGAACATTTGTAAAACTTAAAGTCTAGAAAATGATAATATGTCTGAAACAAAAGTATTGCCATAATAGATGACACCTGAATCTCCTAGAAAAATGAGCAAAACCAGTAAATGATTGCTTAATTGCAAAGAATTAAAATTTGGTCTTTTGTTTTTACCTCTGTTTCCCTATTTCCCAGGGTATTCCCGGAGATCCTGGGCCCAGGGGACCCTCTGGACCTCCAGGACAAAAAGGTGATAAGGTAAGATAAGGATCTGTTCACTGACTGAAAGGATGAATGGAGCCTAGATTAATCAAATGAGCACTCCATTGGTTTGGGGGAGGTTTTTTTTTTGACTCCCATTCAAAATTCTAGATAGAAGCCTTCCATAGTGCTGCTTCTGAGTAGAAGTAGTCCTCAACTTACGATCAGAATTGAGCCTGGAATTGTGGTTGTAAGTTGTTGTGGTCATACGCTGAAGCATCCTGAGATCAGACCCAATTTTTTAACTTTTTTTTTTTTTTCATTCATTGCCAAAACCGGAAGTAAATGCTGGAAACCTGCAAAAAACATTGCAAGTCAGTGACACTGGAAATGGCCGTAAAGGTGACCCAGTTGCAAAGTGCCCATGTTATGATAGGTGTGTGTGGCTGTTATAATGTTGAAAACAGTTTGTTAAGTAGCTCGGGGGAGTCCACCATAACTTTGAACTGTTGTTAAGCATTTGGGCATAAGTGAAGGATTACCTGCAGAGGCTGTGTATCTGAGTCTTTGAATCCAGACTTGTGCTGATACAAATTAATTTGAGCTGGAAATTCTGTAGATTTCACTTCCTGCTTTTAACCAGAAAAGTTGCTTAAGTTTATTATAGGTGGTCACTGCTTTTCTTCATGTTAAAGGGAGACGGAGAAGAAGGTTTTCCTGGACTTCCTGGACGTACTGGAGACCCTGGAGATCGGGTGAGTTTTTAGAGAAAAACATTTTCTCTTAATGTTCTTAAGATCTTATCAAATAGAAACCATTTCAACTTAAACTTAAATGAGTAAACTTAACAAAGTTAGCTGGGCCAGCCTTGAACTGCCTAGTATCTAATATTTATGTGAAAAACTACTGATTGTCATCAGAAACTTTGAAATCAAATTTCATCAGTATGTGCATAACACTCAGTAATATTGCTTCTTGCTATTTAAGTTCAAGAAAGCTGCTGAGGTCCTTATGGGTTGTCTATGTGTATTATAATAAGCAGAAACTAAGACCAGCCACAGTAAAAGAAAAAAATATATTAAAGGATGGAAAGTTAATCCTGTCCAAATGTGATTGCAAACCCTGAAAATAAGTATACCATGTGGGAGTGCTTTTTGATCCTCAACTTGCACAATTGTGCCATTCATGATTATTTCTGAACAAATTAGAATTGGCCTTAAGTATTCATGTCTCATGTCATAGATCAAGATTAAAACACTTCCAGGCATTGTAAGTGGGACTAACCTAAAATTTCTTGTTCTTGGGTATCAGAATAATATTAGCTTAGGTTAAAGATCTGTAAGTTATACCCACATATACATATACACATGGTGTGTGTGTGTCTGCGTGTGTGTGTGTGTGTGTGAGTGGGGGATGTTTATGTGCATGTGCTCATTTATTCATTCATTAAAGGTTAAATTAAATTATTGTGTCTAATCTCTAAAATCCAAAAATATTCCTAACCTAAATAACTGAGAGATACCTTTCGTGTTATGAATTTGTCCTGCTCTTAAAATCTTCCTTGAGAAACTTTCTTAAAGATATCCTCTGCTTTCAGAAACCCAGCTGTTTGGCTGTGTGGGATGCTCCCTAGATGATAATAGCACAATATCATAGTAACAATGTAGGCCAACCCTTTTTTTCCACATAGCCAAACCACAACTACTTGGAGACAAAGCAGGTTTGCTCAACAGGATTTTTTTAAGGGGGATGGAGAGTATTTCCAAGGACAGAAATTAAAATCCCTTATTCTTTAGTTCAAAATCAATAACTTGAATGAATTAACAGTCAGTATCTTCTAGGAGTTTCTAGCAGTACATATTCAGTATAGGATTGAATAACAGAAAGCGGTCCTGGGTCATGGATTCATATAGGTTTTGATTTGGACATGTCCTTTGCTTAATGGAATGCTCTGGTGAGCAGTGACGGGAAGACTGAGACCATAATACATCCATATATTCTCCTTTGGTACTTGCATTTGGCTCTTCTTTGAGCAAGTGGTACAAATAGGTGACGGATTATAAAAAAGAGCTAGGTTTGGCAAGCTGAAGTAGAGGGAAGGGAAGACAAAAGACAAGATGGGTGGATAAGATACAGCAAATCATTGGAATATCCTTGGAGATTGAGTGATTGAATATGTACCGTCAAGTTGAATCCTAATGACCACACAGATTTTCTATCCATGTGGTGGGATTCTTAGTAAAAATACAGGTGTGGTTAACATACTCCTGCACAGTGTGAATGGATGTACTTGCCATTGTCACAAAAGTGACCATCTGCCTCCAGCATCTTTCTGTACCACTGCTACCCAATATAAGTGCCTGCTATTCAATTGTTTTATCAGATGTAATACAGATTACATAATCAATATAGATTACAAACAATGATCAGATTTAAATTAATTTATCCTTAATCCTAGGGTACTTTCAATTTTTGGTTATTCTGATAATTTTTCAACAAAAACAATTTCCCACCTTTTAAAATATTACTAATCCAATCAAAGATGCACTTTAATTTTTCAGTATTTTTCCATGGCTGATAATATAGCAGCAAACAACAGGAGTCATTTCCTTATGTTGTATTCATTTGTCTGAATTAAGAAATATTAATTGGTTGATTATGTATTATGTTTTATCTTTTGTTTGCTGCCTGAAATTCCATTGGTAGGTAGGTGGCTATATCAACTTATTAAACTAATTAAATAATAATATGAACAGTAAACCAACATTAAAACTCATTGTTACTGTACCTTTTTTTCCCAATTTCTTTATTAATTGAATTTAAAAGGAATGGCTAAACTGGTTCCAAGAGAAAAATATGTGTTAGTTTGCTCACTAATCCCCCAAACAAAAATGTTCCTACTCTTGTTTTTAGGGCCCCAGAGGACCTCCAGGTGAACCTGGGATCAAGGTAGGTGTTGCTCAAATGTCAGTGCTGTATTGGAAGACTAAGACTAAGCCTTCTAAATATGAAAGGTGACCACAAGTACTGATGACATTAATGTCTATACTGAATGAGATAAGCATTATTCATAGAGATCTTCTAGCTGTACGGAGTGGGCAGTTACGTTTATTTTACTTTTACTTTTGAACATTTTTGGGAAATTTTCTGCAAAAGGCTCAGCCTAAGGCACTGATAGGGAGATCTGTTTGTTTACTTGTTTCTTCCTAGGAAACTGATTTGGTCCCTTCTCCTGCGGATGTAATTAGAGAGCCCTTACAAATAAACCTTGAATTTACAGCTATAGTTTTTGTCCTTTTGTCCATTCATGAATTATTTATACCCGTTGGTGCTTCTAATATCTGATTTGGATTTTTTTTTTCTCTGTGATAGGGAGACCATGGTCTTCCTGGTGCACTTGGGCCATCAGGAGAAAAGGTGAGATTTGGGTAGAGCAGTGCTGTGAACTAAATTCCTGTACATGATGGAAGATTGCATGCAAGTGGTTTGGATCGAGTTTTCAAATCAAGAGCTAACATACAAATTATGTGTGATGTGTGAATTGCATAATTTGATTTTTCATAATTTCTTATATAACAATTCATGACCTGTTAACTGGTTACCTTCATTTTACAAGGGAGTCAAATGCACTGATGACATCCAGAGAAATTTTGTGTTGTCTGAAATTTTTATGAACTGGAGTGCCTAGAATTTATCTTCAGATCCATCCTTAAAGTAAAAAAGGATTTCATTTGGATTCAGAATTTTTCTGAAGGAGCAAAATAGGAAAGTATAAAGCTCAGTAATGTTATTGCTGTGGTGTGTTTCCTATGGAAACAAAATGAATTTTGCCTGAAATGTACAAAACTTCTCTTCTAGGGAGAGCCTGGATTGCCTGGTCCTGAAGGAGAGAAGGTATATATATTCATTCTGAATTGACCATATTATACCAAAAGGCAAATTAGTCCCTGCAGATTTTACTCCCTTAGTCATTGCTAACTAGAGGGGGTAGTGCCGATCTCTCTTTCAAGGCCATTGATATTTCCACGGTCATGTGGCCAGCATGACGTCACAGAGTGCTGTTACCTTCCCACTGAAGTGGTACCTATTTATCTCCTTGCATTTGCATGCTTTTGAACTGCTAGGTTGGCAAGAGCTGGGGCGAGGATGAGAGCTCACCCCATCGCATCGCATGGCATTCAGGTCTTGAACCTGGACTGCCAGCTTTCCACACAAATCACTGAGCCACTGCACTGCCCCATATTATATCAAGAAATAACTTAATCCAATAGTAATTTGGATAGGTTTCCCTGGGGAAAAAACCAGCATGGTCTAGTGCAGGGGTAGGCAACCTCGCCTCTTTTATGACTCATGGACTTCAACTCCCAGAATTCCTGAGTCAGCTCTGGGAGTTGAAGTCCATGAGCCATAAAAGAGCCGAGGTTGCCTACCCCTGGTCTAGTGACTATAAATTAAGATTTGGACTAAGAAAGCTTTGCTTCTAAGTCTAAATTATCTGACACGTTTGTTCAGATGATAAAATTAGGAATATTTCACATAAACTACATGTTTATAGTACTTTTTCATTTTAGGGCGAACAAGGTCCCTCAGGCCGTCCTGGTCCATCTGGCAGAGATGTGAGTGTGGGAGTTTTCTTAATCTCAATATTTCATAATGCTGTAAAATCGAGACATAAATCAACAGTTTCCATTTCTGGGAGATAGAAGCGCTGACTGAGTTTGGGTCATATTGGTCAAATATTGTCTATCTGGGAACAATTCTACTCCTCCTATCTCTCTTTTTGAGTGCAATAGTTCAAAGGTGATTTGGCAAGTCGAAAAAGAAGCAACTGGAGGAAAGATTAGAGAAAAGACAAAACATGTTGACCTGCATTTTGATTTGCTACACTAAAAATTGAATCAATTGCTTTGGAATAAGAGGATCTGTTGAACAATTTCAAATGATGATGAGATATCATGAGTTGTAATAGAGAAGTAAAAAACAAACATTGTTTTCTTTTGTAAACTTAGGTTTTTTCCCAGATACTTCAAACATGCTTTGATGTTTCAGAGGAAAAAACATGTGGGGATCCAGAATGATTTCCAAAAGGAATCAGTGATTGTAGGGAGGGTTGATAAACTTCTTACTTTATATTTCTCAACTTCAAATTACATTTTCTATTTTCCATCTGGTGCAGTTTCTTGGTAGAGACTTGGGTTTCTAAACCTAGGTTCATCTGAAACCTGAACATTCACAGCCAATTCCAAGGGAATTATTGCCCATCATAAATGGCATCCAAAAAGTAATCTTAATGCTGCAGTTCAGTTGTTCAATAATAAAAAATATGATTCACTTTGAATCCTATTATTGCTCAAGTACACTCTTGCTGCCTCTATTATCCCTCAATAAAGACTCTTCCATGATGGCCAATGATTCACCCTTACTTCAAGAACTCCTCCTGTTAATGCTGCCCAGTATGAGATCCATGATTATTCTGAATAATAACTTTTCTTCCCCTCCCCCACTTCAATTTTTGAAATAGGGCTTACAAGGAACACCTGGGTCTCGAGGAGAACAAGTAAGGATTTTTAGACCTATGGCAAATGCTCTAATTTATATTGGAATTATGCTTACTCAGTAGGGTTCTTTAATCTGAAAGGAATTAGTAATGTAACCTGTCATTCCCATTTATGTAGGAACAATATTAAAAGTTGAACACTTGCGTTGCTTTTGACCATTTCCATCTACACTACCGTAGTACTAATTCTATTCTAATACTATTACTATTACTATGAAATTGACTCAGATTTATCAGTCATTTGGAATACTGGCAAACTTATCTGGTGAGCCACAAATTGTGCAGGTCTGGCCTGTAGAGTTCTGAATGGCTGGCGAGTATCTCTGGTGAAAACCGTTGACAATGTATTCCTGTATTCAGAGCTTACTGAAATGCAAATTAACATGAAAATGTCCTGTTCCCACACAACGTCAAATACTGTGGGCTGAATGAAATTCTACTCTCAGATTCTTGGGAGTCCAGTTTATTGATCATAACTCCCAGTAAAACTAAGATGTGGTCTTACAATGAGACATGAGAGTGAAGGTACAGTGCTTTGACTGATGCAATGAGCTTGTAAAGTCATCAGTGGGGATCAATTGTGGCATATGGTAAGACTTAAACAATTTGGACTGCCCTGACACTTTCACTTTCTGCCATAGGGAGAGAGAGGAGAGCCTGGTATACCCGGTCTGCCGGTAAGTCTCCCATTGTAATCAGCCATCATAAATATCATAAGCAGCTAGAGTGGGTAAAACACCTTTAATCTTCATCCTAATTTTCTCTTTTTTGGGTTGCTTAATGCCTGGTCTAGAAAAGATTATATAACCTGTTACTCTTTTGTAAAGGAGTTTTACCTAGACTTCTCTTGGGCATGAACATCATATCGCCAATAGCTTAGTTGTATATCGAAGATGAGGAACTTGTGGCCATTCAGAATTTACCAATCCAAGGTTTACAATTTTCCATAACATTGGGCTTACTGGTTAGGCTATAAGTACAGTGGTGTTAATTTGAAATCCACTAACTCTTTCTTAAGAGACGTGATCATTATTGCATGACCAAAATGACCGAAGGCTATTGTACCATAATTTCTTCTTCATCTGGCCAAGTTAGTTAGCTATGGAAAACTTCATTATTTATCTGTCCTGGCATAGTTACGTTCATACAAGTATTTGTACATCACCTGTAACAATGCATAGGAAGCGCCTTTCTACAAGTTTGCATTTCTGGAATATGATCTGAAAAGGTGTCAGCAGTTACCTTTTTTTATATTTCTTCTAGGGATCCAGCATTTCTGGAATTAAAGGAGATAAGGTAACTGCACAGGAACAAATCTCTTGTAAGGAATACAAAGTGTAGCATATCCTATTTGAATTTATATTAGTTGTAGCAGGGAAGTTGGCTTAAAGAAAACTATTTCACGAGACTATTGTGGCTCTCTTTTTCCAGTAGTTTCCTTTTGTTATTTGATTTAATAGGAAAAAGCAATGCTCAAATTAATATATCACACGGGAATTATGCCACTATGGAACATTGACATTGTGATTCTGTTTTCCTCTTTTCAGGGAGAAAGAGGCATTATAGGACCTGAAGGCCCACCTGGACCAAGAGGAGATGATGGGGTCAAAGGAGAACGTGTGAGTACTTGAGGTTATGGTGATATGTCATAATACATTGATTATGATAATGCAGCCTGATAAAATGATTGTAAACTGCTCACTGTTACCTTAAGGCAGTGTTTCCCAAACTTGACAATTTTAAGGCATGTGGACTTCAACTCCCAGAATTCCACAGCCAGCATTGCTGGCTGTGGAATTCTGGGAGTTGAAGTCCTCATGCCTTAAAATTGTCAAGTTTGGGAAACACTGCCTTAAGGTAAGGTGGGCAGCCAATACACTTTATAAATAAATAAACTAAATAAATAAATTTGAATTTTTCCTGCTGAACAGCAAACTGGGATGTTGACTGCTTTGATTTCTGTCAAGGCTTTTTTTTCAGTTTTAGATATAGCCTGGTATAACCTTACAGGACTATCTGCCTTGGAAAGTAAAAGTGAGAACCAGGCAAGAGGGCTGTGAAAGTTACTGTTGGCTTTATTATTAGAATGGGATGATGGTTCTTCTTTGATAGAGTGGGGAATATATTTCTTCTTTCCAAATATGTCCCTTCAGATTCACCTGCTAAAAAAATATATATCTCTAGCACCATTTCATCAGAGCTTTCATCAGACATATTTCAGTTCACTGAAGAATACCCCCAAAATACTCTTTGTGATTCAATTTCTTTTCATTACAGAACATTTTCCAGAACCTCTCAATATTTGTGAAGCTGATCTTAAAGATGACACCTTAGTAATAATGATGGATATGGATATACTTATATGAATATACGACATCCTTTTAAGTGTTTCTATTTCATGGTTTTTTTTTAACTTTTTTATTCAGGGGCCTCCTGGTCTTAGTGTCCCTGGCCCACCTGGCCCAAAAGGAGAACAAGGAGAAAATGTGAGTCCTAAATTCGTGCCAAATGTACATCTTTAAGGCTCTGTTATTCTCCCCTTTTTCATTCAGAAAGGGAAGGGATCCCTGTAGAATAGACCAATAGACTCCCTAGTTGCATTTCAGTTTAATGAGCTGACATCAGCGCAATGCTTTGGCTCCTAGCTCCATCACGTCTAATAAAAGAAGGCTCAAGTATAATTTTCTCTTTGTACAAATATTAGATATGGGCCAGGGGTAGGCAACCTTGGCTCTTTTATGATTTGTGGACTTGAATTCCCAGAATTCCTGAGCCAGCCAGGCCTAGTCTGTCTGTGCATTCACTACAGAATGCAGAGCAATGTATATATCCTTGCAGCCACTAACACAGTGGTTCTCAACCTGTGGGTCGGGACCCCATTTGGGGTCGAACAACCATTTCACGGGGGTCGCCAAACAACGCAGTCCGCCATTTTTTTCCCCTTTTCCTTAGCTGTGCTACTCCCTTTATTCTATTGGCTTTTGAAATAGAGTCTAATTCTATTGGCTTTCAAAAGCCAATAGGAATTGTCCAGGCAATCTCTGCCCTGCTGAGCCCGCCAAAAGTCCCATTCTGCAAACTGTGCTGCACTAGTTGAGTAGTCCTCAACTTACGACCAGTTGAGTAGTCCTCGGCTTACGACCAGTTGGGGGTCGCGGCATTAAAAAGGTTGAGAACCACTGCACTAACAGGTAATAAAGCGCTGCTTTTTTTCATGGAGTATTTCTTAGTCCTTGCCTAAAAATGATTGTGCAACAATCTTCCTTATGCAGTTTTCCTGACTTAGTCATTTGAATGTTAATAATTATTGGTTTCCTTTTTTCTTTCAGGGACTCACAGGACTGGCTGGCAAAACTGGCCCACAGGTGACTATTGTGCATTGAATGAAGAGGGAGCAAAAGGATGTTGATTCGGGTGCTGGGCTAGGTGGGCGGGTCTTACATGGGTATGGTAATGATACATAACCAGTCTTGGGTAGGTGGACAGTTTGGGAATGTTCTTCAAGATGTTGCTAATGGAGAGGTGCAGATTTTAGCAGCAACCAGACACAGTACACCACCTAGCTTCTATATCAGGTATAGGTCCGGTTGTATGCACTGGATTACCTTCAGCTTAGACTTTTGATAGACTATTGGAAGATGTTTTGGTGGGGCTGCTACTGTTTATCAGTAATTAGATAGTAATCAAAGTGGGAGTAAAAGTTTTCCCAGCTTATGTCCCTGAATGTTAGTCATTAGATTTAGTCTGCTTTAGAATTTTGCTGTATTTAGTTTATTTCCCCTCCCCCCACCTTGGGATGATTCACTTCCTTAGGGTGATCCAGGAGAGCCAGGGGAGAGGGGAGAGTCAGGAAGACCAGGCCCTGCAGGACCAACTGGCCCACGAGGAAAAGAGGTAAGAAAAGGAACAACCCTATCTTATCTTGGGTTTGGGATATAGGTAACATAAATATTCATTTATAAACTCATACTGTCCTCTATATTTTTTAACTGTTATGTCAGTAGTACAATCTTCAGTTAGAATGGTGATCCAATGGATTCCATCATAAATCCTATCGACTAACATAATCGATTGAGAGTACCTCGATCATGCCTACAGAAAAAGTGGTTATGCTGCAAGGACATGACTTCCATAGAAACTTTTAAGAGAGTGCCATCACAATATTAGCACATCATCTTTGAGCATCACATTGCTAGTGATCTCAAAACTGGATTAATTTCTTCGTAGGTCACTGGAAGATATCCTCTTCCAATCTAACTTGTTTAGCAGAACCTATTTCCTGGAAGGTCAGGTTCATTTTCATAGGCATACATGAAGCTGAATGGCCATTTATAGGTAGTCCTTGACTTATGACCACAGTTGGGTCCAAAATTTCTGTTGTTAAGCGAGACAGTTGCTAAGTGAGTTTTGCTCCATTTTACAACCTTTCTTGCCACAATTGTTAAGTGAATCACTGCAGTTGTTAAGTTAGTAACATTGTTGTTAAGTGAATTTGGTTTCCCCATTGACTTTGCTTGTTCAGAAGGTTGCAAAAGGTGATCCCATGAACCCAGGACACTGCAGCCGTCGTAAATATGAGTCAGTTGCCAAGCATCTGAATTTTGACCACATGAACATGGAGATGCTGCAGTGGTTGTAAGTGTAAAAATGGTCATAAATCCCTTTTTTCAGTGCCGTTGTAACTTTGTACGGTCACTAAATGAACTTTTGTAAGTTGAGGATTACCTGTATAAGAAATGCAGTTCATCCTGCACTGAAAAGATTGCATGAAATAATTTCCATCCCACAGACCTGCAGAAAGAGATGCCAAAGGTGAATTTGTAACAAGTATTTTTCTTTTGATATGCTAACCTGTTAGATTGCAATGGCTAGGGCACTAAGTATATTCAAACACAAAGTGCATGATAGTAGCAATGGTCGAATGTAATCTTTCTGCTGTGGATTTTAGGGTGAAAGGGGTGACAAAGGAGAGGAAGGAATCCCTGTAAGTAATTGTCTCAATTTATTTATTATTCACTCTGATGATCCATTTTATTTTAATTTAATTTTATATGTGTTGTGTTGTGTTGTATTTATTGCTTTTTCTTTTTTCTATAGGGTGAGCCAGGCCTACCTGGGAAACCTGGAGAGAAAGGTCCACGGGTAAGTATTGCAGAAGCACAACCCAAGGGTTTCCGTTTAAAATGAGAAAAGGAATTGTAAGCAGTGTTGTACAGTAGATACACAGAGGTTGGATAGCATTGCACTACTGCAGTGCATGAGGCTGCCTTTGGAGGCCATTTGGGAATGATATTTTTGAACTGATTATGTATGCTGAGTTTATGAGTTCAAATATCACACTTAATATTTTTATGTATTAAACTGCCAGGCATCTTTTCAGTTTGGCAGTTAAGTAAATAAATGAATGATTTTTGTTGTTGTTGCCTAAGCCTGTGCCAGAAACTAAAGAATACTTTCCTCCTCTAAAGTTCTTGTCTGCATCTAGCTTGAAAGGCTGGTTTGCATCAGCAGTGTGGATTGGCATTGCTCACAGGGGCTAAACCTATAGACTGTCAGGTGCAAAGGATCAGGGCCATACCTTAAGTTGCAGTTCAAAAAAGATTTATTGCTTAAGCTTATATACAAGAATTCAGTCAACTAACAGTCAGTACTAAATTGGCACTACATAAGAGTTAATGGAATTCAGGGACCGCTGAAATTGGATTGTTTGTGGCAATGTAATGACTCCAGACTGATTACTCTCTTAACTCTACCACCTGGCTCTGCTTCTTCTTCTCCTACATAGACTGAAAGTTTATGATAATCTGCGGGTCCCACAATCTTGTATAAAGTTGGAGAATCCCAGCTCCCCTTTGACTGATTTGTATTTTCTAGCATTATTTTTTCAGGTCCCATCCTTGACTAGCCAGTTCCCAAAAAAGATGTCTCCATGTATGAAATTATCAGATTCTACAGATTCTTCATTCCTGTTTTTATTTCACAGGGTCCGCCAGGCATTAGAGGCCTTCTTGGTGAGAAGGGAGACCAGGGCGATCCTGGTGAAGATGGGAGAAATGTAAGAACTCATTCCCATTTTCAAATGTCATTGCAGAATTTGACTGCCGAGATTGTCCAGTTTACAAAAATGTTCTTTTCTTTTATAGGGCAGCCCTGGACCACCAGGGTCAAAGGGTGATCGAGGGAGTCCCGTAAGTCACCATGCTACTTTCAAGGAATCTTTTTTCTTACTGATGTTTGTTCTTCCCAGTCTAAATCTACTATGTGGTCTCTGGGTTGCTATATACTGAAACTGTCCACAAATATAGAACCAGCCTATTCTTTGCGGGTAGCGGTAGGCCTCTGTTTTCCTCTTAACCAGGTTGCAAGGACAGAAGCTCTCCCTCCATGCTGCTCCTCTTCTGTGCCTTCTCTTGGGTTCCTGAACTTGGTTTACTATGTCTGAACTGGAAATATCTGGGCAATCACTGCACATTGCAGAAAAGAGATATTTGAGGATTGCCTCCAGTGATTTGTGGATGCCAAATAAGAACTATCTTTCAGCCTATTAAATGTGTATAATGTCACCCATAAGGAAAAAAAGAAACATACTACAAGCACTATAAAATTGCCTTTTTTTATTTTAATTATTGCTACTTTCTTGTCCTCTTTTCTCTATAGGGAGTGCCGGGTCCTCCAGGCCAAACTGTGAGTGCCATATTTTTATTTCCAGTATGTTGTTTTAAATCTTGATTCTGCATATGTCTGATGTACTATTTCATTTTTGGTCTTCAGATTGGTGTGGGGCCTGGAGAAGGAGGGCAAAAAGGTGAAAAGGTAACCCTGCTATGAAGTCCCAATGTGGACTGTATTTCATCTTATTTTATCACTTGTTAAGTAAGTGATTTTTACAGCACTGAATTTACTTTTACAATTGTCCTGACAAAGTGCTCATCCCATCATCCCATCTCAGAACTGACTGTAATAGCATCAGCAGAAGCACAGCTATTTTTGCTTCTTTCAATACACCTTCATTCCACACGACAGCCCACATATTGCCCGCTATCTTCCTATCAGTTTTGTACATCTTGTAGTGTCTTCATCCACTGGCCTTTCTTGAATAAACTTTCTAAGAGGGTATATAAATTTGTCCACTGTGCCTTGTTTCTCATTTCCCTTGTATAACTTGCAATTACTCATTCTGTTTTCCTTGCCAAAAACAATCTTGGTCTTTAGTGACACTAATTCTCAGATCCATGCCTCTCACTTTGTTTTGTAAATAGAGTATATTGGATTTGTTTTCTTCACTTATCCTGTTTGTCATGTTTAGCACTTTTGAAATCTTAGGTAGGACCTGGACTTGTTTTGTTACAACATTTTCCTTTTCATCTTTATGTCTTTTGTTCTTAAGTAGGTTGAGTTAAATGCTACGATGCTTAGAATGTCATAATTGTTTAATTATGTTCAGAGGGCAGTAAAATAGTCAAAGTTGGCTAGCAAAGTAAAATAAAATAAGATATGAAGAAAACAAATACCTGGCCACGCCCATCCAGTTGGCCGTGCCCCCCACACACCCTATTCATTTGAGTATAATGTGTAACTGCTACCGACCATAGATTCCTACTTTCAAGCATACTCATACTAATTTATATGACACCATTTCACCATTTCTCGCATTCTTTTTAATTGTTTATTTATCTTTGCTTCCCTGTATGTAGCGATCAACTCCACAAGATCAGATGACTTTCATTTGGTTTTATTACACTATTCCTCTTAGCTTCACAATATAATTAGGTATTTTTGCAGCCCATTCAGTACTTCACAGAATTTTTACAAAAAAGACAAAAGAAAACATCAGTTGTCCCCTGAATACCAATAACTAGCTGTGTTGTATATATTCTCTCTGTAAAAGTTCATTCCTAACTTTTTCAAGCACTTTTTTCTTGCTCTTTCTCTCTCTCAGTCTCTGATTTGATTCTGAAATTTGGGTTTGCAGCTATTTGCTCCCTACCTTTACAGAAAATGGGAGGGAAATACCCCAATGCCGAGTGACCTTTTCAGCATGTCTGGTCTACTATTCTGAGAAAAATATTATTCATTTTCTCAACTTAGACATTTTACATACTACTGTCATAGCTCACTTTATATACCATTTTTCTGAATCTAAGATGTCCCAGCATTAGAAAATAATATTTTCTTTCTTTGCCCTTCTATTTAATGTATTATATTTATTAGATATTTTCCTTCACCTGCTGAAGGAATTTAATAAAATCTGCCCATTTGTGTAAAAATGCATTTAATGTCATATCTAGTTTGGGCTTCAGAGGAACTGGGATTCTTTGCATACCTCAAAATTAGTTTGTGTACTTCAGTTTATGAGAAGCAAAACTACTTGCCTGCTAGTTGTCTTTTTCCATTTTAGGGGGAGTCAGGTGACCCTGGCGAGGATGGCACGAAAGGAACAAAAGGAGAAGTTGGTTTACCTGGCCTGCCAGGAGAACGGGTAGGTTCCAGGTGTTACACTGCATGTTTAAACAAGGAAATCTGGCGCCTGCTTCAGCTATTTTAATCATACAGTTAAACATGGAGGAAAGGAATGTGGGGGCACTTTTAATCCTTCCCCTTTTCTAGCATCACTCCAGGATTTGAGACGGAGTTAAGCTTTTGAAATAGATAATCTTCTCCAACATTGAGAGAATTTCTTGCAATTGAAAATAATCATAATCGGGCTTCAAACTGAAATAGGAAGAGTAACATCTTCTGCTTCTAAAGCTCACAGAAAAGAATTCACTAATTAGGAAAAGTGGATATGCTGGCAAGTGTCAGTACACTCCTAATGCAGACGGTCACTCCCTCCTGCAGTGAGAGAATGAAATAGGAAGAGCCCAAAATGAAAGAGTGGCTTGACCAAGTCCTTTGCAATGTCAGTAGTAGTAAGGGGAGATGGGAAGAGGCTTTGGGAGGGCCTACAGTCTGAGAAACTGGTGTCAGCCATTCCTTTTCCACAAGAGAATTGCAGAGACATCTTTTCCCCGTCTCTTCCAGGGAATTGAAGGTCCCAGAGGGGTCCCTGGAGTTCGTGTAAGTCTTTTTTTTTTCTTTTCATGTGCTTCAGAGGGGAACGTAATGCTGTTGCTTCTTCGGGGATTGTGGAATAACAGAGGGCCCAGTCTGCATCATCCTTTTTTTGCTTACATGGCATGTCAATTGTCTCCTTTTGCAGGGTGACCCTGGAGATCGAGGCCCAGTGGGAGAAAAGGTAAAGAGTTCTGATTTTGTCATTCACTAGAAGAGATGATGAAAGAAAAGACACTGGCAAAAGCCATGAAAGCCCACCAAATATTTTTATAAAGCTACACTTCTGTAAATGTAAGACCTGATATTTCATAGAGAATTTGGAAAGAACGTTCTTTTTCTTTTATTTTCTTTAAAAAATAAGCAAAGTAGCCTTTATTACTGCAGGAAAAAAAGTGGATTGTGTAAGGATTATTGAATGGCCCATGTCCATGGTCTCATGAGCAATAATTTCATTAATTCCCACAGTTTCCACTTGTTTCCACTTGTTGCTATGGTTGTTTTCTCATTCACGTATTCATTCGAATTTTTCTTCAGGGTGACCGAGGTCCTCCAGGCCTAGATGGTCGGAATGGCTTGGATGGAAAACCTGGACAAATAGGCCCTTCAGGCCAAAGAGTAAGTCTGATACTTGATACCTTCAGGTATATCAGGACGACAGCTCTTAGATTCAGCACCTGTAAAGCCACAATGATGCTGCATTACTCTTAACAAAGGCAGCTGTTTATGGGAAGCTACTGCTAAGTCCAAAAGAGTATTTTGAACATTTTGTATTGATACCAATGTTTATAATAAAGGAGTCACGCTGAGGATCATCTTGTTAGTTCCAAAATATAAAAGTTAATTATCATTGGTTTTTACTGGTGCATATTAATTGATTTTATATGTGCAAGTTTTATTTTCATGGCCTTGTTTGTTAAGCAGAACAATATAAAAAAGGGATGTTTTTGATGTGTTGAATCTACTGTACAAATGTTATGTAGATTTTATGGGATCATCACTGTGGCCATTTGTCACCATTTATCATCTAGAAAAAAGGGGAAGTAAAAGAATCTCGTTTAGGAGATTGCAACTGGGCTCATAATGTGAGTTGCGTTGAGTTGCGTTGGATTGGATGGATTGGGTTGGGTTGGCGAGTTGCACAAAATTAGCAAACATGTTTAAACAAATATTTTGGGGAACTGCAGGTAAAAGGCAATGACATGAGCACAAGGCACAGTTCAATGTGAGGCTTCTGATTACATCCTTGCTTTATTTTCTCAGGGTGATCCAGGAAAGCAGGGTGACCCTGGTCGAGATGTAAGTATAAAAAAAAGCCACTGACCTCTGACAAGCCTATAAAATGAAGAGTTATTTTCCTCTTGTTTAATTGATTTCTGGGTCATCTGTGTAGAGCTTAGTTAGCATTCTTGCACATATTGAGGAGCTGGTACATTTTCTATCCTAGATTACTAAATTTGGCTACCATGTATATCTTTAGAACAGGGATGTCAAACTCAATTTCATTGAGGGCCGCATCAGCATTGTGGTTGCCCTCGGGGCCGGGTGAGTGTGGCCAGGGTGGGTGTGGCCTACTGGGTGGGTGTGGATGGAGTGGGTGTGGCCTACTGGGTGGGCATGGCCAGCTCTACATCGTTCACATCAAGGGGGCCTATGGGGGCCTGGGCAGGAGTGGGACAGATCTAGGGTCTCTGGCAGAAGGGGGTGGGACCAGGGCAAGTGCCAAGGCATGGTCCACCGGAGGAGCCTCACTGTTCCTCTCAGGCCATGCAGGGGGGGCTGGATGGTGGTGCTGGCTGCCCGGAGCCCTGGGCAGCAGTGGTCAAATGCCCAGCCTAACGACTGCTGCCCCGGAGCCCTGGGCAGCAGTGGTCAAATGCCCAGCCCCACTTCCTCAAGGCTGCTGCTCAAGGTTCTCCTGGTTCCTCGCTGTTTCCAGATGGCCTTGTGGAGCTAAGACTGAATGTGTTTCAGCATAGATGGCCACTACAAAATTGTACATTGGCTCCCAGGCGGCCTGGGCCAGGGCCAAGGCAGTGGGGGCCGTTCCCTCACTGTTTCCAGGATGGCTTTGCGGGCCACATGAAACCACTTGGCGGGCCGCATCCGACCCCCAGGCCTTGTGTTTGACATGTCTGTTTTAGAAGAGGAGGGTCTCTATTCTATTCTGCATATCCACAACAGTCTGCTTTTTTAAAAAACAGGGCTTGCCAGGTCAGCGTGGAGAGCAAGGTCCTCCTGGAGCACTTGGCCCACTGGGATCTCCAGGAATGCCTGTAAGTAAAGTGGTTAAAAGACTGATCGGCATCCACTGCCTATATGTAACATATGGGGCTGAAAGCATATGCATACGCATACTTTCCATTAGGAGGCTTTGTTAAGTGGGCGGTCATCTTCTGTATTAATCACCACAGCTGGCCTTTGCTATTGGGTAGATTGCACAGACCTAGTGAATCAACACTCAATGTTGACTTCTCAATTGGCTAGCCCGCAATTGTATATGTATACCTCAGCCATGAAATGTAGAGGAAAAAACATGTTCTTGCACTCTCCTTGCTATCTAGGCCCATATAGAAACTTAAGATATGTATTAGTTCAGTTTTCCACTTCTGCTTTTTAAATTTTAAAAATACTTAGGTTGACAACTGGAGCAAGATTAGTTAATAGAGACTGATCTTGGGCTAAAGTGATTGGTAATTAAATTCTATTCAATACTGGATTTGTGTGGTGATATTGGCAATTGAATTCTCATCTACAAATTTAGGCTTACAATTTAAAAGAATGCAACACACATATACACACACACATACACACACACAAAGAAAATGTAGGATAAGGAGGGAGAAAATAAAAAAACTCTAGCACTAATTATTAATACTATATAGATTTTATAACTGTGGGTTATTGGCCAGATGGAAATTTATAGCTGTCTTGTCAACTAGAATGCAACAAATTTGAAGAGAAGGAGAAATCCAAAATTGCTGCACTGTCAACCAGACAAGTGGAATAATTCTGTTTTCTGTCCCATTCTTTGTTGTGGTCTCATGAAACAGTTGCTGGATGAGAATTTTTGGGAAATACAAAACCTGATGAAGGTGCCTTCTCAACAAGAATCTAACTGAATTTCTCCTGAGTTTACTTCACTAACCATTGGTTGCAACAAAGTCATATATTCCATACGGATTCATCCACCCTCATCCATCCTTTCTCCTTGTGCCAGTTAACAATTCTATGGGCTTGTTGCAGTCAAGCTGCTGAAAGCTTTTTTAGTTGGCTAATTTCCTGCATTTCTTTTCCAGGGCAAGCCTGGTGAAGATGGTAAACCTGGGCTGAATGGAAAGAATGTGAGTGTGGGGCCCGATCCCTCTGACCTCCTGCTAGAAGTGGGGCTTCAGGTCTGACAGGCAAGGCCTGCATTAGGGTGGGAAGAAAGCATAGGGAATAAGATGTGCTAGTAAGGAGTATCATGGCATATGCTTCTAAACTAATCTGGAATACAAATATGAACAAGATGTTTACTTTCCAGGGAGAAGATGGGATCCCAGGAGAAGATGGGAGAAAGGTAATTTCCTCTTACATACTTCCAGCATTTCAGACAAATTTCTATCTGTTAACCAGAGATTAGAACCAAATTCCTCAAGAAGGGTCCCTGTTTCTCCTCCCTATTTCAGTAACAGCTTTGGGATATATTTAAATTGAGAAAATGCCATCAGAGGCACCAGCTACCATCCTTATTTTTCCGAGAGCCACATATCAATCCAAATAAGACTTCCCCAGGAAAACTGCTTTTAATTCCACCACCACTAAAAAAGATAGTAGGAATATTCTTTAGAGATGCCATTCTCAATTTCATTCCCCGTCTTACTCCATTTAACTTCCAATGTCGAGCCAGCATTTTATACCTGGCATATTCAGTCTTTGTTGCCCTTTCCTAAAAATAAATAAATGTTTTTGCAAGTGCTGGGCAGGTCAAGGAATAAGCTTAAATACAACCATTTGTCTGACATGGTATAGGGTTTCCTGCCTAAGCAGGGGGTTAGACTAGAAGATCTCCAAGGTCTCTTCCAACCCTGATATTCTATTCTATTCTATTCTATTCTATTCTATTCTATTCTATTCTATTCTATTCAGACATAGGAGGAAGAGCCAAGAACAAGCAAATGTAAGAGAAACCTGATTCTGGTCTCTAGTACAACTTAAGTTGAATAGCAGTTCATTGTTGATGATTTCTTCACTTCACAAGTGGTCATTAGGAGATGTAATACAGTGTTTTCTTGGGTAATGAAACATTAAGGAATTGGCTTAGCACACATCTAGGCCATTTTGGCCCTCAGCAAAAAGTAGTCTGTTTTGTTGATTTCCATCTCAGTAGAGGAATGCAACAGGAAAGTCCTCTGAGCGTTTTCCTTTCAGGTCCATAGTTCCCCTAGAGATAGGTCACTGTCCTTGGATGGTGGTAAAATTTAAAGTAATGGATGTTAGGATCCAAGAAAGCTTTGCTGTTTCCCTATAAGAAAACTCCAGGGTATATACAAATACAGTTCTGATTTTTTTTTTATGTGTCTAGGGAGAGAAAGGTGAACCTGGAACATCTGGCAAAGAAGTAAGTACTTTTCCATAATAATGTCTGAGTTTTCTTTACAAGTTTGTTTTTGCCTTTATTCCATTTTTTTGTTTTTAAGTAAAGGCACTGCCAGGGTTATCTGCCTGGAAAAATGGGCAATCAGAGCATTCCAGATCACAGTGATCCGGCCAATATGTTGCTTCACAGTAAAACATACGGAGTGTGTGTGCACAGTAAATGCTATGCATGCAAAGAAGCGTGCTAGATGCTGATCATTCAGAATAGCCCCACGTAGTTGTGAGCAAGGGGAGATTGGTCTTCACCCCTTCAATTCTCACAGCTTGCCCCTTCCCATATTCTATCCTCTTCTGACACATGGATAAAGTTTAAGGTAAAAAGTTTCTGGTCAGCTTGCCTGGTTTTTAAATTGTTCTACCTTTATGCAAACATTTTAGAAAGAGAGAATTAGATTCAAGCTATAGGGTTTTATAAAGTCGTAAGTGTGTAGGCTACCAAGAAAATGAAAACAGCTAATATTTAGAAACAAATGGGGAGGTTGCTAGCAGGTTATTAGAGCCCACAAGTTGTCTGCAGAGAAGAGTTTACAACAAAGTCCTTGATGTCTCCTGTTAAAAGGCACTTCAGAAAACAAAGTTGGATAAGATCCTTGGCTCAGATCCTGCAAAGCTGTTGCCAGTTTTAAAAAGGTCACAGGAAAGCTCCCTATGCTTGATATCTGACTGCATTTGTCTTTTTTTTTTTTTTACAGGGTCCTGAGGGCGTTAAAGGAGAGAGAGGAACCAGTGGGCCTCCAGGGCCTCCAGGACCATCAGGTGTTCCTGGTGTGCCTGGACAAGTTGGCCCACCAGGCCAGGTAATTTCCTTCTTCCCGCAGAATCTACAATTGGCAGTGATAAATTACAATAGGAAATGAAAATTAAGCCTCAGCAGAAACTAGCATGAAGATGGATAAAAGCTGAAATTCATCATGGGGAGCGTGTGTGCAAAAAGAAATATGCAAAAAGAAAAGAAAAACATAGAACTGATATTGAGGAGCCGATGAGAGAAGCTGAAAAAGCAGAAAGAAAAAAACAAACTTGAGAGCAGAATAGTGTGCATGTACATCCATACATATATAAGTAAAGAAAAACAAACATTTTAAATACGCATTTTAACATTTATGTTCAGAATTATATTTATGTAGTTAAGGACAATGCAGTGGTGGAATTCAGCCTGTTCGCACCACTTCGGCAGAACTAATTTTTTGTTGCCCAGGCCCAAAATGGACTTCCGGAAGTGGCATCCACACAGAGAACCGGTTGTTCACATATTTGAATCCCACCACTGGGACAATGTATTAAAATGTTGCCGATATAATCAGTAATTAGTATATTGAATAGACTTATCTTTTTATTTAGAGCTTTTCAAACCTTTTTATTGCTGAATTCGTTTTTTTAAGCAGAGCAATTTTCTACACTGTCAATATCACTAATCCACTAAAAGAAGTTACCTTTGAAGTGTTCTGCAATAGCAAGTTTATCACATAAGAACAGGAAATGTATGAATCTTTATATTGCATCAATATTTTATTTATTTATTAGGAACAAAGGGGCAATAAGCCAACAAGCTGGATCCCCCAATATTTTCAAAAACTTTCAATCAGACTAATTAATTGGGCATTGCCAGTGAAGGTGATAATGAATACAATATATTTTACGGTCAGCAATATAATTTACCAAGGTTGCAGCTAATATGATGCAATTTAAATAGATTGTAATCCCATCCCTCTCTTCATGATCAGTTCCTGTTGACTTGGTATAAAAATAATTCTATGCAAAAAAAAAAATATCCCATTAGATCTCATGGGAGTCAAGATCAAAATTTCATATCATCTTTTCAAGATAACCATTTGTGCTTAAAAATATTTTTGTGGGAATTGATAGTAAATAAATATGCATTGGATTAAACAGGAAGAATTAAGATTTTCAAAAAAATCATTTTGAAACAATTCTTGGTGAATTTTGCTTTGGCTGGGTCAAAGAATTTACCTGAAATGCTCATAGAGAACGTTTATTCTAAGTGTCCTGATATTGTTCATGTGGTTTGTTATTATCTTGAGTTTTCTATCCTTGCTTAGTGGCTGTTTAGGGAATATGTTGGTTGGGCTCAATAGATAAATGTCTCTTTCTAGTTCTCTAATACTGGTAGTACATTTTGCTATTTTCAGAGCTTGCCCGGCCTCCCTGGAATATCTGGCCAAAAGGTAAGCAAAGATCTGCTACATTTTGCATCACATCAGTAGAATTGTAAAAAAAGAAGAAGAAGAAGTCAGATGACACTGCAGTTCTCACTCCAGTCTCGATGGCAGCTGAATTCCCTCTATGATTTTGCAGATTTTTTTAAAAAATTGTAGTTTCAAGCCCACACATGAAGGATATTGTTATTGTTTTGGGAACAACACAATATATAGGCATGTCCTTCTATGCCTTTTTTCATCACAGAAACAAATGGCATGTGAAGGAAGTATATTATAGATTGACTATCTCAGACTTCCAATCATAGTATGTTATCCTGCCTTTCACATATCACACATGATATCAGAATCTGGGACATAAATAATTTTGCATCTACGGTAGATCAGGCATCCAAAGTATCTTTCCTCTAGAACAGGACATTTCATTTCATTTTAATGGTAAAATACACAGAAAAATAAATCACTGAGAGAGGAAAAAGTAGCAATTATAGTGAAAAAAGAAAACCTAGATATATTAAATGTGACAAAAATTAACTAAAAAAAGAACTATACAATAACTAAAGACAACAACATAACATTTATTCAATCATTAAGCTTATCAAATCTAGAGCAACTAGCATTATGTTATCACTTTAGAACACAAAGATTTTTGCAAAAATAGTAGATATACTCTGCATTGATTACCTAAAATTAGAAGAGTAAATTTCTTCCCACTTGTGTAAAATTATCCTCTTTGACATGCTCCATGTTATTTGAGAGATGATAATCTCTATGTTTTAGAAATATTGGTCAACATCGCATTGAGATCCTTTAAATATAATATTTGTTCCCAAAATTGCACTGATGTATATAGTAATTTGAAAATGAACAAGATTATAATTGGAAAGACCAGGAGCATCCTTATCAGGCTTCACGATATAACTCCATAAATTGAGAGACAAAACCATTTGCAATAAGTCTAGTCACTGAATGAAGAATTGTAATTCAGCAAACAAATGACGATGGTAACCCATATTTTCATAGAATGCACTTCATAAATTCAGCCTGGACTATATCAAAATCTATTTAACATCCAACAAAAGTAAAACAAATGACTTAATTGTGGCAATACCTAAAATAGAAATTACAAGACAAATGTTGACAGGTGCTTATTATTTATTTATTTCTGTTTATAAGACTGTTGATCTTGACCTCAATAAACAAGAGATAAAAACATAAAATAATATCACTATAAATACAAATTAGCAGCCAGTTCAAAATCTATATAGGCATCAACACAAGCATCTAGAAGATTTTATTTCTTCTCCAACCCCAATACTTACCTATTTTTTATAAATCCAGATTAAGATATCTGAATTATAGGTAATATTACCTACTTGCAGATAAACTGATAATTTTAGGTCCCAAAATAAACTCCAAAATTGTGTTTAACTTGTTCACAAATATATATAAAAAGTAATACGTTTCAAAAATATCCATATACTGCATACTCATAATAAGCCAAACCAAAATATTAGGAAAAATGTGCTATTGTGGGTAAGCCAATTGTGAAAATTTTAAATGGAATTTGTTCTTGAAAATATTATTTATTGTTACAAAATATGAAAACAAATGGAGATCTCCAGAATATATATACAAAAAAAAAAATTGAGGATTGGCTTATCCATGGGTGGGACATTTTTCATGTATTTTGATTAAAAATTTTGGGGTTGGTTTATGCATGGGTGGTCTCATTAACAAGTATACAGTATATGGTACTTTCTGTGGTTTCCTAGAAAACTTGAATATTTTGGCATCCTCATTAATCAGATAGATTGATTGACAGCTTGCATATCTTGTGAGCGCTTCCTCAGGCTCTAATATCACCTAGAGCAGAATGGAATTTCTTTATAGTTCTCTGCCCAGTGAATTCTCATCCCATTCTGTTTCAGGGAGACAGAGGAGAACCAGGATCCAAAGGAGAGCAGGTGGGCATTTTTCCCCAGGCATTTAATAATTCAAAATCAATTATTTCTAGAGCTTTGAAACATTATGGAGGCTTTCATCGTGACCCAAAATTTGGGTTAACAGGAATCCCATTTTATTGAATATGAATATGACTTTCCTGAGCTCCTCTCCCACTTTTTTTAGTTATTTAACAATGAGATCTTCAGTGAGGTTTGATAGAACCTAAAGCACAGTGGAATGAGGTAATGTTATGTGGCACAATTATTGGCAGATCAATGGTCACTGATATGGATCATCCACAGTTTATGCCAGGTGTACCATGCATTTGGAAAGATTTCCTGAGTTATCATCCAACATAGCAATTCATGCTTTCACTCATTCTGTATATTTTTTTTTAATTTTGTTTCAGGGGAGAAATGGTGAAACTGGGCCACGAGGGGAACCCGGGACAGCATCAGTGAGTGAGCAAGAATATTATTTCCTCATTTCACCTTGAAAGCCTAGGAAGGGAAATTCCTCCTGTAAAAGTTTATCAGTCAATCAATTTTATTACAGTCATAGACCAGCAATCCCTGTAAAAGTTTAAACTGAGAAGAGTGAACCATTTTATTCTGAGAACATGGCTTAACTCATGGATGAGAATAATTCCTACTGCTGAGTGTCTGATGAGGACTGTATTAAAATATTTAAGGGACTTATAAGCCATAGAAATTATTGAGTTAGAAGTTGTTGGAGTAACAGACCTGTCAGAACTCGCCAATGGGGAGTTTTCTTTCTCAAAAAGCAGTTCACACACATGGGCATCACATTAAAGTGATCTTCCCAAAGGTGCTTTTTTGGAGGCAACTGGACTTCCTTGTTTTTCTTTGAAGACGTTTTGCTTCTCATCCAAGAAGCTTCTTTAGCTCTGACTGGATGGTGGGGAATGGAAAGATTTATATTCTTTGCAGACCGCTGATCATTTGCATTCTTTTAGAGAATCATTGAGGCCACTTGGAGGTTTAACTGTGCCCTCAAGGTCATTTGAGTAGTGCAAATGGGTGTGGCCTTCTTAGAACTGCTGAAAGAAGTGTGTTGTGGAGCTGTGCTTTCTGCAGGACATTTTCTGCCCTGTGTCTCTTCACTGTTGAACACACACACAGGCTGTTGTGGATGAGTCTGTGTTGTCTGCATCTCAAACTGAAGCATAAATGGTTTCTGTAGTCTGCAATTTTTTGGAAGTCCGTTTATACTCTCGTACCATTCAAAGAGTATTTATTCCAAACTGCATAGCTAAATGTTTGTGGAGATTCTCAGTCATCTGGATCATGGTTGTCCTGGATGATTGAGTTGCACCTTTGGGACAACCATGACTGAGAATCTCCACAGACATTAAAGTGATCTCTTAAATTTGGACTGCATACAAGGAAGAATTCTAGCCTACATAAGACGACTGCCATCTTACTTCGTTATGTTTGATGTTTATTCCCTATGGTCTATTTTCATTTTTTATTTTTTTTGCTCATGGTTTCCTATTTTTGTTTGTCTAGAATGTTGAACGAGCCCTAGAAGCACATGGTATTAAGGTAGGAATTCAGTTTACATCCTCCATCTTATCTCTATATTGCAGAGGTCTCTAATCTTTTTGTTTTGGCGGCCTGGTGGGAGAGAGGGGGGCAGGTGCCTTACACTTGAATGTGCAAACATGAATGTGGCCACGTGTGCGTGGGCACGTACAAACAGGCTGCAAGCATGTCCACCACGCAAAAGGCATTGCAAGCATGCTCATGAGGCTCTCAGCAACAGTGGCGCCTGTGTGAGGCTTGTGACGCTGCCGCCTCCAGGCTTGTGGCAATGCTATCACCAGCGCAAGGATCGTGCCATGGCCTGCAGTAATGCCACCCCCAGCATGAGGATTGCACCGCCGCCCCTGCATGAGGATCACACCATGGCCTGTAGCGATGCTGACTCTGCACGAGGATTGTACTGTGGCCTGCAGCGACGCTACCCCCAGTGCGAGGCTCACACCGCCACCCCCATGCAAGGCTTACACCGCAGCCTGTAGTGATGCTGCCCAGTGCGAAGCTCATGCTGCAGCCCACCTGCCGCTTGTGGCACTGCCGCCATCCATGCAATACTAATGGTGCTGCCGCTGCCCGGACAACACTTGCAGCAACAGTGGCACGAGGGGGGAATGAGCACATGCATGTGCACTGCCCAGCTATTCACACGGCCCAGTGGACAAGAGGCCACAGCCCATAGGTTGGGGATCTCTGCTGTATTGCACATATCACTGTCCTTCCCTCAAGACTCCTGACTGACTCTATAAGTGAACATCTAGAACAGGGATGTCAAACATGCAACATCACGTGACATGTCGTCACATATGACATATAGTGACTTTTTTGCCATTGCTGGCAATGGGGTGGGCGCGGTTTCGCTATGATGCATCCGGCCCGTGGGACACCCCTGATCTAGAAGGAGATAAGTGCTTCCAGCCTCAGGTGTATATATACACACATACATACACATACATACATACATACATACATACATACATATTTTCTGAGGTTTTCGTGTGTGTTTGTATGTAGGTCTTTGGTTATTCGGGTTTTCTCCCGTGTAAAATTGGAAGTGTCTTGGTGACGTTTAGACGAAGTCCCATTCGTCATCTTCAGACTGGTGTTTTCAGCTTCGTGCTTCAAGGAGCAATGTGTGGTCTTAGCTGTTTCTTCCTTTTAACTGCTAGTGGGGGTATGAACTGATTAGGTGGGAGCTTGGCTGTGTTCTGATTGGGTGGAGGTGTGTTCTGATTGGTTAGGGGTTTGCCTGTGCTCTGATTGGCTGGGGGGTTGGCTGTGCTCTGATTGGCTGGGGGGTTGGCTGTGCTCTGATTGGCTGGGGGGTTGGCTGTGCTCTGATTGGCTGGGGGAGTGTTCTGTTTGGGTGGGGGCTTTGTTGTGCTCAGGTTAGTCTGATTTGCAGGGGGGTTTAAGATGGTGGGCTGCCTTGCTATTTTTTGGCTTCGCGTTCATGGTTGTGCCTCATCTTCGTGGTGGGTGTCAGTTTGCTTCATGTATGGATTGGAGGAGTTTAAAGTGGCTAATGATGCAGCTGTGGTCTGGCTTCTGGTTTGTGGTCGTGCCTCATCATCGGTGTGGCTTTGGGTTTGCTTTTTGCGTGGATGTGTGGTGGTGACATCCTGTGTGGTTTTTGTGAGTGTGGGTCTGGTGTCATTTTTTGTGTTAGGGAGTCGTTCGTCAATAAGGGCGGGTTTCCAAATGGCTGGTAGGCGGGAGGTATCATCTCATTTGTTCATGCTGTGTGGGCGTTTTTCTATCTCGATGGCTTCTCTGATTATTCTGTTATTAAAATGTTCAGTTTTGGCAATAGTTCTGGTATTTTTAAAGTCCACAGGAAATAGATAAATATATACTGAGTTTAAAAGAACAATCTTCTCTGAAATTATCTGAATCTCTAGATGGACCTTGGAGGATCTGCTTGATATTTCATTGCAGATAGACATAAGGATGATGGATCAGGAAAGTAAACCTTTTGGCATTATCTTCTAAATAGTGGAACATTCTGCCCCAGGAAATACTTTTAATTATTTATTTTTGGTGCTTATGTGACCATTTGAACATTATTATTATTATTATTATTATTATTATTATTATTATTATTATTATTATTATTATTATTATTATTATTATTTTGAATTCTGATAACCCAGGTAACCTAACTTATATAGAGTTTAAAGTAAAGCATGGGTCTCTTGTTTATGTATGAGCCAATTCCCTCAGTGCATAATGAAGTTGAATTAGATTGGCGCCACCATTCTCTCTCACCTTTAAATAAGTTCAAGGAATATTAGTTTATAAATATTTGCATTTTAGATTGTGCTTCTCACCATGCTTCAGTGATTCTTCTTTGCTTCCTCACAGCTTTCCCAACTCAGAGAGATCACTGGTACTTATGATGGCAGCTCAGTCCCTGACCGCCGGAGAGGAATGAAGGGTGAGAGAGGAGATCCAGGAGACAGAGGGCCACCAGGGAAGGAGGTAAGGTTGAGTTCTTCATACATAAATATTAAGTGTATATTTTGTTTTTTCTTCTATTCTAGCTAGGGAAAGTTCCTCACATATACACAAACAAAACTCCAAACATAGCATACATATTCTTTTCCTGAATATTGTGCCGTAAATCCAAATATCATGGTGACGATGTAGAAAAATTGATTCAGTGTTGATTAATGCTTATATGTTAGTATTCCTATGGTATTGTTTAGAAAGTTTGCTAAAAGTGGGGCAGAGACCACAGGCAACTATTCACTGCTTTTCTAAATGTCTAAATTCCTGCAACCATTCTTCATATGTTTTTGCCTCCAGCCCTTTAATCATTAAAACTGCCCCTTTTACTTCTGCCATCAATTTACCTCTGTTGAGCGCCTCCTCCCACTTTTGAGATCTGCAGGGCCAAAAACTTTCCTCATTCTGCAAATGCTTGCCTGCACTGTCAGACCATGATGGGAATGTAGTCCATGCCAGTATTTTCCCATGCTGGCTGGGAAATTCTGGAAGTTGAAATCCACACAGCTTAAAGATGCTAAAATTGAGAAACAATGGTCTATGCTGCTCCTTGGTCTAGACCAGGGGTAGGCAACCTTGGCTCTTTTATGACTCGTGGACTTCAACTCCCAGAATTCCTGGGAGTTGCTGGCTCAGGAATTCTGAGAGTGCTGGCTCAGGAATTCTGGGAGTTGAAGTCCACGAGTCATAAAAGAGCCAAGGTTGCTTACCCCTGATCTAGACAAAAGATATTGGTTTTAGTTTCATAATCCCTGGTTGTATGGCATCCAGTGATTTGAGTTCAACAGTAGACTTGGAGGAAGAAACCAAGTTTTGAATTGTGGGTCTCAGATGTGAATTACAATGTTTGTTAAAGTTGAAGAATAAAATGTGAAATAGTAAATTGTAGTACAGCAGACCTGAGTGACTTCTGTGGAGTGTAACTCAGCTTTGCAATTCTGTGGAAGGCAGCAAAGCTTTCTCATGACATAGTGACCTCCCCAGATGGGTGCGCCTGAAAGTTTGCATGGGTTGGGTAGTGTTAAGGAATAGGAAAATTAAACTTTTAAGTATTTGTTGCATCCCAGCAGCCAGTTTCTCATAGATGGTGCTTGAACCACTTTACTGCAAGGAAAAACAGCGACATAAATGTTGCTGTACATAATAAATAAATACTTCCCTTTTATCTCTGAGTAAGGCTTTTTTCATTTTCTTGTCAATCACTCTTTGGTAAACAGATATAGCTAAAATGTACTGGGTAAGGAAATAATTTGTAATGTTTTTGATTTTTTTCCACCTCCTTTGCAGGCTCAAAGATGACCAGTATAGGAAGTTAGGAGTTTCTTAGAAATGAACTGCTTCCAGCCCCTTTCTTTACGTGCCTCCATAACTGAAAAAGGGCCCCAAATCTGCTCCACCTTTTCTTTCTTGGGCTTTAAAGAGTGGCAATGGGAGCCTTCTAGGAAGCAAATTGCTACCATTTGCAGAATTACAACTGACCAGAATCTTAGGAACAGCCCAAAATTATGCCCTTGAAATGTGACTACTTGCTGGTATCCAAGGACCATGGCTTTTGCCCTCTTGTAGCATTTCTTTGATAGTAGTATAATTCTTGTTCTGTGGCAAGTTGTCCCCCAGCAAATTGGCTGCAGCGAGTTGTCCTGGACCCCACTGAATCATACTTGGGAGCCCACTGGATGTGCTAATTTTCTCAGTTGAATAAGATGAAGCATTGGATTGAGACACCTCTAATATACTCCTCAGAATACTCTTTATTATAAGAAAGTTGATTTGCCTAGGCTGGGAGTCCTTAACCTTGGCAACTTTAAGATTTGTGGACTTCAACTCCCAAAATCCCTCAGCCAGCAAAGCTGAGGAATTCTGGGAGTTGAAGTCCGCAAGTCTTAAAGTTGCCAAGGTTGAGGACCCCTGGCTTAGGTTGTGCTTTGTATTGACGTAAGAGCTAGATTGGCAGAGACCAGACTGAGTTGCTATATTTGTAAACTGGTCTCTCCACCCAGAATGAATGGCCTTCAGTGGCTTCTCACTCATAGGTCAAGAATGATTTGAGGATTTGAAGCTAATATGTATAGTTTGAGTCTTACAGTTACCAGCTGCTGCTTTTGTGGGACCTGAAGAACTTTTCCAGTATCTGCAATAAAATAGTCTTATCAAAGCTATGTCCTTGAATCTCTGCCTGCAAACTTTCTATTCCAGAAGCAGCCTAAGTAAAGCCTGACCATTTCTTGTAGGGTCTCATAGGCTTCCCTGGAGAAAGAGGAGCAAAAGGAGATAAAGGAAATGAAGGACCACAAGGACCACCAGGACGTGCCATTGGAGAACAGGGGCCAAGAGGATCGCCTGGGCAGTCAGGGGAGCCTGGGAAACCTGGAATTCCAGGGCTCCCAGGCCGGGCAGGAGAACTTGGAGAAGCAGGGAGGCCCGGAGAGAAAGTAAGTAGAACTATGAGCCCCAACTGAAAAAGTCATCAGGATCAGAAAAATAGTCTTGACTTGCTCTTCATTTGAATGTATGCTTTGATGTTATACATTTCGATGGTCTTGGCTTTAAAGGGAACCTCTTAAATGGTATTGTCTATTGTAAACACACCTGAATGCTGATTTATTCATCACAGAACTGCATTTATTTATGTCACTATTTAGTTCTGCAACTGAACAAATACCAAACAGTATACATAATAACAGTTTAAAAAATACCCATAATATTTTCCCACCACAATGAAGAAAAAGTCATAAGATAATCTCAAGTTTCCTGGAAAGCTTCATGATTTTTTTTCCCCAGAAAAAAACCCACTTTACATTTCTAAACTTAAGTTGAGATAAGAGAATATTAAAAGTGATGCGACTATATTGATTGTTTATCTCTTTTTAAAATGTTATTTTCATATTTCAGGGTGACAGGGGTGAGCAAGGTACAAAAGGAGAACAGGTGAGTAGAGGTAAAAACTCCTTTTAGAGTAGGATTAAAGCTCAGCACCTAGTGACTTTATGGACCTATGTAGTTGTTCTGGCAATGGTATAAAATTGGTTTGCTATTGTATTCTACTGTAATATTTTTTTAGATGCCCCTGTCTAGAGCATAGTAGAAAGAGATTCTGGCAAATTGAGATGCCAATGATGCTTGAGTGCTCTGCACTTCACTAGTTCCTGGAGTTGCATTGACAGGGCTATCCTCCGTCTTTATGGACAATCACCATCCCACCCACAGGTATGAATGCTAGGCTGCTTAGAAGGTCACCCTGGCCTCATTAGAAATGCCTTGTCCTATGCAGAAGGCTATAAGTCCTGCTGGGACCTGCCACATTTATGAGCTTTTTTCCCCAATTCCAGCAGCTGGAATTAAAGCTCTACAACTGCATACACATAGCTAGGAGAGTACTTAAATTAACCCACCACTTGCTGGGAGCAACTTTGACATCTGACTCCTACCCTGTACTCTTGATTTAGAATAGACTGATCACAGCTTGCTCTGGCTTGTTCCAGCTGCAGCTCAGTGTTAATTATAGAGAATATCATTTTCTGTATTTCACTGACCTGAGCCATGCTTCACACCTCCCCTTTCATCATTGGAAGAATTCTAAAAACACACACAATGCTCTCCTGTCCGTTGCTATCGATGCTGGCAACTCCATGTGCCAGTGTGTCATAATGTTTACCTGTCTCTTTGTACTGGCAACTTGGTGCACACCTTCATCCAACTAATTCTTGAACCTTCACTGGGTGTTGCATCCCTCATCTTACCTGCAGCTAAACCATGTTCTCTAGTGGTCTCTTTAAATATGCAAACTTACAACTTTCTTGAAATGGAACAATGTGGAGAACTTTGGAATATTCTATTCCTGCTCTAGATCATGTTGATCCCAGTATTCCAGACATGCTATCCTAGATTCAGCCACATCACTTAAATTTCATGTGATACCAATAATATTTTACAAATTGAGTGACCAATCAGTGGGAAAAGGAATTGCATATGTGTTTGTAAATCTTCTATGCGTCTGCTCTGCATTACCTTCATTTAGTTTTCACACAGATTTCCACACAGGTGTTTATAGTCAGATTTCAGGTAATCACAATCCTCTACCTATGTATGCCCCCACACACAACACATATAGTTTATGTGTGTATGTGTGTCCAAACCACAAATTGACATTTAGAGCCCTGCTCAAAACAAACTTAGTTTGAGGAAATTGGAAACTATGAAGACCCTCCTACCATTGCTTTTCTAATCTAAAATCCATTGACCTAGAAGTCACTTGCCTTGATCTTTTGTCTTGTTTTTTTAAGGTGTCTAGATTCTGTTACAGTTTTTTGTAAGTAAACTGCAGTTAGTCTGAAAAAGAACTCATGATCTCTGATCATTTCTCTTTAAAGTCAACATAAGTTTATAGCTGCAGCCCATGGAGGGGCAAAAGAGAAGTGACCTCTAGCAATGGTGCATTTTGTTGATCTTTACCTGGTATTTCTTGTCCACAGGGTAGAGATGGCCCACCAGGTCCTCCAGGTCCACCAGGACCCAAGGTCAGTTGGATTTAAAATTACACCCTGGCTACCAAATTACAAAAGATTAAGAAATTAATCTTTTAATCTTTAAGAAGAGGTCTGCATGACTTACTAGATATTTTCCAATCCTTATATTGTATAATTCTATGGAAGGAAACTGGTGGACATTTGAGGTATATCTGAGTGCCTTGACCAGATCAAGGAACCATGAGACAGTTATTCTTTTGTGTTTCTTTCCCCTAAAAAAATGGATGGGTTTACGACATCATGAATTGAGCTCAACTTGAAACATATTTTACTTTACTGTAATAAGCACTTTCCTAAGCTGATAAAATTCATGCAGAAAATGCTTTTTGCAAGCCATTCAGTTGTCAACTTGAAACAGAAAAAAGGAGGCACTCAGAGTGATGCCTCTGCATTTCATATCATACTGAACACTGCAAATCTAGCATTCAATGGCTGAGTCTAAGGGTTCTGCGCATTTTAGTTAAGGAGGACATTTGTGGAATAGTCAGTCTAAATTTCATATGTTAGTATGAGCAATCTTTTTATCTCTATGGGACCGAACTGAAATTTGGGTTGCTGCCTAGGAAAACTGATAGATTTCATCAGGCACATGGATCTTTCAATATTTATTGTTTAAATATGAAAGTCACTGCTTCAATTACTGTATAGGTATATGAAATCCCTTTGTGTATGATAATCATGTAGTTTCTGGGGGAAGAGTTGAAACAACATTAAATCTGAGAGGTTCTATAGCTGTGTTGAGAATGTGACTTCTGTTGATAGTATTGGGGTCCCAAACAGGAATCTATAGAAGTTTATATGAGAGAGAGGCAGAGGCTGTTAGACAGACTGATGACAAGACTGACATATTTATGTGCTTTCAGGAAGATACAACAATAGACTCTGGATTTCCTGGAGAACGTGGACCTATGGGACCCAAGGGAAGCAAGGTTAGTGAATGTCCCCTTGTTATTTTTTCAATTTAATATCTTCGTACATAGCGTGCATCTTGAAAAGCATCATTTGTTTAGTCTATAAAAGATTGCAATGGAAGGATTCAACATCTGTGATCTTGCAATCATATGGTAGTGGCCAAAATTGTGGAAACCTTTAGGGGAAAGTGTATTTTTGAGGTTTGATGGCTAATAACACCACTTTTTTTTGGAGTAATACCATAAAATTATATATCAGTGGAAAGATAATTTAATCAAGAATGTAATGCAACAAAGTTTGTTCAATTATCTGTACTGTATTCTATGAAAAGTTATAGCCAAATAACCAGAAAAAGGAAGCACAACTTTCTTAGGTTGGTATCAGGTAGCTTTCCTTCATCTGATTGTAGCCAATGTGCATGAGCTAATCAGGTGTCATCTTGTTTTGGCAATGAGCCAATCAGATCACAGTAGGATTCGGTTATGATGTCATGTATTGAAGCTGAGAGGAGGACATTTGTCAGTGTGTTATGTGATCGCTATCAAGTTGGTTGGGGGTTGTGGGGGTTTTTGTGTTCTTTCATTTAGTGAGCTTGTAAAACGTAATAAAATTAAAGTAATGGTGCAAAGAGTTGACTGGTCGCCCAGAAAGCGATGTAAAATAGTATTATTAAATGAACAAGGTTACAGTTGTAAAGAAATTAGAAGAAAAATTGGTGGAAACTTAACCAAAGGTGGCATTTCTACTGTACACTTTTCCCAAAAGATTTCCACAATTTTGGCCACTACTGTACATCACCTTTTAGTTGTTGCTTTTGTTTTAAAACTTCTATATATAAACCATATTCACTAATTAACTGCATGACTAGTTTGACCTTAACATTTGATGGACTTGTTTATTGTTGAGAAAAAAGCAGGAGTTGTACTTTTAACAGGAGATATTCTCTCTTCTGTGAGCAGAAACTCTTTTGGTTTGAAGTGAGGGTTACAAGTCAGAAAATGTAAATGGATTTACTAAAATGGTGTCCCAACTAGTGAGAGTCTATTGATGATTGTTTTGATAGCAGGACATTTTCCCCATGCTTCTGTTTTAGTAAAGCCTGGCAGTATAATCATTCCTTTTTTTAATTCTTGCACAGGGAGACCCAGGAGAAGATGGTGCAAAGGGCTCCAGAGGCGATAAGGTCTGAATGTAGTAAGTTTCTCATCTCTGCACTTCTCCAGCTGTCCTTGTGTCTGCTCTGTGCCTCCACTTGCGAGAGGGAACTCTTCTTTCCTGCAAGTGTTTGACCTGATCTTCCTTTAATATTATTTTGTCTCTGTCTCTTTCACTGTCTTAATGAATAATTCAGCAGCCTTAATTCAGCCTATTTGAAACCCAGTTTCAGCCAGGGTGTGATGGGGCAGGAATAGAAAGGCTGGTGCAACTTGTCCTTTCTCTCTTTCTTCTCCACATGGCCTGATCACCAACCTACCTACCAGTCTTCTCAGTGCTTTCCTTTCCCTGTTCCCAGTTAACACTGGGAATGGAGCTATGGTGGTGCCATGGTTAGAATGCAGTGTTGCAGGCTAACTCTGTTCACATTGCCAGGAGTTCGATTCCTTCAATCTGACCAGCTCAAGGTTGACTCAGCCTTTCATCCTTCCGAGATCAGTAAAAATCAGTAAAATGAGCTTATTGGGGGCAATATGCTGACTCTGTAAACTTCTTAGAGAGGACTGTAAAGCACTGTGAAGCGCTTTATAAGTATATAAGTGCTATTTCTATTACTGCCCTTGAATGCATTACACTATATCTGACTAACCTGCCTAACCTCTCCACTATCTCATGCAATGATTTCCTCAGCTCTAATTTTTCACCATCAGAGCAATGGTGCAGTAAGTAAGTAGCTTTGTCCACCCAGATCTCCATTAACTGTATTAGCATTTCTATTAGTGACCATGAATTTTCTGCAAGCATCTTTTGCTTTCGGTTACATTATGCTTTCTTTTGGAACTGAGACTGAAAATTTTGTGTGGCGGGGGTTGTTTGTTTGTTTATAGTTACAGACCAATTTTTTGTAATCAGACTAGAAACTATGCATTGACTCCATTTCAGTCTGAAACATTTAAAATGCTATGAAATCGTTATGTCAAGGTATTGAGGAAGGAGTTGAGGAAGAATTGGGTGATTTTTTGTGGCAAAACCCACAGGAAAAGGGACAGTGACAATCACTTATTAAATTTTGTGGTTGTTAATGGTATTATTTACTTGTTGCTTGTATGTCTTCCAGATTCACAATTGCTTGAGTTGGGCAGCCATAAACCTAAGTATGTAGTTAAAAGTATCAAAACCATTGCCTAGGACACATATCTTTTTCAGCCTTGTTTCCAATGCATATACAGTAGATCTCAGCCTTTCAGTGGCCTTTGTAGAAGACAGAGGAGAAAGGCAGAGCTCTCCTGGTTTTGACAGGCTTTCTACTTTTGGTTGATCTGAGCTAACCAGCAGAAATTTAACTGACCATTGTGATGCAACCAGTGACCCTGGCTTTCGTGATGGAGAGTTGACACCATAGAGCTGTCAATTTTCATATGTGATGTCATGCCATCTTGAATTACAGGGTGAAGATGGTCAAAAAGGGGAGAGAGGTGAAGCTGGTGAAAAGGGCAGGGATGGCACTCCAGTGAGTATTAATGGTGGATCATTGCCAAAATGATGACAGTTATTGAAACAAATCAATCAACATTTATTCTGCCTTTTAACAATGAATGTCTTATTTTCAGAATGGGCCTGTACTATTACCATGTACAGTTATTATTGCATTACACTGTGCCTTTGTTGGCTGCTACTTATTCTTTATCTTCTGCAGGGACTTCCAGGAGAGAGAGGCCTCCCTGGGTCAGAAGGGAAAGCGGTAAGTAAAAGGTTCAGCATTGGCAGAGAAAATCCTATGGTACAGGGGAAAAGAGAGAGAGGAGGAGAACAAAAAACACAGCAAAAGAAAAGGAGTATCATTGGAATTCTAAATGAGAGAATATGACAGGGAGCTCAGTGAAACCCACAAGTCCCAAAGAGGAGGTACGCTTCCTATATCCCATAAAATGACAGTATTTAATGGAGGTGACCTGGAGCACACCCACTCTGCTGTAAGGTAGTGGATGGGCAGAAAGAACTGCAAACAAGTTGTCTCTCAATGAAGATCATTCTGTTTATTGAAACAGCAATGTCTTAGTACAGAGGTCCCCAACCTTTTGGGCACCAGGGACCGGTACCATAGAGAGAGTTTTTTCCGTGGCTTGTACGTGGTTTTGTGTGCTGCCTGAATCCCACAAATGGGGCTTTGCTTGTTTGTGTGGTTGCTGGTATGCCGCGGCTCAGTACTGGTCCACGGACTGGGGGTTGGGGACCCCTGTCTTAGTAGCACTAAGAAACCAGGATACATTTTCTTTATGAATCAGGTTTGAAACTAGTTTTCCCGTGTTTCATAAAAATAATTAGTTTTAAGGTGAGACTTGAACTCAGGGCCTCCTGCTTTTTAGTCTGGTACCTTAACCATTAGACCAAACTGGCTAAAAAAAAGTCATACAAAAGAAAAAGGGTCATCACAGAATACTTGATTGATTCCAATATATTCGTGTCTCTTGTTCAGATGCTTGAATATTTCTGTATATTTTGAACAACGACTCACATGTCTGTTTATAGATGTACTGGACATATGTAAGAAACAACCATAATTATAAGTGACGAAGAGTAAGCCAAACCCTTCTGTTGAGGCCTCCCTAAGCTGAATATGATCTACCAAGACACCGGAAAGCAAACAATACTCAGCCCAACCCATTGTTGTTGTGGGGAAAAGTAGTAGGAGGAATTCGTGTTGTATATGTTTGCCGCCTTGAGTTATTTGTAAAAATAATAAAGGCATGAAATAAATAATCAGCTGAAATTATAGAATGAAAATGTTAGGCTTACTATCATCATAACATTGGAATTAAGCGTTTATGAATTTGTTTTAGGTATCTGAATCAGCCTAAAATCCTTCCATGCAAGAACAACTTTTGGTTATTTGAGTTTCCATCATTTCAGAGAGAGAAGGTGGGGGTAGTATAATGAATGACAATTATTAAATAGATAAAAGTTGGAAATTTCTGCAGAACTTGTACAGAACATCCAAATAGCTGCAATAGGCTCAGTTGCCAACAGGTGTGCCTGCTGGTCTGAAGCACCTTGTTGCACTATTGTTGGTGTCTCCTCATCCTAAACATGCATTTTTCTGAGATCCCATTGCTAGTTTGCACAGCTTCCACCAGGAGATACTGGTGGATGCAGCAATGACCCTCCCTAAGAGAGTTCTTTTAGATGACAACAGTCCATCACCCATCCTTGTGGTTGTATTTTACATAGCTGGTTCATGTGTCTGTATATGTTCTTGCCTCCATCTAGGGCCTACAGGGTATTAGAGGGCCCCCCGGCCCAGCTGTAAGTAACCTTTATACCTAGGCTGCAGCAGCCCTGAGCCCTTGGCTGTGGTTGGCTTTCTCTGCCTGCTCGCTCTCTTTTTAGCGCAGAAGGAACTGCTCTGCCTTGCTGTTTTTAGGAAGCCATCCAAAGCTTGCTTCAGAAGTTGCTCTGGGTCTCACTAACTCTTTGGGTCTTTGCCTTGGATCTTTGCAGGGCTTGCCAGGTTTCCCTGGAGTTCTGGGCAGACCGGTAGGTGCCTCCTCTCCCTTTTCCCTCTCCTGTATCTCACCCACATCCCCCCTTGCATGTAGCACAAAGCGTCTTACTACTAATCATGGGGGGGGGGACGAGGTTCCATCGCAGGGCTAGTTAGCACAGTCCACTTTGCTAAAGGAAGAAGGAGACCTTGGCATGGTGACCAAATCTGGGTTCCAGCAGAGGGAACAAAGCAAACCACTTAAGTTCTTTTTTTTTCACTTGTCAAATGCAAGATGTAATAATGGAGCTCTTGTAATGTTTTTAAATCACTTTGTGAAAGGAATGAATGCATAGTATCATTAGTAATAAAATATCATGAATTACATATCAGTGTTTAATAATAGCAATAATGCAGTATAATATGTGTGCGTGCGTATACATTTATTTCACAATATTTAGTATTGGTATATTATGTTAGAATTTAAAATTGAAGGACTATAGAGCAACAAGGAAATGGCAGTCACTTAGTCGCCCAGTGGTTCAACTAGCTCTCTCCAGCATCCTATTTTACCCAGAAAGCTGACATTTGGACACTACAGCTGTGCAAAAATATTGCTGTCACGTATGCAAATCATCGTGACATATATTTATGTACCATAATTTCCCATGGTATTTTCTCTATATAGAGAGAAAGACAGAGATCACAACAAAAATGAGTTGATAAAAATAACTCTGAACTTGCTCTTAATGGGGAATTCACCAGATGTAAGGAGGCTCAAATAATTAATTATTCCAGAGCTGTTATAAGCTGATATTATTAGAAGCTGATATTATCGGTAATAATTAGACTTTAATAGTCAATACTATTTAAAATTCTAGGATAAGCAACATTTGGTTTTTCAGTAATCTGGAGTCTGTCTAAAAATCTGGATTGTACGGAATGGGTAAAGATCTCATTTGAAGTCAAGTATTTTGAAAAATCTATTTTATGGTCCCTCAGTTCCAAAAAAAAAAGCTAACTCAGACGTGTATTAGTGCCACATTATCACTGATAATGTCTTTTCATTTCAACAGGGAAATCAAGGGGATCCTGGATCACCAGGTTCTCCTGTAAGTAAACCTGGTTCTTTTCTTTTAAAAATATTACCCCACTATATCCACCTAGTTCAGTGTTTCCCAAACTTGACAATTTTAAGGCATGTGGACTTCAACTCCCAGAATTCCACAGCCATCATTGCTGGCTGTGGAATTCTGGGAGTTGAAGTCCACATGCCTTAAAATTGTCAAGTTTGGGAAACACTGACCTAATTGAGTAAATATAAGAACATTTATAGAAAAATTTGGGTCTCCCAATATATGGGATAATCTTATAAGACATTGGAATTTTTTCTTAATAAAAGCAACCTTATCTTCTCAGAAAATGGTGACAACACGGTAAAGACACGCTAGTATGCTGTATACAATATTTGAATTAACTTGGTCATACTTGTGCTTTGACTACTGGAAATAATGGTCCTTTGCTTTTCTTCAGGGTCCTGTCGGCCCACCTGGAACTCAGGGTGTACCTGGAATAAAGGTATGTGACCTGATTTGATTGCTGGCTGGGGGATTCTGGGAGTTGAAGTCCACAAGTCTTAAAGTTGCCAAGATTGGATATCCCTGCTCTAAAGTTTATGGAAGACAGCATGCATCTCTAGCCTGTTAACTAACTGCCTTGTAAAAATAGTTAAACTATTTTTATTTCAAGTCAAACAAAATTTACCTAAGGCATTTATAATAGTATTTATATCCCCTTCTCACCTTTCATATAACCCTTCTGAAAAGTGGCAATAAAACAACAAAGTGAGACTTGATTTACATGGACCTGTTCACTAATAACTAAGCTCTTTTCCTAATAGCAAAGTGAAGCTTCCTGCTTCTCATAAAGTTTACCCTGTTATGTGTGTGTCAATTTCGTCAAGATTCCCCATTTAGAATTCCAGGCTGGCTGACATCTCCTAATGTCCTATGCAAGCCCGAGAGCTTTATTTGCATGGTAAAAATCTTCTACCCATAGCCAAGGTAAAGATAAAGATCAGGAGAAAGTAATAAAGGCTTGGAGAGTTCAAAGAGAGGTTGTTTACCTTGCAAATTATGCCAATACTGCAAGCAACTATTGTGTTTCCCTGAAAATAAGACCAACCCCGAAAATAAGCCTTTTAGGGTGGGCCTAATATAAGCCCTATCCCCCAAAATAAGGCCGTGGGTGGATGTGGCCAGCACAAGCGCCTGCGAGCACACGGAGGCCAATAGTGTCTGGCAGCACCCCTAGCCCGCCAGCCCCTTGGTGCAGCACGGGTAAGTCCAAGCGGGGAGGCAGAGGCAGCGGGGAGGCAGGCAATCCGGAGACGCTGTGCACCTTTCGCCCAGAGGGAGACTGGAAGCTTCATCTGCTTGCAAATGGGGCACTTGGGAACAGGACTAATCGCTCTGTTTCCAAGTGCCCCATCTGCAAACAGACAAAGCTTCCAATCTCTCTTTGGGCAAAAAGTGTTTGGGTGCCTATGGGGAACTTGGGACAGCTCCACCCCCTCCCCCATCTGCCTTGCCTCATAGCGGCGGCGCGGCACAGCAGGCCACCCAGCCTCAAGGGGCCAAAGAAGTGGGCCCACGGTCAGGCAGGCTCCTGCTAGATGGGGCTGTTGGTGCCGCCACCGCAAGGTGAGGTAGGTGTCAGGGAAAAAATAAGACATTCCCCCAAAATAAGACTTAAGGGGTCTTTTGGTCCAAAAAAAATTATAAGACCCAGTCTTATTTTCGGGGAAACACAGTAGCTTGGAATGTTTGGAAGATGGAATTCTAATGGAAGTCCAATACATTTTATAGATAAGATGCCAAAGAATTCCATAATATCCAACCCAAAGTGAATTGAACAGGAATGTGAGGCTTTGTCTAATTAGAGGAGTTAATTCCTTTCCTTTCAGGAGATATACAAATTGCCACTGTATCTCCTTTCCTAATGGTGTGCTTTAGTGTTAAAGTTTGAGTCATTATTCTCAGGTGAGTAATAACCTGTTGACTCTCCAGGTGCAGGCTAGGGGTCTGCTTCTTCAGCTTCAGAATCAGTGAAGTCCATAAAACATGGATACCATCTGTGTAAGGAAGACATATCCTCACTGCTCATTTTCTTCCTTTGGTAGTCTCCATATCCCTCTTAACTCTGCTTCAGGATCTTTGTTGTAACTAACTCTGGAACCAAATCTTTAGCAGTCACAGCTGCCTAGAATCCATTTTCAGACACCAGTCACTGTCTATTATTTCTTTCTTCAATTTCTTCTTCTTGCCTCCCAACTCTGTTCTCTTTGCCAGAACATCAACCCTTCTTTCCTGTGAGAACATTTCTGTGAGAAAATTGTGTTTGTCTCTCACTATATCAGTTAAAACAATTATGTGTGTGTGTTCATGTTGTCTGGCTGATAATCTTTAGTTGCTGCATATAGTCAAGTTTTACATGCTTAATATTCTGAAAATAGAATAGTTCTGTATTTTTGTTTGGAGGAACCTATCTTTGGGAACACAGCATACATACCTATGTTATCCTATGAACAATATGGTTTCTAAAATTTAGCACAGAACTTCTAATGTTATGCTATGTGATTTACCTACATTATCGTCTGCAGAAATTGAAGCATTCAAAACTCAATTTTCTCTCAAACACAAGTAATAATGTGAATGTTTCAGTTTTTATTTGTTATTTACAGGGAGATGTAGGAGAACCTGGGTCCAGCATACGAGTAAGTGTCTTTTTAGGTTTGCCAAACACACATTGTAGTAACTCAAAAATGTTGAATGGAGCTATACTTGGAAGATGGGAACAGAAGGCCTTGGAGACTGAATGAGAATTTGTTTACCCGGGGAGAGTTTGTACAAAAATGTAAAGAGTATTTAAAGGAGTTTTTTGCTTTAAGTATGAATAAGGGTACATCGATGCCCATGGTCTGGGACGCCAGTAAGGTGTATATGAGGGGAATTTTAATTCATTTAAATAAAGTTTCTAGGGATAAAAGGATACAAAGACGTAGAGAAATAGAAGATGAGATTAAAATAAAAGAAGAAGTGCTTGCTCTTAACCCAACTGATAATAACTTAAAGGTTTCTATAAAGATGCTTAGGGAACAATTTAATATGTTGATGGCAGATCAGGTGGCTACCAATTTGCGTTATATGAGACATAATACTTTTTGTAATGTGAATAAGCCTGGGAGGTGGTTAGCTTATCAGTTACGAAAGAAACAGAAGGCTAGGATTATAGAGAAAGTAAAATATAAAGGTACTGAAGTTTTTCAGCAAAATTTGATTAAAAAGAGTTTTTTAGATTTTTACACAAAACTATACTCAAGTGATAATATAAAGGGAATGGATATAGATAAATATTTACAATCAGTACTGTTATGTCCCGAGCCTTGCAAACGGCTCGGGCGTTTGCAGGCAGACCCGGGCAGGTGCAAAGCTGCCCGGGACCAGACAGGCTGTCGCCAGCGCCGTGCGCATGCGCGGGTGCTGGCGCGGGAAAAGTAACCCATTTACCCGGGAGTTGCCTATATAAGAGGCTGCGAGGCGTTTGGGCGAGGCTGAAGCCATCTTCCTGTAAGCTGAACGCTGAATAAAAGAAACTGAGAACTCCAGCTGCTTCTCGTGTCTGTTTTCCCGCCAAGGACGCAACACTGGCGACGAAGGTGGGATGCCTTGCACTACCTGGAAAGGAAAAAGTGTAAGCTTACCCAAGGAGTCCTGAGCGGCGGAAGAGGAACGGTGTCGACTCGGCAGCTGCCCGCCAATCCGGTGCGCATTCGGGGGTAGGCTGGCTGATAGACCCGTCTCCTGAAGATCCGAAGATGGCGAAAATCGGAAGGCTTTCGGAATTCGACGTCTCACATCCAGAGCGGTGGGAGTCCTACGTATCCAGAATGGAGAACTACTTCAAGGCAAACCAAGTGAGGGAAGATAGCTTGAAGGCTGCCACCCTGCTTTGCGTTTGCGGCCAAGACGCCTTCGAAATCGCAGAAAACCTTGCAGCACCTGTCCCAGTAGAGTCTGTAAGCTACGCAGACCTGAAGAAGCTGCTGAAGGAGCACTTCCACCCCAAGGTGTCCGTTATCTCATGGCGCCACACCTTCGAACAGAGGGATCAACGGCCCGGTGAGTCAGCCAAGGAATACATCGCCGCGTTACGGAAGGCCGCCAAGCCCTGCGAGTTCAAGGACCTCGAGGAACGACTGAGGGACCGATTCGTGTGCGGGTTAAGGCATCGCGAGCTACAACAGAGACTTTTCGCTAAGGAAGAATTATCCTTCCAAGACGCCTTAAGGGAAGTCACCGCAGAAGAAGCAGCAGGCGGCGCCGTCAAGAACATGCGGCCGATCAGAAGCAGTGCAGAGGGTGCGTCCGTGCACCAGGAAGACGTCCAACGAAACTCCGAGGAGGATCCGGACGAGGAAGTCGACCGTCTACACCCCGCGAAGGAAGGAAACCAGAAGGGAAGCTCTTTGGCTCCGCTCAAGTGCATCGGCTGTGGAGGTCGCCACAGGAGAACCGACTGCAAGTTCCGCTCCGCTACCTGCCGGGCATGCGGCAAACTAGGGCACATTGCAGCTGTGTGTCTGGGCCGACGAAAGGCACAACCCCAAGAAGAACGCCTGAAGGGTACCAGACTCCCCAGCCAGAATAGGGTAGGTTTTTGCGCTTCGCGAAGAAGCATCTGTAGGACAGGCACACACAAGCCCATGAAGAAAAAGCTGTCACTCAACGTGAAGCTACAAGGGGTTCCATTATCTATGGAACTAGACACAGGGTCTGCCCTTTCCATCATTTCATTGCATACATTTAGGAAGATTTGTTCCAGTAGTGGGACTAAGGCCAAGTTAAGGCCTTCTGATATTGTATTAACTGATTTTCAGAACTCAAGAGTGTGTGTTAAGGGGGAGGCCACCCTTAACGTGCAATACAAGAGTTTTGAAGGTCCACTAGACTTATTAGTAGTAGGGGGTGAACGAACGAGTCTCATAGGACTCGATTGGTTTGAGGCCCTGGGGATACACGTCACAGGACTCAACAGCTTACAAACACTCGACCTACAGGAAGTCTGCAAAGAATTTGCAGATGTTTTCAGCCCCCAGCTGGGCACATTCAAAGGACCACCTGTGTCCTTAAAGCTAGACCCCACTGTCACTCCCATTAGGATTAAAGCAAGAAGGGTCCCTTTTGCTTTAAAAAGTAAGATTGACACTGAATTAGACAAACTAATCCAACAGGGAATCCTAGAACCTGTTGATTCCAGCCCGTGGGAGACCCCCATTGTCACGCCTCTAAAGGCAAATGGGGACATTCGTATTTGTGCTGATTACAAATGCACACTCAATAAGGCATTGCAGCAACATGCCTATCCTGTTCCTGTGGTCAGTCACATCCTGGCCTCTCTCAAGGGGGGGCGTGTTTTTGCAAAGCTTGACCTAGCTCAAGCATATCAACAGCTGCCTGTTGATGATGATGCTGCCATAGCTCAGACCATTGTGACCCACAGGGGAGCCTTTAAAGTAAAAAGGCTACAGTTTGGAGTGAATGTCGCTCCTGGGATTTTCCAAAGCGTAATGGAAAACACACTACGAGGTATACCAGGGGTCTGCCCCTACTTTGACGATGTCTTGATTGCAGGAGACTCCACACACATTCTAGCTGAAAGGCTTAGGGCTGTCCTGTTAAGATTCAGGAAATCAGGCCTCAAGCTCAGAAAAGACAAATGCAAGATTGGGGTGCCTTCTACTGAATTTCTGGGATTCAAAATTGATGCTGCTGGGATTCATCCTGCTGAATCCAAACTAACTGCTATTTTAGAAGCACCCAGGCCAAAGTCTAAGGCCGAACTTCAGGCCTTCTTAGGCCTCCTGAATTTCTACAATTCTTTTCTTCCACATAAAGCTAGTGTAGCTGAGCCTCTTCACAGGCTACTAGACAAACAGCTGTGTGGCTGTGGTCACAAGCACATGAGGCTTGCTTTAAAGAAGTCAAGGCCTTGCTCACTTCTAACAGTGTTCTTGCACATTTCAACGAGTCTCTTCCTGTGTGCATCGCTTGTGATGCGTCCCCCTACGGGGTTGGAGCTGTCCTGAGTCACCTCAGGTCTGATGGAACTCAGGTTCCTATTGCATACTACTCCAGAACACTGTCTTCTGCCGAGCGCAACTACGCTCAGATAGACAGGGAGGCTCTGGCTGTTGTTGCTGGAATTAAAAAATTCCACGATTTTCTATATGGCAGGCATTTCACGGTCTTCACTGACCATAAGCCTCTGCTGGGACTGTTTACCACACGTAAGCAGACTCCCCACATCATTTCCCCTAGAATGCTTAGGTGGTCTATTTTTTTGTCTGCATATGATTTTTCATTACTCCACAAGCCTGGGAAAGAAATGGGCCATGCTGATGGCCTCAGTAGGTTGCCTCTGCCAGTAGTAGAAGCTGACCCCGCGCCAGCTGTCAACATTCTATCAATCCAAGCCTTGCCCGAGCTCCCTCTTAGTGCCAGGGATGTTACCGCTGAAACAGGTACAGATCACACACTTTCACGTGTCCGCTCCTGGGTCCTGTCCGGGTGGCCTGAGCACTGCCCTAGTCCTGAGTTTCAGAGTTTCTGGTCCAAAAGGAACGAACTGTCCCTTTCTCAGGGTTGTCTGCTTTGGGGAAACAGAGTTGTCATTCCCACCTCAATGAGGACTAGGGTCTTAGAATCCCTCCACGAGGGTCATCCTGGCATTGTTCGTATGAAGGCTCTTGCACGAAGCCACTTGTGGTGGCCTGGTTTAGATAAAGGTATTGAGGCTACGGTACACGCATGCCACCTGTGCCAACGATCTCGCCCAGAGATGCCCCAAGCTCCTGTGCATAGATGGGAGGAAACACAGTCCCCATGGTCTAGGGTGCACATTGACTACGCTGGGCCCTTTCAGGGCCAGTTCTTCTTGGTCCTTGTTGACAGCCATTCAAAATGGCTTGAGGTTGTGCCTGTCTCATCCACCACCACTGCAAAGACTATTCAGGTACTGAGGGGGATTTTTGCTGCACACGGGCTGCCAGATGTCATTGTGTCCGACAACGGCCCTCAATTCACCTCCTCCGAATTCCAAGCTTTCTTACAGGCAAACCTGATTCGTCATGCCACGTCTGCGCCTTTTCACCCGTCCACCAACGGTATGGCTGAACGCATGGTGCGCATCGCAAAGGACGCCTTGAAGAGACTCACCTACGGGGACTGGCATCACAGGTTGGCTGACTTTCTCCTTTCTTATCGCACCACACCGTCCACTTCTACAGGGAGAAGTCCAGCTGAACTTCGTTGGGGGCGCCAACTTACTACTAGACTTGACCGGTTGCATCCGGACAGACTGCCTTCATCTACCTCACATCCTAGGGCACCTAGACAACTACTTGTGGGTGCCCCGGTTTGGGCTCGCAATTACGGGCCTGGTCATACATGGGTCCCCGCTTCTGTGTCCAGGATCACAGGCCCTCTCTCCTACGAGGTTGCCCTGGACAACGGTCGTGTCCTGCGTCGGCACATCGACCAACTTCGCCCTAGGCGAGACTTTTCTGCTGAGACTCCTGGGTCTTTTCCAGGGGGGGAGGGGGACCCTTTGGAGCAAAGGGAAGGGCAAGAGCTACTGCCCATCTCCACTGAGGGAGCCACAAACGGCCCATCCCAGGGTTCCGCAATTGCTCCGAAAAGAAAGTCATGGAGCTTA